TCTTTCAATGAAACCTTAGCCAGTCTGTCCAGCAAGGTCTGTGCAAAGGCAAGAAACCAAAATAACCTAAGCCCTACTCCTCTCCCTACTGCTCCTCAGTGTCCCATGATCCTGGGGCAGGTGTCAGATGTAGGTGGCAAGGCCAGGGAGCACTGTTTCCTGGCACGTGCTGCATGGCTGTAGTTCTGGAGCTAGCTGGCAGGATGCCAGAAGCTAGCCAGAGGGCCCTTTCAACATCCTCTCTACAGCAGGGCAGGGCACAGGAGCTTAGGGGTGGAAGGGACTTACACACCTCCCAATGCCACCACCCACTGGAGTCTGACTCCCTTCAAGGACACACTGACCTCCCAGCCTCTGCTTGAATACCTCCTATGACCAAAAACTCACTCACTCTAACAGCTGTTCTTCCATATTTGGGCAGTGAGTTCCCAAGGTCATTATACTGAGCTGAAATTTGTCTCTCCCTTACCTTTACCTCCCTAGTGCCTTCATGCCAGAAGCTTTGCTCACTCATTTTGCTGGACTTTGTTTTGTCCTTTGATGTCCACTCCCTTACAAGTGACTCATCTGTATACTTTTCTCTCCCAAATTCACCACAAACCCCTCAAGGACAGGGAGAATGTCTTCTATTTTAACTTCTATTTACTTCTGATATCTGTCTGGGTGAGTGACCAGGCCTCTGCCCCCAGGAGATGTCTGGTCAATAAGCATTGACTGAAAGGATTCATTGATCAGTTTCCTACTCTGATTTTGGAGCACAGACAAGCCTTGAGGCTCTGGGCTTCTTTGACCCATAACACGCCCTTCACTCTGGCTGCTTACCAGCTCACACCCAACTCTAAGCCTCAGAGTTCACATGCAAAGACACAGATGCTACCCCCACTAAAACCTTTCCCTTCATCAGACTTGATCTCTAAAGATGCTGCTGAAATATTGAGAAGTTATTTTCCAGGAAAATATGGCTGCAGAAGGGCTTCTCCACCATGTCTGAATCCCTGAGGGAGGATGCTCCCTAAAATGCTCCCAGCTTTGATAAGCCAGCTCAGAGTCTCTGTTTCTTCTCAAAATAGGGAGAAAGAAGTTCTCCTCATAGGGGTGCTATGAAGGTTCACTAAGGTAACACATAGGATGGAATAATCACAAAAATGAGTGGCAGCTATTATCTCAGCTAACGAGAAAATTATTGATACCGAAGCAGCAACTGTCAACTCTGACCATTTCAAGTGCCTTTCCTACCAAAGACTAGGCATGTGCAAGTGTGTGTAGAGCGATGGGAGAAGAGCCTTAGACTAAAGTGACACGGGAGTGACCAGTGACCATGCTGCCACCAACTGTGGGGTCAGCTTTTCCAGCTAGACATCACTTCATCTTTAGAAAGCAGGTCTTGGTTTCAGACTCTCTGAACCAAATTCCCAAAAACAGCCGCTGTGGAGACTCCTGTAACCAAATGACTTGGCCTGTGGTGGGTGTGCCAAGGAAATTACTTTGGCTGGCCCAGTCTTCCCACCTACAATGGCAGAGCCTAAGCCTCTCTCAGGAACTGCCTTGCATTCTGTCCCCCTCCTCCAGGCCTCCATTCAGCCCCCAAGGTGCAGCTGTCCTGTGCTTCTGCCTTCACGGCAGCTGGGCCAAAGGCAGCTGAGCAGAGAAGGGTGAAGGGACATGATCATTTCTGTCACTCAGGACAGCCTTCCTCTGGCTGAGCAGCTGTAAGGGTGCTCTCAAGTATGCATTCTGCCCTCAAAAACCACACTCACCAATCTAGCCAGGCCCCCTGTTTTTCCTCTTACTTGGAAAAGAAAAAACCCACCATTTCAAACATCACGAGGCTATTCTGACAGAAAGACATAGTGTTGGAGATGGATTCCAGGCAGAGAACCTAGTAGCTTCTGGAAATACACCAGCAAGCCCAAAATGGATGTGGCAGATTCTTCCCTATGGGGACCATTCTGGGCAGAACAGAAAACGGAAGGATTCTTGCCTCAGTTCTGCCATCAAGATTGAGGAGGAGGCATAGCATTTTCCTGCTCCCAGTTTACGGGCAGAGGTAGCAATCTGCCTAGGTCTCAGGTGAAGGTAGGGCAGTACCCCTCTGCCCTGTGCTTCCAGATGCTCTTGCTGAGGCATGCCGCATCCCAGCCTGTCCTGGGGTGACCAGTTGCCCTGGTTTGCCCAGGGCTAAGGAAATTCTCAGGATGCAGCACTTTCCATGCTAGAACCAGGAAAGTCCTGGGCAAACCCTGATGAGTTGTTCAACTTAGCTTGTCCCCAAAATAGCAAGACTAGGCCAGAGATCACCAGCCTCCCATCCTGCTCTGGACTTGAAAAAGGTTCCATCTGACAGGAAAAGAAGCTGCGCAGTGAGGGTCAAGCTGCTATGAAAAGCCTCCTGAGGTGCCCTGTCCCATTTTCAGCATCTCTGCTTCATTCTCTCAACAATTCCCTTTCGTCTCAACTACGAGCCTCTGTACAAAGAAAAAATGAGAGGAGTGGGAGAGATGGGTCCAGGGCTCCTTTCTGACAGCCCAAATCCTAGGATTCTGTTAACATCCCATGAATGCAGAGCCTCTCTGCTTCCTCCTAGGCTCTGGAGTTTTTCTAGGAAGTCTACACGAGCAAATCATCCCCATGGCTCAGGAGCCAACAGGAGGCTGGCTGTATCATGTCCCAGGCACCAAATGACATGTTACCCTAAAGACACTGAAGTCTGCCTTAGGTATCACCGAGACGACCTCATCTAGTTCCTGGCCTGCTTTCCAGAGTTGGTTTCTTGCATAATTGATAGATATAGCAGAGAGTAAACCACCTTGTCCGCTGACAGCCTGAGAAGTCACATCTAAGGGTAAGTAGGTTGGGTGGCTTGAGGACACAAGATCTTGGGGCCAAGGCAGCTCCATCCCATCATGGGTGTTACAGCCCCTCCCATGAAGAGCTATTTTATTCCACAGAATCCCTCAGGGCTGTGTGAGAAGACAGCTCCTGCTGACCCCATACGGCACCCCTCAGACCTTCCTGTTGAGCTTTGGCTAGTTCTGATATAAAAAACAACAAACAAACAAAAAAACCATCAGGAATGTGTCCCTCAGTCCAGCATAACCTCCTCTGCGAAGATTCCAGCCCCTAATGTCCCAATCCAAGGATGAGAAGCATCTGTCCACCCTACCCCTTAGACAGAAGAGCCTTGAGGACCTTGGGAGGAGACTGACACAGAGAGACGGGCTGAATCGTGTTCCATCCCCAGCTGCGGACCCAGAAGGGCCTACAAAGCTCAACAACAAACATGCTGCTATCCACGAGCCAGACGCCATGGCTGGGCCACCAGACAATTCCTGGCCAGGAATGGAATCTGGAACAGACTCTATAGTCAACTATTCCCAGATCAGAGAAACCAGAGGCCTTGGACACCAGCATCACAGTGTCTCCATCCTGGGATTGCCTGTGGCCCTGCAGCCTGGGGGGGCAGGCTGGGGAAGGCCTAGCTCTCTCTTTGTGAGGATAGTACCTGACCCACCTTCACACTACTCCACTTCCAGAGAGCCAGGAAGACCGGCAGGCCCAGCTGCCTACGAGTCTTCTCTTCCCAGCTTCTGGGGGAGCAGCTCTGCTACTGCACAGGGCTGGAGAGCTGCAATTATCCAGACAGGATAAGAGCTATTTTGGGAAGGAGCTGTCCTGCTGCCAAGGCATTTGACTTCCTAAACTAAAACAAGATGGGGCAGAATAGGGAGGAACTTGCTCAGTCAAAAACATCATATCCTGAAATAGAAGAAATACCCCTTCCCAAAGGTATAGATTTGCATCCAGGGGTGAGCGAGATGCTAGCTGTTAAGATACCCCCCTGGCTTTGGGAAGGAGGGGGTAGGTAACCTGACCCCATTAAATTCCCAGCTCACTCCCTCTCTCCTAAGACCTTCCAAGAGCACCTATTAAGTCTGTTGCATTTATTTGGACATCTGAACACTATTTTATATTGTTTCCTGTCCATGTCTTATCTCCTCGTCCAGATGGTAAGTTTCTCAAGGCCAAAGAAGCGTATGCTATGAGGCTTCAATGCTTTCCCCAGTAATGCCTAGCAGAGTGCCAGGCATCTGAATAAAAACTGTTTGTGGGAGGAAGGGAAGGAAGGAGGAAGGAAGGGAGAGAGAAAGGGAGGAAGAGAATGATTTACTGTTTCGCACTGAGATAATCTCTAAAAGTAGCTGCTCCCTCCCACAGCTGAGCTCCAGGAACAGGGCTGGATAAGAAGCCATGGCAGGGGGTGGCAGCCGCATTTCTGGCACCTCCTTGGCAGCTGTTCTGTTATCTGAGCTCAGGCTGTCCTGCCCCTCCCCCCACTTGTTTTTCATCTGTAGTCAACTGTCCATCCTGGGCTAACCCATGGATGAGACCCATTAGAGGCCATACTAGGCTTTGGGAAAGAAAGAGAGATGGCATGAGACAGAATGGAAGCAGGAAGAGCTTGGACTATCTTATCAAACACAGGCCAAGAACTAGAGTACTTAGAGGAACAATGCGCTATGAAATCAGGACACTGCCAAATTCAGGACATGGGGCTGCTGAGAGCAGAGTTCACCTTGTGGCTTTCTGAGGTGAGGACTCAAACAGTGTATAACCCAGAAAAGTGTCCCCTTTCTGGAGTGCCCTAGGCTGGAGAGGGGAGAGCCAATGGGGATCAATCTATGGCTTCCCAGACAGCCTTCCCACAGAGCACTTGGCAGGATTCATCATTTGCCAAAAGGTCTCCACTCTTTCTCTCCAGGGCTGCAAATTCCCCTCTGGGGAGATGCAGCCGCGGAGGAGCACAGCTTGGCACGTGGAACACAGGCTAGATTTCAGCCCCCGCTTGCCTGCTCTGCCAGGTGCCCTTGTACAGTGAAGAGCCTGCCCAACAATGGAGCAGCTCTGTTTCCCTCCACACCTGCTTCCATCAGAGAGCAAGACACAGACTTGGATACAGGGGAGCATGGGAAGACCAGAAGCAATTCCCAGGGTATTCTTACCTCCTCATCTGTCATAGGGAGAAGTAGAGGCCAGGCGTTCCCAGTGGGCAGCACATGGAAATCAGAGAGTGCCAACGGAAGGGGAAAAAGAGAATTTTACTAATGATGTGCAGTGGACTTAGGCATAACCTGGACCAAATCCCATCCTAGTGCAAGTGGCCTACCTAACAACAGCTGGCATTCACCGTGCCAGGCACCATACCATGCTAACTGTTCTACATGTCATAGCTTGGTCAGTCCTCACAGGAACCCTAAAAGAAGCCATTGTTCCCATTAACAGATAGAGAAAACTAATGATTAGAGAGGTAAACTACTTACCCAATGTCTTAGTTAGAAAACAGTGGACACAGGGCTCAAACCCAATAATATAACTCCAGAATCCATACTCTACTAAACCTCTAATTTATGGAGATTTGCTCCCTTTGTGGGGCAGGGCTGCCCTTCTCTGCTGAGGGCTCATCCTGGCTGGGATCAGATTGCATTCCCAGGGCTCTCTCTTCCCTAGGAAATTTTTCATCCAGAGCCCTGGCCTCCCTCATGCTCATGGGACTGAAGCATATTTTGGACTACAACACATGAAGCAGGGACTCCTTGCCACTAAGATTCACGTATGATTGGTCCTTACTTTCCTTCCCACTAGAGAAGTCAAGATACAAGGGGAGTCAGGGAGGGTCACAGGCCCTGAAGACACTTCTCTTAAGGACTTTAAAGTTGGCTGCAGAACCCACTGATGCCTCAAGGTGGAGGCCCAGACATCCCTGGAGATCTTGCTGGGCAGCAGCCAATAAGGACCTCCCAGGCCCTGGAATAGAGGTGTGAAGAGGGTTCTGAGGAACCAGAGAGACATGAGGAGACCCCTCAACCTGCATGACTGTGGGGTCAGCCCTGAGTTAGACGGTGAAGCAGGTAATTTGTCTTGGTGGGGTTTGTTTGTTCGTTTATCATAGGATAGGTAAGATCAGCTAAGCTGAAAGGTCATGGGCCTAAATTGCTCTTCATTCCACAAGGGCCTACTTCCCATTATAGGGAGACTCTTGAAAAGGGTTCCTAGTCCCAAAGGAATACCTAATGATGGAATTTTAGGCAAGACAAGAAGTCCCTCTGCTTTTTTAAGTCAAAACCCCAGCATGCATCACGGCCTGGTAGACCTAGCTCTGTATGTACATCAAGGCTACCCTCCCACCTGTCCTCCTGCCTCCCAAACCCCCACCAGGGACCCACGGGAAGGAAAAGCACAGACCTTTTAGCCACCAGATGACACGATTGTACATTTCCTCAGAGACATCTGAAAGTAACAGAGATTTGTGCTTTTTTTTCTCTCTGTGGGATGCATACTTCCTTCCCCCCACTCTTTAACATCTCCCTTTCTAGCTCCACATTTCTCCACCCAAAGGTGCCCTCAGCCTTTGATGCTCTCCAAGAAGGTCCTCCAGTCTAGGACAAAATGTCACATTTTCTACTCGTCCTCTCCCTTTCTCCCACCCTCTGTGCCACTGTTAATGCCTTTCCCCTCTTGGAAGTCTTAAGTCCCAGTTCATCTATGCCCCACCTCCTCCACTTGGTTTCCAGAATATTTACCTGAGGACCGTCTTCTCCTTACTGGCCCTTACCGGCCCTCACCCCAGCTGTTCTTCATGTGCACTCTCGGGAAGCAGCTTCCCCACCCTGCAAACCACTCTCTACTACCTTCCATTGAAAGGTTAAGCATTGCCTGGAGAGTCAATGCCTGACACCTACCCAAGCATCATTGGCAATGTCATTAGCCTGGAGCTCAGATAAGCTGGCAGGGAAGGAATGGAGCAATGGGCTCAAGGATAGGTCTAGCTTTGACACTGGCAGGAGAGCAGCTCAGAGGCCCAGAACGAAGAGGCAGCCTTCCCTGCCCATGTCCCACCTCACTAAATCAGGGTTGTACCTGGGCAGTCTGCTTCTTCACATACCCAAGAAGAAAGCACTAAACCTTTGAGTGGGTTGTTTGGAAGTGTGCTTGGGAGTCTGTGGCACTTCCCTCAATGGTGCCCAGCTTGGAGGCTCCTTTGGTAATTGTAGATGTGGTGGTGGTGTTGCTCGTGCTGGTGGTGGTGAAGGACTTGCCTTCTCTCTCTGGAACACGAGGTCCTCACAGAAAGGGCTTGAGTCCATTTCAAAAATGGACAATGAATAGTCTACAGGAGAGGGGTATTTAGGCTCGAAATCAGGTGTTGTTGGCCGGCTTTGAGGCATTTCAACATCACGATTGAGTAAGGTCCACCATGAGCAGTCAGGCCCATACCTAGGTAAGGACCGAGGGGGTAAGGGCCGAGGAGTCAGTTCCACTTTTGCATGAGCAGAGGGATTTGGGGAGGGTCCTGGGGGCATGCAGATACTTTCTGAGGGTCCTTGGGTTCGCTGCTTATAGACAGGCTCGGGAGAGGTATACATGGAAGGTCTTTGGGCACTCTCAGATACTGCTCGAGGTGTCACACGGTAAGATGACTGTACTTCCTGTACTCCTGAGGAGATGGTGACTCTGCGGTGGGTCTCGCTGTCTCTTAGCACTGGGGACTTCATGTTGGCCTCTACTTCTGATGACATGAAGGCTTTTGGGGAGGGCCTGGTTTCGGTGTAGGCAGAATGCTTGTGGGTTGATTCAGGCTCTATACGCATAGAAACTCGGTGTCCACCGCCCACATCTTTAAGGACAGAGAGTCTGTGAGATGATTCCAAGTTCTTGTTCCTATGCAAGGCCTTGGGTTCTGTATAAATTGCGCTGCGATGACCCAATTCAGACTCTTGGCCAGGGATCCTTCTCTGGGCTGCATAGAGGCGGCTGCTGACCTGTTCTGGGCTAGAGGCTCTCCTTTGAGATTTGATCTCAGCAGCAGTCATACTCTTTCGAATGGGCTCAGTTTGGACTGCTTCATCCTTTGGGCAAACCAAAGTCCTACGGGGAACTCGGACCCCTTGTGGGTACTGGACATTGGAGGGTGGGTCTTCTTCTTGTAAGGTTTGTTTATTGTCCTTCTGGTCTAAAAAACTCAACCGAGGAGGGGGTTTGGCATCTGGGATTAATGAGTAACGATTACTGTCACGCCCTGACTTGCTCTCACCCCTTCTTCGTGGTGATTCCTCTCTGGTGGGACTATTCTGCTTCATCTGAACAGCATAGGAAGGTGGTGTCTGAGCTTGCTGGAGCTTTCGCTGAAGAGAGGAATGGCGGTATGCTTCTGATTTTGATCGGCGATCGGTTCCTCTGGGGATGGGTGCTCCAGAGGAGCTGGGTCCTGACTGGGGGTAGCTAGTGCCAGGATAGTTTGGTGATGTATTGGGAATGATGGAATGCGCAGGTTCTGATCTTCGATGGGTCGGAGGGCTCACGGAGATTGCAGCACTTCGATGGGTTGAGGCAGCAACGGACGCTTGTCCCTGCTGAGGGTTTGTGGTAGTAATTTCAGCCCCTTTATGTGCTGAAACTGTTACCTTGGACCCAGTTTTATTTGTCTTGACCATTTGATAGATGGTGCCCTTCTGGGTAGAACCCATATTTTACCGGCTGGCTTGTATTCAGGGTCCTAATGAAGCCTGAATATTTACCCTCAGTTTTAAAAGCTGTTCTTGCACTCCCACAAAAGTGGCTGTTGTTCTATGAGTGTCTCAAGTAGTCAGCCCCCTTAGCTACCTGCCTGGTGATGTCATAAAGGAAGGAGCTTCCTCTTAAACATCCTGGCATATAGCCACAATTCTTCAGAGAATTTCAAGCAGTAACTGCAAGGAAACTGGACTTGTCTTTGGAGTTGACACCAGCAAGGCTTTGGCTAAGTTCTCAGCAAAACCAGGATTTCCTGGTGTTTAGGAAAGGCTCCATACCCTCCTCTTACTCTCCTCAGATTCCAGGAATTCCCAGAGACTCATCCAGAAAAGGAATCAGCCTGAATATCCTCCTAAGGCAAGGCTATTCGAATCAATCACACTGCGTTAGCCCCTGTCTTAATTAGGTGCAAGGTCCAAATCTGTCCCAATTTGGTTTGGAACTGCACTGTATACAAGTCAAAAAATACAGTCCAACCTTTTCCAGGTTTTGCGGGTGGTTTGGTTGACCCTGGGGTAAAAATGCAGCATCATAAATTCTCACATGCTTGGCTCAGGAGTAAGAGTAGGATTGCAGAAGGAATCTGCAGTCATTAGTTTCGGTCATAAGTGACTACTTGTGCACCTCAGACAAGTTATTTGGCTTGCCTGAGCTGTAGTTTCATCATCTGGAAACCACTGTCCAAAAGGTGGGTGTCACAGAATAAATGTTAGTGTCTTTTCTCACCATTCTCTTGTCTCAGCTATTATAATCAACTGGACTCTGGCTCTTTCTTTATTTGAAGGGTGACTTTCCAACTTGGATGACCATTTTGGATAAGCGAGACACTGTCATCTTCTTCTCCCTTTCACATGCTTCTCTGTGTGTCTCTGTCTCTGTCTCTCTCTCTTTCAGACACAGACTCTACCATATCCAACATTTATTTCCCTACTGACTCTAAAGGTCATCAGTTACACAGCATGGTCAGATTCATCGTTTCTGGATCTTTAAATTCAAACTTGATAAGAGACAAAGTTGAAACTGAAACCACATGGGTTTTGTTTTTTAATCCACATCCGAGAATATTTTTTCCATTGCTTTTCAGAGAAAGTGGAAGGGAGAGAGGGAGAGAGAAATATCAATGTGAAAGAGACACATTGATTGGTTGCCTCCTGCACATGCCCCAATCGGGGCTGGGGATCAAGCCTGCAACTGAGGTACGTGCCCCTGGGGGGAATTAAACCCAGGACCCTTCAGTCCACAGGCCGATGAGCTAACCACTGAGCCAAACTGGCTAGGGTGTGAAACCACATGATTTTAAGTAGCGGGGATCTCAATAGATTGAGAAACTGAGCTACTGATACAAGTCTTTAGAATATAAAACATGCAGCTAGTCATTGTGTCTTTTTTTTATGTAGAAAAGGATAAAAGTGGGAGAACATGTACAAGTCAGGTATTTTGAAAACATTAAGGGTCAACCAGGTTGAAGTAAAGATGCTTTTTAGTGATTTGTAGTCATTTGTTATCTTGTCATCATAAAATTGAGACTGGCTGACTTGAACAGAGCTTTGTATGATGGTTTACTGATACAGAACCTTTAACCACGAGCCTGTAATGTGTTATTTGTTGAGTTTCAGGAGTTCTCTATATCTTCTGGATATTAATCCCTCATCAGACATATGATTTGCAAATATTTTCTCCCATTCTATGGGTTGCCTTTTTACTCTGTGGATAGTGAAATTGTAAATTTTCCTGAAGTCCAACATGTCTTATTTTTGCTTTTGTTGCCTGTACCTTTGGTGACATATCCAAGAAATCACTGCCAAATCCAGTGCCACGAAGCTTTCATCCTATGTTTTCTCTAAGAGTGTTATTGTTTTTGGTCTTATGTGTAGGTCCTTGTTCCATTTTGAGTTAATTTTTGTACATGGTGTTATGTAAGGGCCCAATTTCATTATTTTGCATGTGGATATCCAGTTTTCCCAGCACCATTTGTTTAAAAGACTATCCTTTCCCCGTGATCTTGGTACCCTTGTCAAAAATCATTTGGCCATATATGAAAGGGTTTATTTCTGGATTCTCTATTCTATTCTGTTGATCTACAGTTCTGTATTTATGCCAATAGTTTTGATTACTGTAGCTTTGTAAGCTTTCAAACCAGGAAGTGTGAGTCCTCCAGTTTTTTTGATCTTTTGCAAGATTATTATGGCTATTCAGGGTCCACTAAACTTTCATATGAATTTTAGGATTGGGATTTTGATAGAAATTGCACTGAATTTGTAGATAGCTTTCGGGAGTATTGACATTTTAAAAATATTAAGTCTTCCATTACATAAAAATGGGATGTGTTTTCATTTATTTACATTTTCTTTAATTTCTTCCAGCAATGTTTTTTAGTTTTCATAGTATAAGTGTTTCACCTCCTTGGTTAAATTAATAAGTATTTTATTATTTTTGATGCTTTGTAAATGTTGTTTTTGTAATTTCCCTTTCAGATTATTCATTGTTCATGAAAATGCAACCGATTTTTGTGTGTTGCCTTGGTGTCCTGCTACTTTGCTGAAGTCCTTTATTCTAACAGTTGTTTGTATGGAATATTTAGGGTTTTCTACATATAAGCTCATATAATCTGAAAACAGAGATAATTTTACTTTTTCCTGTCTGCTGCTAATTTACTCAGTGGGAGAGTAGACTTATATAATTCCCAGAGGATCAACTTATTTCTAAGCAACATATACAGCATTACCATTATTCAGAAAAAGGCCAAAGGAATATATCTGGAAAACAACAACTGAAATATTATCCTGTTTTCCAAGGACGGGGCAGTAATTTCATTCAATAATGAGCCAACATTGATTAATCATCTACTATTGTGTTTAGACCTCTTCACATAGTCTCTGCTTCCCCATATTGACAAAAAGTGAACAACTCAGTATACTCCAAAAACTTGGCACCACACCCACAGAATAGATGTGAGGATGGGAACTAGATTCATAGAGGATACATCATCAGTTTTAACCTGAAATTAGCTTTTGGTTCATTTCCACAATCCTTAAACTTTGCTCAGGGTACTCTTGAGCTACAGTCTCAGGGAAAGCTACTGTGTTTTGTTGTAAGGATATAAATATGTTTGTTCCAGTTTGATCTTGGGCAGGTTATGGAACCATCTTTGGGCCAGTTTCCTCTTTTGTAAATAGGGATAATAATAATACAACTTTTAGTGTTGTTGGAGGATTAAAAATAATTGCTCAGTTAAATATTTGCTGAGCACCTAATGTGCGTAAGTTCTGTGCCAGGACCTAGAGATACCTCAGTGAACAATCCAGACATGATCCCTGGTCTCACAGAGCTTACAGTTGTATGGGGATGCATGGGGGTGGAATATTCTAGTGGTTTATAAGTGTGCCACATGTGTGCTATGACATAAAAATAAGGTCTATGTGTGACGTAGGGGCAGAGCAGGCAGGTACTATGGGAGAAATCTTACAGAAGGCCCTAACCTAGTCTGAGGTTCAGGGACTTCAGGAAGATTCCCTGAGGAAATGAAGTCATGTTAGTAGTTTTGGTCGTGGGAAGCTGAGTTAGTTCCTATCTGATGGCTTCTGTTTTCTTTGTGAGATTGGAGGTGAAGTCATCTGTTGAATGTTAATGGAAAGTGAAGGATGGAAGTTTGAAATAAGAGCTGCTGAGAATGGGCAAAGAAGCATACTAAAGAAACACAGGGGGACTGCCACGTGCAGGAAAAGGATTCATTTATATAAACTACCCGGCACAAATACATGCTCCATAACCGATAAACACTAACTACCAATATTATTATGGTTAACATTTGCCACTATTACATAGTCACTGGCCAGATAGAAGAGTCTACTCTGCCAGACCTGTAGGCAAAAGGTTACAAACCTTTTGTGGATTTGTAGCCTTTATGAATACTAATAAATAATGCTACAATATCCTAACTCATCATTTATCATGATATATCTTCTATTAGCCCATAACAGAAATTGAAGCCTCTCTGGGTGGTGGTTTCTCTCCCAATAACTAAAATAAACACATCTTACACAACTGAAAGTCAACTGGTATTAAAAGTAAACATTTTATTATATAACAGAAGTAAAAGTTTTCAAAAATCTGTGTCAACAAAACCAAAGCTATTCTGGGCACAATGAGAAATTTTTATGATCAAAAATACTACCTTTCACTTTTCAGAAATCTAACTGAAAACAAATTATTACAACCACTGTGCTGAAATAAAAGCTTAAAATACAGCTCCGAAAAACAGAAACAAAAACAAATGGTTACATATGCTATAAACAGGCAGGGCCAAATCTTTCTGTCTATTACGGCAGCTGAACAAAGTGTGAGTTACGGAACCATTACCCTGATGGTGACTGAAGGAGACTAGGAAGAAGGGAGCTCACAAGCAGGATATTCAAACTCAGGCCAGGAGTCCATCTATGATCCAGTTCCGGTCAGTCTGACAAGTCACTCTGATCCAGCACGATTATCCTGTATGCATGTTTTTTAAAAAACAAAAAAGGGAGTTTTGAGTTGGCATGTACATTTTTAAAAAAATATATGTTTTTATTGATTTTTAGAGAGAGAGGAAGGGAGAGAAAAAAGGGAGAGAGAGAAACATCACTCGGCTGCCTCCTGCACGCCCCCTACTGGGGATCAAGCCTGCAAACCAGGCACATGCCCTGACTGGGAATCAAACCATCAACCTTTTGGTACACAGGAAGACAACCAACTGAGCCACACCAGCCAGGGCAGCATGTACACTTTTAAAAGACACAAGAGCCCAGCTGGCATGGCTCAGTGGTTGAGCATCTACCTATGAACCAAGAGGTCCCGGTTTGATTCCTGGTCAGAGCACATGCCCAGGTTTCAGGCTCACAGCCAACTGATGTGATGTCCCTCTCATCGATGTTTCTATCTCTCTACCCTTCTCCCTTCCTCTCTCTTTAAAATCAATAGAACATATTAAAAATTTTTTTAAAAAGAAGACACAAAAACAGCCTCTTTCTGAATTCAAGGGAAAGGGATTCTGATTTTTAAAAAATTTTTATTAAATTTATTGGAGTAACATTGATTAATAATATTTTTTTATTTTTATAATCAAGGGAGATGGGCTCAACTAAGGTATCGTGGAAATGCAAAATGACTGCAAAGCAACTGATAGCACCTTCTGTAGTTCCTCCATCTAAAACTGTTCTTTTCTAACTACTGATTACTTAACCAAAGTTAGTGTTTGCTTTATCTTACGTTTTATTAAGTATAAACATTAACATTTTTAAAACTGAGCAACTCTGAAGTCAAGTCTGTCATTAATGTTTATCAAGATGCTGATAAATGTTTATATAGTCTGCCTGTGTTGTCTAGAAATAGTGAACTTTGACCTACGGACATCTAATATCTCATTACCTGGAAGGTTCCGTCCAACTCCGTCGCTTCCAAAAACAAGATTTCAGTTCCTCTTGATGAAATATAGGAGGAAGAAAAACAACCTGATTACTTTCTAGGTCAAAAGGTACCAGTATTCAGAAGTCACATTACTGCTCTCTAGTTGAAGATGAACTGTTTTACCTAGAATCTTTCTAAAAACAGTTCATGGGTTTCCTCTTCTAACATTCTGCAGTTCCCTGTCATAGCTATGGACACTATCTATGATGCTAACTCACAAAGCCCCTCCATTATATTCTCAGTGAATTCAGTACTAGCCAAATGCTCACACACCTGGGCTCTCTCCCAGTCAGGGTCCTGGAGGAAACAGAATGCCACCCCAGGCCCTTCGATGAAGTTCTTACTTAGAGAAGTGTAGTCAGAATTGAGGCAGCAAACAAAGGATGGCAAAGCATCCCATGACTAGCAACAGTGGGAAGCCATTATTACTACTAAGTCTGAAAGGACTGGAGGGTGGAAGTAGGGACAAGACAGTTACTGGAACCCAGTGAGAGCTGGACCTGGGAAGAATGGGCTGTGTTTACGGAGGGATACCTCTTATAGGCAGAGGTAACATGCTGAATTAGGCAGGCAGGGGAAGTAATACCCCAACTGCTCTTGTGCCCTCTGATATGCTGGTGCCTCCCACTGGCCAACAGGAAGCCAGCTGGCCTTCACGAAGCCCAGGAGATGCCGGGTTAATGGCCTGGGGCACAAAGCAGGGCAGAGGCAGAATGAGAATGGGCCGGAGAAGGATGAGAGGGATTCCTGATGACCTGAAAGAGTTCATGTCTCTTCCTGAGTAGAAGGAATTTAAAAACAGGAGGGTGTCATTTGTAAATGAATCTTAAAGCTCTACCAAACTATTTTGAAATTAAGATTAATTTATACCTTTCACATTACTTGCAGACTCCATTTAAATTCTACAATTTATGATTTCTTATTGGATTCTGCAGCCTCTGTGTGAGCTAAATTTAGAACTCTTTTGAAGGCACTAGACAGAAGCAAAACATCTTTCTAGGCAATGTGCGAGATAAGAATGATGAGACTGGCCGAAGCCTTGCTTTAGAAATGAAATTCAATGTTGTTACTGTTTTGTGATGAAGACATGATTGGCAATTAACAGAAATCCCTGGCTGCGCTATGGGGGAAATGTGTACAAGGATTATGTACAGCATCTGGGGAACACTTCTAAATAACTTTGATGTCCATCAAAGCCCAAGGACTCCAAGCTACACTATCAAGGATTATTCATCCATCCATACCTTCTTTAGAAGTCCCTAAAAAGCTCTCTGATGTCTTCTCTGGCTTCATGCCTTCTTCCTCTCTTCTCTTCTTCTCACCAACTTCTCGATCCTTGGTATTTATCTCCCTTCAATAACAATGATTTTTGGTATCAAAACATATGCACAATGGCCAGGAAACATAATAATAGCTAGCATGAATGGAGTGTTCCCTATGGGCNGCAAGAGGACTGTGCTCCAAAGGAAACATAATAATAGCTAGCATGAATGGAGTGTTCCCTATGGGCCAGGCATCGCTTCAAGTACTATAATGTATATTAACTCAGTTTTCATCACAACTATGTAAGGTAGTTACCACTACCATCCCCATTAAGTGATGAGGAAACTGACACACAAAGAAGTTAAATTACATGCCTAGTAAGCCCCAAGAGCTGGGATCCAACCCAGGTGGTCTGTCTCAGACTCTGCTCTCAATCACTAGGTTATATTGTCCCAAAGAAAAAGAAGGCATTTCACTTATGTTGTCATTGTTCTTTTACAGCCACCACTTTATTACATCTTCCTTTCCTGAATCTCTCTGAAATGAAATATCTAAAGTATCTAACAACTTTTGTCAAACTAGTAAGCAGAAACTTTCTCTCCCACTCAACTATAAGCTCTTAAGGGCAGAGACATCTTATCCCTCTGCATCTCTAGGCCCTAGCACAGCACTTGGCTTGTAGCCAAAGCTCCACAGACGCTGGCTGAACCAAACTGGCACTGTTCAAAGATTTCTCTTCTGTTTTCACTTGCTGGATATTCAAAACAAATATGTAAATGAGAGAGAAAATAAAGCCTGGGGGGTGAAAAGGACTTTTTCATCCTAGCCTCTCATCACTAACAGAATCATAGGCTCTAGAGTCTGTCCGGAGGAGGCCTTCAGGTTATCTTCTGCTCTGTCCAAATGCCCCAGACCAGAGTCATCCAGCCTGTGCTTGAGAGGGAGGAGCTGTTTTCTCTGACAGAGAGCTATGGCTATGAGAAAGTTTATGCTTTACTGAATAAAAATCCCTTACTCTGCAGTCTCTAGTCACTAGCTCTGTCCTTTGGGGCAGAAGACAGTAAGCTGACTCTCTTTACTTTACGATATTTCAGGTGTCAGGGCAGCTATCAAATTCTCCACTCCATCTGCTCTTCTCAGGCCGAGCCTCCCCAGCTTCTTCAGCTGTTCTCATATGACATGGGTCCTTTCCAGACCTCTGACTGTTTAATGGCCATCCTCTTGTTTGCAAATGTCCCTTTTAAAATGTGCCTCCCAGAAAGGAGCCCCATACTGTGTCACAGCAGCATGAGTCATTACCTTGACCTGGTCAATACATTTCTGCTGTTCATCATTCATGCTGCACCGACCTTTATATTTTTATTTTTCATTGACTTTTTTAGCAACTGCATCAAACTGAGGCCTCATGGAGTTGCTGTCTATGCCTTCTTCAGAAAGAATGTCTTGAATTCGTATTATCTCAAGATGCATGTGAAATGCCAGGCATATCAAAATAAGACACACACATACTCCCTCTCTTCCTCTCTCTCTCAAAAAAATAAAAATAAATAAAAGTAATACATATTTCCTGCCTTCAATGGAATTACAATGAGTAGGATCTTCCAATAAAAAATTCCCCGTTAGGTCAGAACTCTCACATTCCATACTTTGGGATCCAAATGCTCTGCTTCATCTTTGAGGGAAATCTAACATTTCCACCTGTTGAGACCATTTTGAATCCACAGTCTATCACCCATCACATTAGTATTCATTTTAGACTTGTGTTATCTAAAAATTTGATAAGCATACCTTTTTTTATTTAATTCAAATGACTGATGAACATGTTGAAGGTGACAGGGCCAAGATACAGCAATCTTAGAGGCCTCTCTCTATACTGATATCAACCTGTTAATATCTTGAGTACTATGGGTGTTTGGAGGAAGACGGGCAGACGGAAGTCAGGGCTGGCTTATCCACAGCAATGTAATGCCATCACCAGATATTCATTCTCCCAAAAGGTGTTTTTTAGAAACTGAAATCTAGTCCCCCTTCCAGAGAAAGAAGAAAACAATCCCTGGATGGAGAACAATATAATAACCTTGCAGAGCCCTTGGGGAGATCCTGTTGCTCCAAGATGTCCTCAGGTGGCAGCAGCCATCTTTCCAGGTCCTCGTCTAGAGAAGAGTGAGCTCTGCCCAAGGGCAAGAAGAGAATTGAGACCAGTCACTTCCCGTCTCCCTTAACAAGGAGGCACAGCACCTTAGAGTGCGAAAGGACCTTCAAACTTGTGCTTTCACTATACATATAAGAAATGGAGAGCTTGCTAAGATTGTATGCAGAGTTATAGAGGTCACCTAGATCCGATAAATGTGCACAAAATCCTCTTGACAAAAATCTTCGGCACCCATGACATCCCTACCTTCCGAAGTCCAATGCTAGACTATCTCAATTCTTGATCATTAAGTCAGTTTCCACCTGAGGCTAGAACTGTACCCTCTGAGACTAAAGGATGCAGTGTGTGTTTTCAGAAGGCCCACAGAGTTCCACCCATCTGAACAATATCTTCCCCTCTGGCTTGGTGCCAAGGACTGAGATGACGGAGCATCTGTGGGCATCTCTCCTTGCTCGGCCCTTTTGGGAAAGAAAGAGACAACAATAATAGTAGCTACATTTTGACCATGTGCAAAGCACTTTATATAATCAAATGTAACTTGGCCTTCCTGAGCTACTCTTCTTTTGCCTTGAATAATGGCATAGATGTTACTGGAGATGTTTTGGAGATGGAAGGAATGGAGTTACACCTCACATTATGGTCAGAAGATTTCTAAAACTTAAAGAACTATATCGTCCTCCCCACCCCACCCCCCGCCTCTTTTTCTTCTCTGTCTCCCCCAAAACCCTCTCCCCACTTCCTCGCAGGTCCCAAGGCTCTTGTCTCCTCTTCCACTTCCCAGACCTTCCCTTACAGGTCTCTCTTTTCCTTCCTTATATAGAATAATTTTGCCCTTGAAGAGTGTGGCAAAAACAAGATTCACTATCCAAAAGCTACTCAAACCACTCTTCTCCCTTGCCGCCTTCTTCTACAGCAGCTAAAAAGTTAAAGGCTCAAATTCCAGTCTCCCTTGTAACTGAAGATGGTCATGCATCCCATTTGCCCAATGAGATATAGTGAGAAAAGCGGCAGAGTCAGCTAGAATAGTCCTTTGCCCCACCCTCTTTTCTCTGCCTGGTGTGTGGACAGTAGTCATCTTACAACCAGGAGGTGACAAGCCTGAAAATAAAGGCCAACATGCTATGCTGTTGCTATAGGTGGCACACCAGGAAGATCAAAAAAGCCTGTCTCTGGTGGCATCTTTGATGCCCTGCCAACCTGTGGGCCTCATCATGTGTGACAAACTCATTTAGGCATGATGGTGGGGTTTTCTATCACTGCAGCTGAAAGAATTCTGCAGGGCTACCTTAAGGATCCACAGGACCAGTAACAGGATGAAGCAAGTGGTCCAAAGACAAATTCAGATCCTGTGTTTCTTTAAAATTCAGATATTCTGTTCATCATGGATTCTTTTGTATTAATTTTGATTTTTAAAAATATTACATTAAAATAGCACTTATCTTGACTCCTGCGTTTTCTGGGGCCTCCTTCAATTTTGTGTACAAGGAGTGTCTTACTCACCTCGCCCTGAATGATAGGACAAGGCAAGAGAAGTCGGGAGGCAAAGGAGATGAGCTGCAGTGGTTTACCTTCCAACACAGGTCAAAGGAGAGCTCCGAATCAGGACGAGAATCAGACTTCCTGAGGCAACCTTGTGTTTTAAACTGAATTGTCAGATGATTGTCCCCGCTTCCTCCTATTTGGCTAGAAAGATCTAACAATTTCTTTTCCAATGCCTTTAACTAAGATGTCTTGAAAAAGCCAAAACCCATGTTTGCCTAAACAAACCACACAACTTGACAAGAAAAAAACCAAACAGCCCTATTAAAAAATGGGCAAAGAAGTTAAATATTTCTCCAAAGAAGATACACAAACGGACATAGAACACATGAAAAGATACTCAGCATTAGTGATGATAAGGGAAATGCAAATCAAAACCACAATGAGATATCACCTCATATCTACTAGGATGGCTACAAAAAAACCCCCACACGCAGAAAATAAGTATTGGCAAGAATGTGAAGAAACTGAAACCCTTGTACACTGTTAGTGGGAATGTAAAACAGTGCAGCTGCTGTGGGAGACAGTCTGGTATTTCCTCAAAAAAATTAAAAATAGATTTACCATATGATCCAGCAATACCACTTCAGGGTATAGATCCAGAAGAATGGAAAGCAGGGTGCCTTGAAGAGATATTCATACACCCATGTTCACAGCATTATTCACAACAGTCAAAAGGTGGAAGCAACCCAGTCTCCACTAACGAATGAAAGAATAAACAAAATATGATATACACATACAATGGAATTAAGCCTTAGAAAGTAAGGAAATTCTGACACAGGTGACATGAACAGACCTTGAGAACATTATGCTCAGTTACAAAAGGACAAGTACTATATGATTTCACTTACATGAAGTCATCAAAAGTAGTCAAACTCACAGAAACAGAAAGTAGAATGGTGGTTGCTAGGAACTGAAGGGAGGGGGACATGGGGAGTTTTTTAATGGGTACAGAGTTTCAGTTTTGCAAGATGGAAAAGTTCTGGAGACTGGTTGCACAGCAGTGTGAATATAATTAACACTAGTGAACTGCACACTTAAAAATTTTATGTTGTATGTATTCTACGACAATTTAAAAAATGTTTTTAAAACCTTTTAGGAATAGGGGCTATTAGGATAGTATTGAAAAAGACCATTTTCCCCCTTCTTCTTATTTGTCAATAGAGGAAAAACACTAATACAAACTAATACAGTATTTTAAAACCTTTCAAAAGTCCAGCTTTTTCTGTTACCTCTCTGTGTCTTCTCCTACACACTGAGTTTGTTGGGTCCAAAGTATACTATCTTCTTTTGTACTGTTAGTTTCTTGTTCTTCTAAATGACTCTGATCTAAAAACAGTTGAAAAACTTCACTTTATTTGAACAGCAACAAAATAATTCAAAAAGACTGCCTTAAAATGGAGTGCAAAAAACTTAGGGTTAACAGTGGCCTCTGTATCCTGCAAAGCACTAGTCCCCTCTTCCCAGGAAAGCAGGGGCCAGGTGGCAGTCTGCAGGGTGCCTGTGTTCACAGCAGCTGCTTCTGGGGTCTTGGGAGCTCTTCAGTGCCAGGTAAAGCTACAGGAAACCCAGCTTGTGCCAGGGCTCAAGAGAGACAAGGAAGCAGAGGAAGGAAAGGGCACATAAGAGAGGAAGTAAGTGGCCCTGAAAACAAATTGCACAGATTTACTTGAGGACCACCCTGTTCCCACTTGTTAGATATTTCTAGGTTGGAGCCCCAGGGAAAATATTTGGGTGGGGAAGGGTAGTACCCTTTAATGTATGCCAGGCATTTTACACATGCTATCTTGTTCCATCCTGCCAGCAATCCTATGAAGGAAAAAGAACTAACATTTGTTCAGTATCTTACAATGTACCAGGCACTGTGTATGGAGCTATTACGCACATCATGAAGTAGGAATTATCATCCCCATTTTATAGATGAGGATAACTGAGGCTCAGACACATTAAACAGTTGGCCATACAAAAGTGGAGTCAGAAACAGTTGGCCATACAAAAGCAGAGTCAGAATCGAGGTGGTTATGCCTGACCTCAAGGTCTACACTCCCCCAAATGTACCACTGTGCTGCCAAGGACACCATCCCAGCATGAATCAGATGAGAAAGATCTGGGTAGTTGGCTTACCGTTTGCAGTGATGCCCAGAGGACTTGCTGTGTCCTCACCCAATGCGGTGGACGAGGCCTGCTGCCGCTTCAAGTGTTCTGTCCAATACAAAAGCAGAAGGCAACTTATTTCTTCCTGTTCATGTCACACCATTCTCTAGGGCAGTGGTTCTCAAAAGGGGTCCTCAGACCAGCCACAGTATACCTAACTTGTTAGATATGCAAATTCTCAGGCCTCATACCAGACCCACTAAATCAGAAACCCTGGGGGTGAGGTCCAGCAATCTGTAGTTTAACCAGCCCTCCAGGTGATTCTGATGCCTGATAGCTTGGAAACCACTGCTTGAGGACATTCAATCCCATACAATAAAACTAAAACTGATGATGGCAGGTAAGACTTGCAGAGCCCTATGTGGCAGGTATGGTTTCTAACCCACATTAAAATCAATGTTTGCAGTTATTCTCACAACAGCCCTATGAGATGGATCACATTATTGTTATTCCTGTTAAAGAGACATGGAAATGAAAGTAAAGAAAGGTTAAGGAGGAATTTACCTAGAATCATAGAGTAAGAGGTAAAAATGGGATTTAAATCCAGGCAGTCTAGCTCTAAGGTTTATGCTCTCAATCTCCATTTTCTAATCTATGTTTGTAACAGCATCAGAACAACCCATAATTTCCTCCATCTCTATTAGACTATTTCATAGTTTTACCTAGTTTATGGGAAAGACAGAAAGCAAAGAATATCTATAACTTCTAGTTCCTAAAGAATTGCTCACTAGACCCAGACAAGCAACTGCTAAGCTCAGCACACTGCATTTGTTAGGTGCTTAGTTTCCTCCAAGTGTTCCCAGAGCAGAGCAGAGCAGACAGCTGGGAGGCAGCATAGACAGGAGCCCTGGGCTACCTCACCACATGGCCCTGCTATGTGCAGACACAGGTCTCTCCCTTCCTGCAGGTCAGGATACAGGCCCTACGTGGTAGTTCCTGGGCCATTAAGGGCCCCAGAAGATCATTTAATATAATTTGAAATAAAAACCCCACTTCATCCTTGTTAAAAGTAGTCCCTTGTTGATCATAAAGGATCCCCTAGAGTTCTAGAGGACCTCCCCTTTAGGCCCTTGTCAGAAGCCTAGGGCTTTGGATGTGGGCGCTCCAAAAGCACAGGTGTTAGCTCTGGGTCACTCCCCAAAGCGCTCTGGAGGGGAAACAACAGCAGAGTGATGATACAGTATACAATAACCAGATGGGAGCACCTATTAGGAGAAACTACCCAAATGCCCTCTGCCTTTTGTCTTTCTGGAAAATTACTGACCCATCTCAAAGTACAGACATCACCTATAAACCTGGCCCAGATAATTCCCCTAAGTAACGTGAAGGGAAGTTTCACAAAGTGCACAGGGATACAACAGTGCCATGAGGCTGGAGCCTGGGAAGAGACCTGGTGACAGCTGCTGAAATGGGGGACTCCACGTGGTGACTGAAGAGAGAAGACAACAGAATCCAGAGGAAAGTTTCACTAAATTCAAACTGCAAAGGAGTCTACAAGTACTGCCTTAATTAAGGCAGGACCAAGGAACAGATGACACCCGAGCAGGACATGTGTGGTGACCTCTACTCTCACAAGCAGCAGTTCTATTGCTGTATTAAGAAGAGCAACTGGAGAGCACTTTGCAAGGACTCCCTAGGGAGTTCCAGAGCAGGAAAGTCGGTGTGGGGGTAGGGCCCTGAGAGAACGACACCCAAATCCTGTGACCTGTATGAACCTGTGGCACCAGGAGAGGGGTGCAGTGAGGTAAGAAGGACCTAGGACTACAGAAAACAAATCTAAGGAAGGTTCTGGCAGCTCTGATCAGCCCCACCCAAGTTCATCAGACCAATGGGGCTCGGCCTTGTGACAGCATAGACTGTAGCTTTCTGTTGAATCACAGCAGGTAGTCCTCATTCACTTTCCTTTTCCTGATGAGACACAAAACCTCTGAGACCCTGAAAACCAAAAGGTTCCCCTCAGGAAATTCTCTAGGGGCCGCACACCAAGAATCGAACCAGCAGAGGTCTGACAAGATGTTCCTCTAAGAGTGCAAGTCTGGTGGACCAAGCTCTCAAGAAAAAAGCAGTCAGGTCGTTTCTGGACAAGCAAACCACTTGCCCCAAATGTCTTTGTAGCATTTACTTCCAGCATTAATTCAACTGGGAAAGGCTAGCCAATCAGCTACAACTAAAACTGAGCTGGTATTGCTCAGTCTCTGCCTGAAATGGAAAATTCTGGTCACATTAGGTTTTGTGCCACTGACTTCTCTGCCCTAGGGAAAGTGACTCATCCGCAATGCCAATACCTTCAATACCTCCTGCTAATTGCAAGACTAAAAGAACAGGGTGTCTTGGCCTCAGTAGCCAGACATCACGCCTTCAAGGTATGGCTGGTTTGGTTAGAAAAGGAGATAACAATTCCTTCAATAACAGAAGTTCATCATAATAAACCACTTGTATGTTATTTCCTCTTAGAATCATTACCATGGACCGTCTAAGTAACAACAACAGACATAGGCTAATTATCCTGGCCAGGCTGGTAGTAATCTGAGGTCCATTTTATTGGAAAACTGCCCCTTCCTGAATTCTGTACACTCATATTGCCTTCCACACTATATAGTGCTCAAGCCCAAGGCAAAGAATCATATTGTGGTCAGTGACCACAGCTAACAGGGCCACCGTGTACATTCTGTATTGAACATCCCTTACCAATTTCGTCAAGTAGCTCCTGAGATGGAGGTGGTAGCTTGTCAATGTGTTGCTGCGAGATGGCTTCTACTAGTTCTGAAAAAAGATAAAAGGGAAAATGACTTAACACCCTCCTGGACCTGAAGTGGATTTTCTAGGCTCCCACATGGATGTACCTTAGGATTTCTCAATGATGAAACAAACTAAGGCAGGAAGAAGGCCTCTTCCAATAACAGACCTATTTGAGACCTCCAAATATGTGGATGGCTTTACTCTCCCTTTTACTCCAAACCGTTTCCTGTATCACCCCTATCCCAGGACTGCTTAATCTGTGCCCTGTAATCTGTGCTCCCCATGGATATTTGGGGTAAGTGAAGTACAACTTCTTACTGAAAGGCTGGGGGTCCAATCTGGAACAGGGCTATTGGAGGTATATAGAGGCTCTGAACCAGTCAAAATGAACAAAACATAAAGTAGAAGGCCTTTCTCTGTAGATTTTGAGGCCAGGGCACATAGGAACAATCATCCTTTGGGCCTTCCCCTAAGTGCTCAATTATAACATTAACCAAACTCCCTCAGCATAATCCACAAAATCCTTATACCCCAAAGCGAGATTGCAAGAGTTGTACCAAAGGTGCAAGACATTAAAGTTAATGTGGCAAAGACAACATGCCTGTGTAAGAGCTGTTAACACATTCATACCTTTGCTTTGGAATTGTCTTCTGAGAAGCTATCCTAAGGAAAGGAGCTGAGGTGCAGACAGACTTCTGCACAGTTCTTCAACATAAGGGCATGGTTAAGCGGGATATGCAGAACGGACTGTGATGCAGCCATTACATATATTTACAAATAATTTTTATTGACAAGAGGAAAGCCTCAAAATATATCATCAAAGAAAAAAAAGCAGGCCAGAGCTGATATACGATATAATCTCAACTATGCTAAAAATGTTTTTTTGTATATTTCCAAAATATAAAAAAGATATGTACCAAAATAGTACAAGAGGTTAAAAAATGGTGGCAGAATTCAATGCTTTTCTTTTTTAAGTTCTTCTTTATTCTCCAAGTTTTCTATAATGAATGTGTCTTTTATAATCGGGGGAAAATAGTTTTGTTTAAATTGAATGCAGCATCAAAGATGAGACTATGGCTCCCTTAAATTGCCTTCCTATTATGAACCTGTATTTTGATAAACACAGGGTACCTCTTGGCAGGCTCCTCTTCTGGGTGGCATGGGATGACGTGTCAGGTGCCTTAGCACTGCTGGAGGAACGAGCCCCAGTACATGTAGATGATCTTTTCTATGAGTAAGACATAAATAAGGTAATTGACACATATATTGAGCTAAAAAGGCCCGTGCAGCTCCATCATTTCCAACATTAAGGCTGTGTATCATTGATAGAAGTAGCCAGGTATCTGTTGATTCCTTCTCATCCCTCCTCGCCTCTGCAGCACTGAGTACTTACCTCTTTGTTACAGTCTTTCTCACTAGGTGGTGAGCTCCTTGGGCACAGGGACTATGCCCTTTATATTCACATTTGGATGCCTAGAAGAGGGCCTGGCACTGTGCCTTGTACTTAGAACCTGCCCAATTAACAGTTTGATGAATGAAAGCATAAAATTCTTTATTGCCCTACTTCAGAGTGAGACCTTTTGTGAATCAAATGCCCAGAGAAGGTAATAGTTGGTTTTTCATTGAAGGCCAAAGCCAGTCATCAATCTGCTACAGAATGGTGAGTCAACAGGTTCTTTTTATCTTGTTTTGAGTGCATAAACATAAGCATTTTATTACTCATGATTCTGGGAGTCAGGGTTCAGGCAGTGCTCAGTAGAAACTGCTCCACATGATGGCAGTTGAGGTAACAATGATTTGGAGGATTCGAGAGGGTTTCATTCACACGTCCAAGGTCCTGGTAGTGGCAGGACAGGCAAAGTTACATTGCAAAGGGATGGAATGATAGGTTCTCAATGCACAGTACCAAGCAAAGAACTTAGTTTTCTTGAAGAGACTACACATGTGAAATATGAGGGAGGAGAGAAGGTAGCACACAATTGACTGTTTTTACTGCAGACTATTCATTCAGGAGTTCAGAGAAGACTCAATATCAATCTGGAACTAACCAGAGGAGGCTTCAAGGAGGAAGCAGAACTCGAGCCTCCTCAAGTGGGTAGGATATGGTTAGAAAGAAAGAACAATGCAGGTGAAGGCAGCATCATAAGCTATGGCAGAGGTTGGCTCTTAGAGAAATTGCCAAACATTATCTCTAGGGAGAAAAAAGGCACAAAAACCCAGGGTCTATCTTACAGTACAGACTCAGAGAGGAGCCCCAGGAAAGCCTGGAGAGGAGCCAACCTACTTCTTGCCCTCTTTGTAAAATGGATGTGGAGAAATTGTGGTACTCTAGACCACTGAGGCCTTTGAGCTAACACCATGGAGTGGAACGCAGAGCTGGCATACTTACGTGATCAGTCCGTCTTGAAGGGAGAGTTCCAGAGAAAGTAAAAAGGGACTCTAGGCTCTTTGCTTTCTCTTGGACAGTTGTAAATTTATCAGATTCCTGACAGCTCCAGCATGAGGAAGACCCTGTTTTCACCTGAAATGTGATGCTTTCAAGGCAGTCTTTATAGCGACTGTCAGTTGAAGAAATTGACTCTGTTGTGGAAAAAAGGGCAGTTAGTGTCTGAATCCTTTATATTATTTAAAAACAAAAACAGAAAACCCCACACAATTCTACACCTATACCAGGGATTTTCCAAATTGTTAATAACGGAAATAATCACTGATTCAAGACACAGCTCCTCAAAGTATAAAAAATGACAGTCTCTAAACTTAGTCATCAAAATAAAGGGAGATTATTTGAAGTACAAATATACTGGAACTAAGGACACCAGAAAGAGGATATTGATGCTGGCTGCATACACTTGCAGGACTCAGAACTATACATGTTTAAGCACAAAGGAATGAAGTTACAAACTCTAGAGAATGCAATGTATTTGCACTAAATTCAATAGTGCTCAGAATACATAGTAGCTTTTGCATTTGCACGTCTGTACCTCTGAAGTAAAAATGCCTCCTATAGCTGTTTAATAACCAACAGTACCACCCCTCCCTGGCCTCCCATGGGCTTATTCCCTTCAGCTTTGGCCCTAAAGAACGCCTCTGCACTGGGAGAAAACACCAGGTCTGCTCCCAAGACCTGGCTTCCCAAAGCAAACGGGGCAGGGGCTCACTCCCTCTTCCAAAACACTTCTCCTCCCTGTGGGTGATTACCTGGGCTGAGCGGAGTGCTGACACTAGTAGGTGCGTGGTTTGTTTTGGGTGTTTTGCATGAGAGTTCCTTAAAACAACCATCTTGTTCATAGGAGATACTAGACAGGTCTTGAATGTCTGTCAATGATCTAAAGAATTAAAAACACACAATAATTGGGAGATGTCTGGAAAAATCAAACAATATATTCCTGAGAGGGACTTTTTAAGGATGCTCTTGACAAAAATCTTTATTTGGCAATAGGTCAGAATTAGAGAATATCTTATATATATATTAAAGAGAATATTAGAGAATATCTTACCAGGAGATACTAACTTTAAATATATCTCAGCAACTAAAAATATACTATGTCCAGAGATGAAAGTAACTTGTGTGGAAACCAAATTTGATCTGTTTACATAAATATGTTTATACCTCAAGTAGAAACATATAGTTGTTATAATTATCATCACTGTCTTTCCTTGACTGTAAGGTGCTAGCAATTTAGATCCCATCTTGGTGACAGAAGAAATAGGCTCACATAAAATGGGAAGAATGCAGATTCTTACAAAGGAAATACTATTCCCCTAAAATGAAAACTTTACACAGGCAATCCTTCAGTGGCCATACATGTCTTTCTCTTTCAGTTCCTTCAGTGACTCCTTTAACGTCTCCTCTTGTTCACCTTCAGGACTGTAAGAGAGAAAGTAAGAAAATTACATGAATTGCCTGTCAGCTGAGTGGACAAAAGTGGTACAAGGGACCAGTGTGAGAAGCAGCAGGAAGGGCACTAAGCTCAGAAGTGGAAAGTGTGAATTCTGGTCCTGGCTCTGCTGTCAACTAGCCACATGTTCTCAAGCAAGTCTGAGCCTTGCTCTGCACCTCAGTTTCCTCTTAGAGGCTGAATAAATGCTCTCTAAGGGTCAGTCCATGTGAAATCAGCTAATGATGCTATATGACGGTGAGCAAGTTCCAGGGGAAATCATTGGAGCACAGGAACTTTGCTGGGGATGGAGACTGGAGCAAAGGGCACAGTCATGGGGCCTGACCATATGAGGTAGCTTCCAGGCGCAGAGTATCAGGAGAGGCCTGTGCCAAGAAATGGCCAGAAAAGAATACTGAAGGCAAACTTGACCTGTTTCTACTTGAACCAGTATTTAGGATTCAGTTTCAATACTTGTTGAACACAAACTATAAGCCAGATCCCAAACTAAATCCTTCCATGTTTTCAAAATTTTAATCTTTGCAACAATCCTGTGAGGCCAATGGTAAAAAGGAAAGGGCATGGACTTTGAGTTGTGACTTTATTCTGTTCACTAAAATATTTGTTTCTCCTTCTAAGCACACAGTAGAACAGCACTTTTTGGCCCTCCTATTTGCATAAATGGCCACATGTCTTGTTCTAACCAGTGAAATGTAAGTTAAAGTGATGTGCGCAACTCCTGGGAAAAAACTTCAAAGGACAGTGCACAATTCACCATGTCCTCTCTCTGCTGCCTCAGCAATTAAGGACGCACGACAGAGCCCATCCTCAGCTTGTATCTCTGACAGAAGGTAACACAACACAGCACACTCCTGGCCATCCCATGATGGACAGGGAGCATGAGCAAAAGATAAACTTTCATTGCTTTAAGCCACTAAAACCTGGGGATTGTTATGTAGCATAATGTAGCCTCTCCTGGCTGATATAGCCACTCACTAACTGTTCAACCTTAGAAAAAATACTTAAACTCTCTCAACTTTGCCTTCCTTACTGGCAAAATAGAGATAACAGTGTGTACCTCCGAGGGTTATTATATGACTTAAATCTGACAAAACAGTGTACCTGGCATGTGGTAGCTGCATAGGAAACACTAGCTATAATTATTATAGATAAGGAAATTGAGGCTCAAAGAGGGGGAAAGTAAATTGAATGTTATTGTACCAGGCCCTTTACATCTATTAGTTTAATGAAATTTTTTCTTTTGAGATAACTGTATATTCACATGCAGTTTTAAGAAATACACTTAACGTAGTTTCCCTCAATGGAAACATCTGGCAAAGTTATAGAACAATATCACAACCAAGAAATGGACACTGATACAGTCAAAACAGAGACATTTCCGCCACCATAAGTCCCTTCATATCGCCCTTTTATAGCCATGTCTATTTCCCTCTCACTCCCTACCTCTTCCTTACTCCTAGTAACAACTCGTTTGTTCTTTATTTCTGTAACTTTATCATTTCGAAAATGTTATATAAGTGAAATCATATAAATAGCTTTTGGGGATTGCTTTTTCCACTCTGCATAATTCTCTGGAGATTTATCCAGGAAGTCACATGTATCAATAGTTCATTCTTTTTCCTGACTGGGTAGCTAAGTTAGCTAGAGCATCATCCCAATACTCCCAGGTTGAGGGTTTGATCCTTGGTCAGGGCACATACAAGAAAAAAACATTAAAAATAAAATGAACAAATAAATAAATAAATGTTCATTCATTTTTATCTTATTTTAAGAGAGAGAGAGAAGGATCCATGTGAGAGTGGAACATCCATCGGCTGCCTCCTACACATGCCCCCTACAGGGGATCAAGTCCAAAACCTGGCATGTGCCCTGGCCGAGAATGGAACCAACAACCTTTCAGTGCACTGATGACACTCATCCAACTGAGCCACACTGGCCAGGGCACTGTTCATTCTTTTTTATTGCTGAAGAGTATTCCATGATACGGATGTATCACAGCCTGTTAAATCATTTACTTGTTAGAAAAATCTTAAAATGTACTAGCCAGTTTTTGGCAACAACAAAAGTACCTATAACTTCCATGTATGTATTTTTGTGAGCGTAAGTCTTCATTTCTCTGGGACAAATACCCAGGAGTTTTATTATTACTTTTAATCCCTATGTCAACATTCTCAGTAAGGATTCTTATTCCTTACAGTTTTACAGACAGGGAAACAGAAAACAGGGGCTGAGAAACTTGACCCAGGTTCACACGGACAGAAAAGCAGTTAGGATCTGAATACAGATAATGACTGCCTTTCACGACCCCACACATTCTGCTAAACAAGTGCTGACAAAGCTAATCTGCGGGGGCTAATTTTTAGAATGTGGTGGCTAGTACATTTTAAGATGAGCAATATATAAATATGGGGTATTATCACCAATTAACATTACTACTATGAGTGAATAAAATCAGAGCACACACCTTGGTATAGTTTGGAACTGAGACCTGGTAAAAACCTCAGCATTCTTTCCAAGGCTTTTTCTCATTTGGACCTTTCTTTCACCTGAAAGAATAAAGTAAATATATTTTGGCCAACCCAGATTATTATTTTCATTCCCTTCACTTTCCCTTGGTCTTGTCCAGAATAAGAAATAATCTGGATAAACAAAAGCGCTTCCTAATTGGGTTTGGATTGAGTGCTGTAGAAGAGGTTTTTGCTCCAAAAGTTTCTTTTCCTTTCTCAGAGGGGGAACTCTGACACTCAGAACACAATCAAGCCATTTACTGGCCTTCCAGTTATAACCACACAGTTATTTCTGGAGACAAATGTTGTTTTGTCTTTTCAGGAAGGCAAACTGACCTGGTTCCTGTCAACAGACACCAGGGGGCGTTGAAACCAAGAACTATTTGTTCACTCAAGAGTCAGTAGAAAAGACCATTAGTTGGGCATTTCCAGAGTGCTGTACCTCTTGGTCATCAAAAAGCACTTAAGGAGTAGGGGTGGGGTCTTGAGTACTAAGGAGCTAATTCAACTGTTCTCTGTTCTTCCCGGTGCTCAGTGAGATACTGTGCAGACCTCTGGCACATAGGGCGAATATCCATGTTCCTTCTCAGCACTCTACTGCTGTGGTTTACAGAGAAGAGGGCAGAGCAGCCTGCCCTATTGGCAAATGCTCATGATCCCCCTGCCATTCCATAGGTCCAGGCAGTCTGGTGGGCAATGGGGAGGTCCATAAGAACAACGCCACCTTTAGCAGGTACTAATGAGCTCTGAAACCTCATCAGTAAAGACACATTGGGGTTCTTCCTGTGACCTTTCAAATACTAGAAAGCATAAATTCCTAATAGGTTCAATTTAGAGCAGGAGGGGAATTTAGAGATTTTAGAGCCTGACCATCACCTTTACTTTATACAAGGGGAGAGTGGGACCCTGGGGTAAGGTGACTTGCCCAAGGTCATGCAGGGAAAAAAAAATCAGTAGCAGAACTAGATTTGGAAGCCAGCATGTGTCCAACTCTTACCCGTTTCATCACCTGGTGTGAAGGCGATATATATCAGAGCCTAGCAGGAAAGGGGGAAGAAAGGGCTGAAAGAATGAAACAGTAGAAATTAGAGGCTTCTTCATGTACTGCAGATGTCTGGATCGAACTAGCCCAGGTTTTCTGACCTGTCTGCTCCACAACTTCTCTATTCCACTCAACTCTCTTCCAAACATAAGCGAAGTGGCCACGTGCAGGCCAGGCTCACCCAGAAAGTGATCATGGGCAGAAGTTACACAAAAAGAAGTGGGTGGCCCAAGACCTAAGTCTGTGGACTTTTAATACTTATTATCCTGAGAATTTAACTGTTCATCTAAAAGCATAGTTCCTTAAAATGCTCCCAACTGTGACAGGGGCCTGGATCAGGTTAGAGATGGAAGCTCGAATGTGCAGCAGGAGGAAAAGAGTAAGTTCACAGCCCAAGCCCACCCTGCCTGGCTGGGTTCAGAGTGTTGAGACGTGACTGTGGACAGCTACATGGCCAGGACAGCTGGATAACTAGTTTTAAAACAGACGGTTATGTATCTTAAAAAAGCAAAAGTGTACATTTTAAATGTCTGTATCAGTACCAGTAGCTCACTTACATGTGGTCTTGTGCCATACCTCAGTTGCTGATCCAAGGTAATTTGCCATGTAGCAGAAAGCAGTTGCTAAGCCATATAGAACCTAAGGCCTCCCAAGGGAAGGATGTTATGCTGCTGACTTTGTGCTACTGGCTGTTGTAAACTCTTTGCTAAGATGCTAAGCAAGCAAACAAAAATGATCATGAAACTCCACCTTTTGGGGTGGAGAAGGACATGGAAACCTAGTTCTGGGTTTGGTTGTGTCAATAACTAGCTGTGTGACCTGGGCAAATCCCTCAGGTCAGCTCAGCAAAGATAACTGAACACCTAATATGTGCCATGAAGGAGCCTGAAATGTAGTGAAAGACTAGGGAAAAAAAGGAACAACTTCAACACATGCCGTAAGAACTCAAGGCGAGGTATAGGTAACATAATGTGTGGATGTCTTGAGGCCGATGAGGGGCAAGAGATTCATTCTAATGAGGGGAAATCACTGAGCTCAGGTTTTCTACTTTGTAAAATGAAAGGCCTGGAGAAGATTATCTCCAAGGACTGCTCCAGCTCCAAACATCTATGTTCCAACACAGGGAAAGCAAGCAGTTCTCAAAGGAATCTGCCCTAATGGCTGATTACCAGAGCCTTGACGTTGGGCAAATGCATCTTGTATTCCTTTTATGGGACTTGAGGTCTGCAAAAAAAAGAAAGGAGGTTCAGTGGAGGCAGACATATCATCAAAAGGTCAAGAAAATTTCTTGATGTTCTTAAACTTTGAAAATCTTCATAAGATTCCTGCATCTTTTATAGAAAAAGAACAAACCTGATTCACAGACACTAAGTTCTTATACGTTCCTCTTCAACAAGGCCTCCCCTCCCCTTCCACTGTAAGGAGGAATTAGGTGACTTTTCCCTTCATCATTCTACCGTCCTCACCCCAACCTTCCAACAAAGATGTTTTGATTCCTGGGAGCTTTATCAGAAGAGCCAAAGAGCTGGAAAATGGTCCAGCCTGCAAAGCTACTCCATGGGGCAAGAAGTCAGAACACTGGTTCCTTTGAAGGGAGGCAGTGACGGGGAGGAGGCACAAAGCGGGTCTTTTCTGGGACCAATAATGTTGTGTTTCTTGATCTGGATGCTGGTTACATGAGTATTCATTTGTGGAAGTTCATGAGCTGAACACTTAAGATCTGTGTACTTTTTTCTATGTTACACTTTTTATGTACGTTTTTGTATATATGTATATATTACATGTATATACATACATATATATACTTAATACCTTTTTATTAAAGATTTTCATGCTGTCCCAGTCTGCTCACAGTAAAATCAAGAATGTGTAAGGGATTAATAATGGAAAACTGCTCTGATTGAGTTTTCAAAAGCACAGACAAGTGGAAGTGATGCTTTTTGATGCATCACTGAATTCTTCTTATCAGTCAAATGTTGTGATTGACATGCACAATCCTCCCTTTCCTCTACCCCACCTTCCATAATAAAAGAGCCAAAAAAAGGTAGCAGATTAGTGGGGAGATGTGGTAGAAATTGTATAAGTAAATAAGAGAATCCAATGAGTTTCATTTTATAAACGAAACTACTCTGTACGAATAGGTTTCTGCAAAAGCCAGGCAGATTCCCGAGAAAGCCTAGTGTGCTGGACAGCTTCATGTCCACTGCTGAACCCTTGGTCTAATCCTGGCTCTGGGGATCACTAGTTCTTCTTCACAGAAAAATAATAGCAGATCTTTTTTCTGTCCCCGAAAGGATATGTGAATTAGATAAAATGAAGAAAAGTGCTTTGAAAAAAGTACAAAGTGCTGTAGAAATAAATGCAGGAACCACACATTTGGGAGAAAATACATTTGACTTTCCATTCTCGTCTTATTTTTCAGATTTTTTTCAAAGCACATGAAAACACTGATTAAGTTGACATTATATACCTTTATGTGTAATCTATTTTCCCTCAATACAAATAATTTAAAAGGAATAGATGATGGAGAAAGCTGAAAATGTACCTTACCCTGAACTGTTAAATTTTTACCTCTAGAGATAAGTTTTCTTGAGCAGTCGTGGAGTAAAAATATTCATTGTCTGGAGTTAAAAATTCATCTCTTATGTCCTCTGAAGACTCTGGTGAACCAGTCGATGGCCAGGACTGTTCCTATTAGTAATGTAGGAAATCACTTTTAAGTTGGTGTTCATTGTAAAGAAATCTCTTTACAGTGGGACGCAGTGTTAACAACGGGGTTCTCTAAAATCACCCAGCAGTCAGGGAGACGCTTTTTGACCTGGCCCTTCCTGCCTGCTTGTACACCTGCCTCTGCCCTCCTTCCCCACAGTGAGCTGTAAACAGGACAATCCCGAGTGTCCTCAATCTCAGTGTCCTCATCTGCACAACGGAGGGGAAGGGGGCTGGGCAACCTTTCTGCTCCAAAATTCTCAAAAAGAAGAAAGGTCCTAGACAACTCAAGCTGAGGACTGAATTTAAATACACGTGCTGGCATCATTCTCCGGATGAGAAGGCTGAGGCTGCTCAGAACTGCGGACTCCCTTGGGTGTTGTTACAGTTTAAAGGCAAGGGAAGGATCGTGATTTTAAAAATAGCAATGCAACCTCAATAGTAAAAACAAATTTTTTTTTTTTAATTGTGTTTTTGTTAATCCTCACCCAAGGATATTTTTTCCACTGATTTTTAGAGAGTGGAAGGGAGGAAGGGAGAGAGGGAGAGAAATATCGACGTGAGAGAGACACATCTATTGGTTGCCTCCCGCATGCGCTCAGACTGGGGCCAAGGATTGAACTTGCAACCTAAGTACATACCCTTCACCAGTAATTGAACCTGAGACCCTTCAGTGTGTGGGCCGATGCTCCAGCCACTGAGCCTCACTGGCCAAGGCCAAACATTAAAAATTTTAAAGTAACAGTTATTTCTTCAGCATCTCTGCTCCACCCCTCCCTCTGCTGTTTATTCCCCTGTGTTCAGGCCCTGACCCCACATGGCAGACAACTGGCTCCTCTCCTCACCTTCAATCATCCCTTTGCAGAGGTTTTGTGGTTTATTTCCTTGGACACCGCTTTTGCCACACACTTCCTCCTCCTGGGCACTTAGCAGCTGCTCGCCTTTACCTCTCATATCAAATTGAAACTTCTCAGACAAGCCTGGCCTCCCATACCTTCCCCACTTCCCTGACAGACCTGCTTCTCTAGCCAAGCCAGTCTGCTTACTATGGCATGTCCTTCTAGCCCTCACGTGACAGAAGGAATAAATTATCCCATGAGTGGTTTATGTGCAATGATAAAATACAGTAGTATGTTCTTTGAAAGACCTAAAATGTTATCACAATTGTATTTTTACACTGTTTCGTTCTTGATTGATATTTACATTTTTTAAGTGATTGTGGCACCATGTCAATGATGATAAAAAACTTGGTTCCTTAGCCTGGATGGACTGTGGCCCAATTGCAGGCTTCAAGGATGTATTAAACCCCTGAAGCAAAGCTGTAACCTCAATGCAAATACTGGGAAATGACTGAACCCCACAGATCCTGCTCAGGCACAATTGTCAGGCACGAACGTATTCTTTCACTGAGCTGAGAGCTGAATTTGGGTCTTAGAGGACATCCAGGTGAAAGTGCTCTCATCACAATCCTGGACTTGCTTTTCCTTCTCCAATCTGGCCTCAGTCACCTGCTGGGCCACCAGCTCTGGTATCTAACCCATGCTGTACTTCCAGAGTTGATTTTGTCTACCCAACTAGATGGGAAGTTCAAGAGCCAGAGCTGAATCTGATGCCTGTCTGTGTTCCCCAGAACCAAGCTCCAAGATACACAACACTTTGAGTTGAACTGACTCAAAAAGTAATACGTAGAGAGATAAAGACTTCTTCATCCATGTCAGAGACATGAGGGCACATACTCCAACAAAAAAGAACTACTACAGATATTATTTCAATGTCATAATACATAACAACCTCTCAGTTCTACTTTATTAGGTCCATGGGTTCAACCTGGCTCTCCGGAACATATTACTTACACTGCAAGATTTCTCAGTGACCACAGATGCTTCAGAACTTGCTTGAAAGACTTCACTAAGCTCTGGCTGCTCATTTCCTCTGGGGCACAGGTGCCTGTTATCTAATGATTATAACACAACCCAACCAGGGCCATAGTTATTCAGTGGTATTCAGATGGCATGAAAGGGAAAAGGACAGCGTGAGAGAAGAGATGCATGGCTATTCTGGTGGCCATGTCCCAGATGGCCAGGTCAGGTTCAGTCTAGAGAGTAGAGACTGTTAGGTTAGCCTGGCCCCAACATAAAGCCCTAGATCATCCACATTTTTGTTCACCCATTCAAGTGTAGGGCTTGACAAGTTCCAAAAACAGAAAAAAAACAAAAGAAACCTAAGCCAATAGATTTTCTACCTAAAATAAATGATCAGTTTAGATGTACCTTTCTTTGACTTGTAAACAACTTTGAAATAATATCCTATGCCTTAATTGCAAGCAAACTACCAAGTGGAAATACACAGCCTTCAGTTTTAACCTACAAATCTATAAAGTGTTGACAGCCAAAGATTCCTCTGGCATAGACTCTCTAGGAGCCAGTGGAGTATTTCCAGCTTAAAATGAGATGCAAAGAAAAGGGCAGTAGGGAGTGGCTGTCCACCACTGCCCTCAGGTAAGAAAGGTTCAGTTCCTCGCTAGGTTACACCCAGGACCAGGGGCAATGCACGGGGATTATTTCACTTCATTTGAGAAAATGGGTTTGCTCTGGCAATAGAAAAACTCATGAATCTCTGGATTTCTTTACCTATGGGAAGGATAGTGGGATCAAAAGGGTATTCTGCTTTCCTCTGGAACACAGGGTTCCCAAACAGTTGGGAAGGAGAGGAGACCAAGCAAAGGAAATATTCCAGGAGGTTTACTTTTGAGAGCTGATTACTTGACAGAGTTCACCTATCTCAATTCCTCCAAGTGAACTTACTGGTGAAGCTTCCAGGCCCAGGCTGTGTGCCATGCTGGCAGTCACGGTCACTGTTGTCTGTTTTGTCATGCTTGCCATTTCGTCCTGGAGCATCACTTTTCCTGGGATACTCTACAACATGCCGCCAAGTCACATTCTCAGGGTCCCTAATGGGGGGCTGCAGCAAGTGATCAGGCTTGTTTTCAGCCTCATTCTCTAGAGTCAAACCACTCTGAGGATGCCAAGGAGGTACAGCCAGCTGCCCAGTAGCTGCTTTCTCTGCCATTTTTCTCACCTCCACTGGATACAAGAGAAAGTCGTTATTTAAAACAGCACTGTGAACATTGGAAACAAAAGCTTTTGATTCTTAAAGAGCTATATAATATTTTTATAGCTCATATTGTCACATAATTGCCTTTTTAGAATTGCATTGCCCTTAGCTTACCCTGTTTTGCTTGAAGGGCTGGAGAGAGAATTGATGAGAGTGAGGAAAGGGCAAAAGAATTTCCATTAGTTCCAGGCCTTGTCACTGAATTCCAGGCAGGAGAAAACTTGTAGATGGGCCTCCTTGCTCTGAAGATGTCACAAGAAAATGACATCTGAAGCCCCCAGTCTGAAGAGATTCTACAGGATTATATTTGAGTTCGTCTAGCCTTTCTAGGCCATGATGAGTTGCTATTTTGGGAATGTGTATATTTTCATTCCAAATGTTCTATACTTTTGCTAATGTCACTTACCATTAGTGTTAAAAAAAACCCACATGGACATTGTTTCCTTTTAAGCTTACAAGATAAAACTGACACAAAAGGATAATGCCCACAGGATATGTGAAAGTGACACTGCAGGCTTCTACGTTAATAATGGCATGTATGTTAAACATCTCTATTGTAGTATATTTTTACTACACTTGTTATATAATTTACATTAATATACAATAGAAATATTTCTTATATGGTCTAGAAATGAAAAAAGCATTTCTCTTCTTCATTTAGTAATCAGAAAGGCCTTGCTTTTAAAATGGAATGATCTAACAGAAGAAAAGAATGTGAGAGAACAGTGCGATACAGGCTGTGCACTTAGAGATGCCAACCAGGTTAGAGACATATTTTAAATTTCATTTTGTCCAACAGAATCCATGACTTTATACTTACTTATCCATTTTAAGTGTACCTTTCCAGCATCTTCATTATTTCTTGACTTTGTATTATATGTTTTGGAAGACGCCGATTCCATATTGATCCTAAATTGTATAGGTTTTTTTGGAGGGGGAGAGGAGCGGGGTGGACACAAACCATCAGTTTGCTCAAGTTCTTGACACAATCCTGAGCCCACCAGCCCACCCAGAGGACTGACACCACTTTAAGCCATTCCTGGGGTTTTACTGACTCCTGGTCACCACCAGAGGGGGCCAGACTCCCCAACATTCAACTAGTAAGACTCCTTACCTGGTAGAGCCTTGGACAGGGATGGATGTTACTGGAGGTCCCTTCGGGTGGTTTGATGCAGCGAAGAGTGAACTATTCAGCTGTGTCACTTTGGCTTGGGCACTGAACTCTCTAGGCTGTCCCTGGCTAAGAAATAAAAGGAATGGGTTAGAAGATCTCTAGGGGTTCCTTTTAATTTCCAAGTTCAGATTTCAAGATAAAAATGCTCTTGGGAGATTTTCAGAGGTAGAACAAACCCAAAATTAAAATACTGTTTCACCAGACAGAATCCTGGTTCTTAGGCTCCCTCTTCCCCTCAATGCCTCAGAACACTAGCGATGGTTCAATAACTGCTCTCGCCCTTCTACCAGAATTCTCCGGCAATAGGCCTCCTGCATACCAGCGATAGCACAATAACTAACATTTGTAAAGATGGACTTAAGGTACCAGGGATCTTAAAGACACTCAGAGATCATCAGCCTAGCTTCATTAAGTTCTAGACCCTGACCTGCCACTGGCTGACTTTGGCAAACTTCAATCTCTCTAGGCCAAGGTTTCCTTATCTGCAAAACAAGAGAGTCTCTTTTCCTCTAAATATCCCATGGTCATATATATTTTATTGTCTATTAAACTCTCAAAAATGTATGTGTGATCTGTGGCATGTATATGAACTCCCTGTTATCCAGAACATCCTATTCTGCCACTGAACCAGACAGCAGAGAGACTGTTGCATTGGAAAGGTCAGATCTGATCAGCTTCTTTAAAGAGCAATTTGGCAACAGCTATCGAGAATCTTTAAGATGCTCAAACCTTTAACTAGCCTAGTAAATTTGCTCCTGGGAATCTATCAAGGACCTAATCCAAAATGCAGAAAAAGCTTTATAGACAAGTCACTGTGGCACTATTCATAACAAAAAAGGTAATGAAACAACCTAAAATTCATCAATTGGGGAAATCCAACAATTTCAAAATAAGTTTACATTACAAGAATGTTTTAATAATGTGGGATAATGCTCGTGTTCAATGTAAAGTGAAATATCAGGATATAATACATTATAATTAAAATAATATAATCAGGATATAATGAAGATTTATACATGTACTGTAAAGTTGTGCACCTAAAATTTATATTATTAACCAATGTTACCTCTATAAATTTAACTTTTTTAAAAGATATATACATGTATATAACTTTTATATTTTAAAAGCATACAAAGAAGACTAGGTGGATTGGTAGCAAAATGTTAAACTTTGGTCTGTTTTTTTGTTCTTCTGGAGAAAAGGGAAGGTCACAACCACAGCTTTTGCTTTGTCATCTAATGGCTATACTGGCACCCCATCTGCTTCTATCAATGATGTGAGTGCTAAACCTGATGCTAAACCAGGTGGTTCTTCAATAATTCCCTGCGTAAAGGTAAAATACACTAAACTAAAATGTCTGGGCATTTTCCTTGATTCTCTCTTAATGTAGATATTTACCAACATGCAAGGAGCAGCAGACTTTGTCATTAATCTCAGTCACCATTGCGGGAGGGAATAAAAAAATTTTCTTCCAGAACTGATTTCAAAGCTGTGAATAAATGCTGCCATTTAACCACAGAAAAGGGAAACTAAAATTGACATACTAGTCTATCTTGAAAAACATTTATTGCTCCTTTAATAATTCCCCCAATGCAAAATAAAGTTAGCTTTACCTAAGTTCTTAAAAACCCAGGGTACACATATGCTCTCCTTCCAGTGATCTGTGCTGAAGCTACTTCACTTTACTGATCCAGCTGGAAATCAGAGGCTGCAGGATAACACTGATAGTGTTCAACCCTCTTTCTGCCCTCCTGTCAGTGACACTTTTTTGGAACCAAATAGTCTGACTTCTGGAGCACTAGCAAAGGGAATACCTGGCATTTCTTTTTGATAAGAAAACCCATCTGGGCAGCTTTGGAAAGGCAAAGGTGCTTTGCTTTTGACAAGTGATGAGTCCTGATTAACCTGCCAGGTGCTTCACCTTTGATGGCTCCTACAAATTTCCATTACCCAGCTCTTTTTGCTCACTTAACAGAGAACCTGCCAAGATCTGTAAACTATTTCTGTGTCACTATTCTTCATCACTCACAGACTCTCTGTCACTAGACATATGAAGATCAGTAAGTGACCTCGGGGTCACAGGGGAATCTAAAGGCATGGAGATACAAAGAACAATAAAACATTAACCCACCTGCCAGTATTTTGGTTCCTATTTCTTTCCAGACTGTCCTTGGCTTCTTGAGTGGGCTGGAATTGTTCACCTGGGCTCTGTTTTCCAGGGCCACAAAGAGTTGGCAGCTTGAAAAGAAATAAACATGCTTCAGTAATTTGATGGAGTTCTTCTCTTCACTCTCCATTCTAGTTTTTAAAGCTATTCTTGCTAAAAGTGTAGAAATAATCAGACCTGCCCAGCCGACGTGGCTCAGCAGTTGAGCGCCGACCTATGAGCCAGGAGATTGCAGTTTGATTCCTTGCATTTGGCTTAGGGGCAACGTTGAACCCAGCTCTGGGTCCTGCTCAGACACCCTACCTCCCACTTCTTAGCTTTACCTGATGGCTCTTTTCCGATGGATCCCCAGTGCTTTTTTCAGAGACTTGAGTGAAAGCAGTGAAAGGTTTCCAGCCACAGCCACTTCTTTCCCTGCACCTTTTGCCAAAATGTCCCCCTTGAAAGTCTCTCATTGTTCTGGGAGACCTTGCTAGGATCGGGCAATTGCTACCTGCATCTGGCCACTGGCCCCCTGGGAGTTGCAAGACAGGGGGAATATAAACAAAAGATGGGGGGCCCACAGCTGCAGGAAAGTCGGAGAGGTTAGAAAACATTCTTGAAGAAGTCCACAGAGAGAGGCACTCCTCCTGCTCCTTCTGCATCCTCTCAAACTCATTGAATTTCTGCTTGATTTTCCCCAGTAACTCGTCATTCTGGTTCGCTATTGCCTGTGCAATCTTTACATCCAGCATGCACTTACTGATGTACATGTCAGTCTTGGACCACTTGTTCACATTGTCCTTCACTTCTCTCGCTGGCTCAGGTGGGCTGGGGGAACTAAGTGAACCATTTTGCCGGTCCCAGTCCTCAAAGGAGAGCTCTGTGTCAGCTTCTGAAGAGCTCCCACTCTTTTCACAAAAACAGCATGCCTCTCTCTCCATCTTTTCCAACTCCTCTTCCAGGGACTTCAGATCATCTACCTGGTTTGGGCTAGGCCCCTCCAGAGATAAACCAGCTCTTGGGGGCTCTTTCTTTTTGTCACTTTCCATGTCCAGGCAGCTTGAGTAGATTTCGTTCATTTCAAAGCTGCAGAGGCTTGCCTGATCTGGGCTGGGGCTTCTGGCCTCGTCTGCCACAAAGGAAGCAGGAGAAGCAGCATCTTGGTTTTGAGTCTCCTTGGCCATCAGACTGGGATCTGGGGCCTGAGGATCTGGTGTTGCCTTTTCACTGGGACTTCTTGGTGAATGAAGCTGACTGCCTGTTGAAAGAAGCAGCAACATGCAAATGGTTAAAATGATCACGTGCAGCAGCTAAGCAGCCTCGGCTATTGCTCGAGTGACATGAGAATGCAGAAAGAAGCTTTCTATTTTCCCACTCCCTTCCCAGGTGTGGGAGACTACCAGGCACACTCAACAGAGGGGGAGAAGGTATTTCTAACCTAGGAGAAAGTTCCCATTTTGACATGCGCTGAGGTAGAAAATCTGGGAGGGACCAAATCCTGGGGGAAATGTTCTAAGCTTAAGGTCAGTATGGTTAAAACATGTAAAACTGGAAACTTCCACTTGGGCCCTGCAGTTATGGCTCAGGAGCTCAAATCTGGGATTGTCATTCCAGTTCTGCTCTGAGTCCAAAAAGTTCCTGGAGCCATACATATACTTTCTGATTTCCCCCTTTGTTAGTCATGTGTGGCCTAGAAAAGCTACACAAGAATCCTTTGATAAAAGCAAAGGCAAAGTGGACTGTAAGGATGCAGACATAAATGGATTACCAACAAAAGGACCAACAGAAATCTCTGAGGACCTCATTGTTTTCAAAATGGACCTGATAATCTGAAGCACCTTCTTAGTAACTGTCTTTGACCTTTTTCTTAGACCAGAATTCAGTATAAACAGTTTAGATATTTACCTGATACTAATCAGGAAATACATGGTATTGATATTGAAAATGTACTTAGTTATATTTAATGATCTCATTCCTGAATTCCTTTTTCATTAAAGTAGCTTTCATTTCTATTACAGCAGTTTTAATAATATAAATAAATAGAAGGTTGGTGCCAGCAGACCCTGTCACTAAATCAGTACCTAACCCTGGGCCTCTGGTTTCGTCCAGGCTCTCTGAATTTGAGTAGAACATATTTTTACTGTGAAACAGTGTAGTGAGACTGTACAGTGAAAGGAAAGGGAGTTTTTGAAGATGATAACAACTTGAAACGTAAAGTTATAAATACTGCTCAACACAACAGAGCAGCGTACCTATGGAAGTAGTAATTACTGTTTACTGCTTTGAAGAACGTAGCAAAGACAGGGAAATGAGGGAAATGTCTTTGGGGAAAAAAGGAACACCTCTTCCATAAATATCTAATGTATACCATAAAATTCTAATCCTTGTTGCATTTCTCCTACTCCTACAAAATGTATTACATATTTAGTTAAAAAAACAACACATGCCTAACTGTCAAGACATGCAAATTATAGGCCCCTGATTCTTAAGGACTAAATTCACAGCTTTCTTTACACACACAAGAGTCTGAATAGTCATGTCAGTTAAAGTTATGCTCTTAGTGAGCATTTGATAAAAGTAGACATTGCCCAGCCCGGCCAGCATGGCTCAGTGGTTGAGCGCCAACCTATGAACCAGGAGGTCATGGTTCAATTCCTGATCAGGCATATGCCCTGGTTTCAGGATCAATCCCCAGCAGGGGGTGTGCAGAAGACAGCCAATCAATGATTCTCTCATCATTGATGCTTCTGTCTCCCTCTCCCTTCCTCTCTCTGAAATCAATAAAAAACATTAAAAAAAAAAAAAAAAAGTAGACACAGCCCAAGACACCGCTGCATCATGGGAACAATAAGACCTCAATAAGTAATGCCAGAACTGACCACCCATCACCCTTGGTTGATGGTGTATAGCTCGCAGAGAACAGGACAGAGGAGCCAAAGCAATGAGAGCTTGGGGAGCCACTCTGGAGGTCTCTACCCCTGTCCAAAGAGAGTTAGAGAACATTCAGCTGGCTTGGGTTCCAGCTCTGTAACAAGCTCTGGAATCTTGAGTGAGCCACGACCTCTATGACCTTTAGTTTTCTCATTTGGAATGTGAGGGCATTAAGCAGGATGACTGCAAGGCTCTTTCCAGCTCTGAATTTTAAGGTCCCAAGATTTACTAAAAAGCAGTAAAGCCTATAGTAAAAAGTTAGAAACGCCAAAATGTTAGCAAATTATTTCTAAGTAGCAGAATGAAAATGGTAATCTTATTCTTTGTACTGTCTCAAATTTTTTGAGCAGATAATAGTTTTTTTTTAATATTTGACAAAATTCAACATCTATTTATGCGAAAGACTTTCAACAAACTAAGAATAGAAGCCTGGCCGGGCATGGCTCAGTGGTTGAGCACTGACCTAGGATCCAGGAAATCAGGGTTCGATTTCCGGTCAGGGCACATGCCCGGGTTGCGGACTAGGCAGCCGATCAATGACTCTCTCATCATTGATGTTTCTATCTCTCTCTCTCCCCCTCCTTTCCTCTCTCTGAAATCAATAAAGATATGTTTAAAAAAAAAAAAATAGAAGAAAACTTTCTTAACCTGATAAAAGGCATCTACAAAACACCTAGCTGACAAGCAGATAATAATTTTAAATGAAGAAATCATCATTTTTATTTGTGAAGCAATTAGATAAATTCCTAAGGGTAATCATGCTAGAAATTAACTGGTTACTACTTAGTTCTGGATCCACCAAGGTGTATATGGAGCTCAAAATTTTTAACAATAATTTCAAGGATCTTGACTTTTTTTTCCCCTAAGGCATCCATCTTTTCCCAGTGTAAGCAGCATGTACAGTTTGGGGGAATTGATTAGTTGCAACTTGTGACTCTCAGGACACATTCATGCCAAACCTGTGGGTTAAGCCCTAGCTGGTCTGGCTCAGTGTTAGAGCATCAACCCATGGACTGAAGGGTCCTGGGTACAATTCTGGCCAAGGGCATGTACCTTGGTTGGAGGCTCGATCCCTGACCGGGGAACGTGCGGGAGGCAACCAATTGATGTGTCTCTTTCACATTGATGTTTCTCTCTCTCTCTTTCCTTTGTACTCTCTCTGAAAAAAAGCAATGGAGAAGACGTCCTTGGTAAGGATTAAAAATAATAATAATAAAATAAATGGAATGATATAATAAAGTTTAAAAAAACCTGTGGATTAAGGCCATACCCGCTTCCTTCAGCTCTTTTATTTCCAAGTCTGGGTTCTCTTTCGGATGTTCTGAAGTCAGTCCTAGATAGACACTGATATCAGGATGGGGTTCATACCTCTGCACCCTGGGGCTCTCAGTTGGCTGAGTTCTCTGGGTTCCAATAAAATCCTGTGACAGGGGAAATATCGTTAAGGACATATTTGCAATCATCTGAATGTCACTGGTGTTTCTGAAACAGATCTAGGTATCAAATAAACTCCCTCTTACTCCTGTTGGGTAGACTGACTGTATTCCTAATTAGCTAATTCAATGTTATTATTTTAAAAGTAATAACGATAGCTGCTATTCACTGAATCTCAGTATGTGCTTACTGGGTGCCCCAGCTATGTGTTGACCCTTCCCAGCTTCCCCCATCAATTCCTTGCTGCCCTCAACAAATTAGGCAGTTAGGCTTTTCTCAGGAACACAGAAAGGGTGTAATAAAATGAGGATTTCCAAAACTTCTTACAACCTGACCTCTAGCTTCTTCTTGGTCTCTAACTCCCCACTCTCCTGAGATGAGCAAGCAGAAATAAACTCCTAACAGCTTCAGAGCTTACCTTTAGGTCATTCTTCAGGATATACTGGATATCTTGAAGGTTCATAGTTCGGTCTTTGTGTTTGACCTGGATGCCTGACTTAACAATATCATAGTAAGGTTTTGGAAGCCTGAAATCAGCTTCTAAATAATTTCCCGTGACTATGGCTTTTTTAATAACTGAGCCATCTAAGCCATCCCAGGGTATGTTGTCTGTCAAGGAAAGGGTAAGAAGAAGGAGTAACATTAAGAAATCAAATGAAACTGGGTTCCCTTGGTCAAGTCACTCAACCCCTTTAAACATTAATTTCTGGAGGAAAACTGCCTGGAAGTCCAATCACAAAGGAGAAGCCACTTTACCCAGTTACTTGGGAAATCCCTGCTGTAGAAATAGGAAAAAGTAGTCACAGAGTCATGTACACATGGGCTTCCCACAGACAGGCGTGGGGACCACAAGGACTATTTCATGGAGTCAGGGTGGGTTGCCAATGCACTCCTCTCATGGAAGGTGTGGCTTTACCTCTGAGACTGCGAGCACTGCTAAACGAGGGCTCTCTCTTGCCCCTTAGTAAATGTGGCTTTATGGTGTGCGTGTCCTTCTCCTGAAGGATTCCTTCTGTCTGCGGGTATGTGACCATATCTTTAAGTGACCCTGATTATACATACAAGGAACCTGGGTGTGTTTAATTTCATAGTTTACTTCTCAGAGCTCAGTCTTTCCCCCTCACATACAAATTCTTCAGGGGATCCTCACAGAGATACCTATATTCAGTTTAAAAACTTTGCTTGGATTAAATGCACTGCCACTGATAAGCTGATTGGTGGGTGTTGCTGAGTCTTAAAGAACAAGTTAAAAGAGAAGGATTTCTGGGAGGTTATCTTATATCCTCCATAAGGAGGAAGAGGTTTCCTTGAAGAAATTTCTTTTTTCTATGTCCTACATTTTCATAAAACTCAGTAACTCTTGGGGGGGGGGGGAATCCAACCTAAGAATAGGGACTTTGGTCACAGTCAATGTACTCTTTGATCTACCTGTTAAAATCTCCTGTATGATCATAGAAAAGCTGTAGATGTCCGACTTCACTGTGGCTTCCTTCTGCAAAATAACTTCTGGGGCAGCCCAGTTGTACAGCTGGGCTGGGAGGGGTACTCGAGTCAGGTCCCTGTGTACATCTCTGTCCTGGCTACAGAAGGAAACACAAGGTAGAGCTCATGTCTTAAAGGATCGTTGTGATTGATCATCACACAGTACATTTGTACATTTGCCTCTGAAGACTAGCAACCTCCTTGAGCTTCTAGAAACTCAGCTAGACCCTAAGCTAACCCAAGCTGCCTGCTATTCCAACACCTGCAATTCTTCACCATTCCTACACAGTGGGCCCTGCCCATTCTCCCACCTCATTTGGCTGATCTCTCTTGCTCACTTACTCCACTCAAATCACAGGAACCCTCTTTCAGTTCCTCATGCCAAACATATCACCACTTCAGGTCTCTGCACTGGTGGCTTCTTCTGCCCACAGATCCCAGTGTGACTGCTGCTTCTTCTAACAGAGTTATTAGCTTGAAAATCACTTCTTCAGAGAGGCCTTCCCCTAATTTAAAGTAGTCCCGTTTTACTGGCTTCAGAGCAGTTATTATCTGAATTTCTTGCTCATTTATTTATGAACAGATGTTTTCCTTCCATCAGAGTCAGCTCCATGAGGGTAGGCAGACACCTTACCTGTCTTTTATATCACTGTATCTCTAAATTTACACCAGGGCCTCAACACTTACTTTTGGCTAAGACTCTTTCAAGACCCTCTTGAAGCCCCAGCTCTTTAGCAAAGCCTTCTGGGGCTCCTCTAGCTCCTTGTGGTTGCTTCTTTTCTGAACTCTGCCCTCTTGGGAATGAGCCCTCTCAGTTCAGCACTCAAAGGTTCACAGATTTGCTTAAATAACTCAATTTCCTCTGGCCAGGTATCTCAGTTGGTTAGAGCATCGTCCCAATATGCCAAGGTTTTGAGGTCGATCCCCAGTGAGGGCACATACAAGAATCAACCAATGAATGCACAAATAAGTAGAGCAACAAATCCATGTTTTTTTCTCTCTCTCTATCTCTCACTAAAATCAATAAATAAAAATTTATTAAAAAACAACAAAAAACTCAACTTCCCAACCAGACTTCTTGAGAACTAAGTCAGAGCATCCTAAATGTATTCTGAGCCAATAAGAGTCAGAGTGAGGTCAGCTGACTTCTGCACCCAGCTGTCATGAGCATCAAATGAGATCATGTGTGTGGAAACACTCCGTGAGCCATAAAGCACTATGGCAGTTAGGAACTAATATGAACATTATGGTAGGCATTTGGTAAAGACTTGATGACTGCTGATTAATAATTAAGAATTAAGTGTTTAAAAAGAAAGTGACCAGCAGTTCTTTGCTGGTCTGGGAAAGGACAGAGGACAAGATGCGCTTCTCAGACTTTGAACAAACTTCCCCAAATAATATTCCTTCGAGCAGAGCTTTTGATAGATGGCAGTGAGTTCAGGAAGCCACAAAGTCATATAAGCTGATATTGACTTTTTAGTTGCATTGCTAATAAGTTAGGTGTGGCCTGGTATAGTGTAAACAGCACAGATACATATGCCCATATTATATTAGTATCACAGGAAAAGCAATGGAGTGTTTTATGGTCAGAGATATATTCTGAGGACCTGGCACGCTTGGCTCTTTAAGTTGTGGGAAATAGTCACCTAGCGTGTCAGACCTCTCAAGTTTGTCTAAGGCTCTAGCGAAGGACAAGTCACTTATAGCCAGAATTTATATTCTTTCTCTTTTACTTCCACTCACCTTCCTCTCTCACAATCCCTCTTCCTTCTCTCTTCTCTGTTAAAGCTAGTTGAGTGTGGGAGGGAGGGCTCTTTTCTGGCTGTCATTCTAGGGCAGTTATTTTTCTGGGCTTCAGCTTTGACATCATTAAAATTACATTTGGCTGTGGCTATGTGATACCACTGGCAAGGTCAATTCCAGCTCTCAAGACTCCATTAAGGAGCTGAAGAATAGGAGATAGTGCTGTTATCATTTTTACACCAAGAGATGGAGTGCTACCCTTGACAATGACATTCAACAAACCGACCTGCTCAAATAGAGTGTTACCAAAAATAAATGTGGAACTGGAAGCTATTTTGGATTCTTGTAGAATCAACTGGTGTTATCAGCTGTCACAGAAGGGTACACTGCTATAGATGCAACTACTTGCTGACTGAGATTTCTGTCTGAAGTTCCACTCTGAGATCAATAAGCCCAAAAGAGAACTCACACCTTCCTACCCACTTACCTTCTAGACCCTCCATTGACCAATCTGTGGACACCAGCAGCTCAGTGCATCTCACATTTCCCTTCTATTTTGGCTCCTTGGTCACCACCAGGCCTTCTAGTGAGTCTTCCTTGGTCACCACTCTATGGCCTTCTAGTTAGTCTTCCTACCTTAAACCTCTAATCCATCCTGTCCCTATAGCCACAGCTGGGTAACCACACTATTTCTTCATCTCTCTGGGCCTCTGTTTCCTCATCTATAAAAGGACAAGGTTGCGCCTCTCCAAAGCTCCCTTTTACTCTAGGATTCACATTTCCACTAAGAATTCAAACAGAAGACACTGTTATACCTCCACATCAACAACAGATGGTGCTCCATCACTGGCAAATGGCTTGGATTCTGTCACAGCATCCCTGAAAAGCCTTTGCTATCCACAGCAAATATGTCCAAACCACTTAGCTTCCACTGCTGCTGAACACACAGCCAAAGTGATCAACCCTGTCCTAAACCACTTCCAGTTTTCCCTTCACCTAGACTCATCCCTTCCCTTAATAAACATTTGCTGAGCACTTACTAGGTGGCAGGCCCTGAGCTGAGTGCTGAAAATGAACAAACCATGTTCGTGCTCTCTCAGAGCTTGCCATCTGGTGGGGCAGACTCACTTGACTGCGGAGAAGTGCAATATGCCAAGTGCTCTGGGGACAGGGCTTCAGTATAGGCTTCATGGGATGCAGTGGGAGAAAGTGTATGAAGTGAGTTTAAAAGTATAAACAGGTGAGTGCCAAGTATTCCAGATGTGGGGAGCAGCACTGTGAAATGGCATGGACTGAAAGGGGCTTCAGAGGGCCAGGCGAGGAATGGGAAGTGATGAGGTTGGCACTGGGGGTAGAGCCCCACTCTGGAAGGCCTCACACCCTGCAAAGTCCCTGGACTTAATCTCATAGGTAGTGGTTTTAAAAACTGAAAGGTTTTGACTGAGACTGAGAATGGACCAGATCTGAGGCTGAGCAGCTCAACTGGAGATAATGGTCTGGACTCTACTGGTTGCCATGTGTGCAGGGGCCATGATGGGACAAGAGGCAGGCAGGGACAGTTAGACTGACTGGAGCAGTTTTCCAGTTTCCCCTTTAACCTTGGCAGACAAAGCACTTGGAAAACCTCTTGCCCCACTGATGGACAGTTCAGCCCACCAATGAGGAGCAGCCTGCCACATTAGAAGTCATGACTGAAGCTGCACCTACCTTTCCAACATGTACTCCAGGTTGGTCAGCCTCGCTTCCCCTGTGGAGACGATGTGGATGGCATAGGAGCTGAGGGAGCGGTGGATAAACCCCCAGGAATGCAGGTATCTCAGAGCGTCAGAGATCTGGAGCAGCAGGTGCACGATCATCTCCATGTGCAGCAGAGGGAACTCAGACCGCTGCAAGCAAGAGATAAATTGACCAGGCACAAAGGGACTGGGCCCCTGATACTGTAAAATGCTTTGTAGCTTCCAAAGTTTTTTCAACTGATCTTCACAGCTACCCATTGTCCCCATTTTACAGATGGAGAACCTAAAGCTCGTTGAGGCAAAGTGACTGACCTAACCTCCTACTGATCCAGGCCCCCTGGCTCCAAACCTGGGCTCCTTTCCCTCAGCTCAGCTGCTTCACACCACAAAAAATGAAGAGAAAGTTCTCAAAGCCTGGTAATGGCATCCAGGGTGGGCACACCAAAACCAGCATGAACCTGCCCTGCCCCTCAGCCCTCATCCAAACCTGTGCTGCTGGGAGAACCTAGAACATTAAAGGACCAATCCAGACCCTACCCTAGTCAGGTAGCCTAGAAAGTTCATCCTAAGAAGACAGAAAATCACTCACACCCAGATGATTAAAGCCAGAATAGGTCTCCCAGAAGTGGCATTTCAAGTTAATGCCCTCACCCACGGAAAGGAAAGGGAAACTCGGATACTACCAAGAGGTCCTCAGGCAGGAGGGATGGCTAGCCACAGTGGGGAAGGGTCCTTCCTGGAGGGTCTCTTCTCACTCCTGCCCAGGGTCTTTAGAACAAAGTCATGGAGGAAAAAACAATGAATCTTTCAGGACCTCTCTGAAGCCAAAGCACACTTGTCAGGGAATCTGTAGGCCAGGGAAGATGCACCTGCCCCCAGGAAATCCAAATAGTGAGACGGACTAACAAAGGCTTGTATGTTAACAAGCCTCTCTCTATAGCCAAGGTCCTGCAGGGCACAAATGAAAAGACAGGAAAATAAGGCCTGTGGCTATTTGATTAATTAGCTAGAAATGCTTCTGTATGTCTTCTGGGTCTGCTAAGCTCTCAGATATCTGCTACAAAGGCAGGCTAACAACAATAAAATCACAGTAGTTCCAAAGCACTTAGCCTTAAATGGTGTGTTACATAGCCTCCATGAAGTAAAGAATTAAGATTTATCTTCCAGGATGAAAACAAATTATAAATAAATAAATGCCTTACTATTATTTTAAAAAAAGAAAAAAGATTTCTCTTCCACATATGCACACATGGGAATTCTCCTGCTCAGGCAGGGGAAGAGGGTAGGGAAGAGAAATGGGGAGGACAAGGGAAAAATCCATGGAACTTACCCGTTCATGGAGGACACTAAACAGTGTGCCGATGGTGATGCGCTCATAAACCAGGCGGGTCTTCTCTAGGTCCTGGGACAGGCACACAGCCATCAGCTGCAGCAGGTGGCGGTGCCGCAGCTTGCTGCAGAAGAAGCTTCAGGTGAGGCACAGGGAAGAAGAGCATGATGGGGAGAAGGGGTGCTTTCCTTTCTTCTAGGCCCCTTGAACACATTCTAAACAAATACCATTTTGCACACAATGTTTTTCTAAGAAAACTGGATGGAGTGGGTGGGATTCTCTGTTGGTGGAATCTGTGGCCTCTCACTGATCAGATCCTTATGGCTTAGAGTCATCAATGACAATGTCACTAAGAGCTACTAAGCAATCATCATACATTGTCTCCATCCCAACAACCACCTGCAAAAAATGTATCATTATTGTCAATTTAGAGATGAGGAAACCAAGGTCAGAAAGATGTCAGGAACCTGCCCAAAGTAACACACCCCACTCAGTCTCATGTCAAAGTCTATGCTGTACCTGAGCCCTTCCAACCTCCTTGGGTCCCTTTAGGCTGACTTCCCCAAAAGGAAGGGTTTGGCTTCGAACACACTTGCTGCAGGAGTTTGACCTTCTCAGGAAAGAGCTCAATAAGCCAGGGTCCATTCCAAGGCCTCAGCAGCCCTGGTGCGAACCATAAATCAAGATCCTGCCCCCACCAAGAGCTGAAGGAGTTAGCCTGGGGCCACACGCAGCCTAAGGTACTGAAGAGACCCATGGGTGGGTCCTCAATGGCAGACACACAGTTACTCAGATGTGTGGATCTCATGCACTGCCATGTCTATGAAGTCAGGACAGCACATGCTGTCCTGATGTGTACAGGGCTGAAAACAGGGCAGGCCTCAGGGGCTGTAGCAGGAGAGCCAGTGGGGTTATAAGGGAGTCAATCAGCCAACAGAAGTGACCCCTCTCACCACCACCATCCCCATCCCTCAGGCTTTTCATTAATTCCTCTTTTTCTTTCTTGGCAGCCCTTAGAAATCAAGTCAACCAACAGTCAGGAAATGCAGAGCCTGAGGGGGGCTAGTCTCCACACCCCAGTGAGCCCTGAACAGCTCAGAACTTAAGTTTGTCAAGAGCCAGAACATGTAATGCCCTAGGGCTTCCTTCTCACCTGCTGTGCTCCTGCTCCGCAATTAACAAGTCAGCCAGCCGCAGCTTGCTGCAGTGTAGGTGGGTGGGGAGATTCAGCTCCTTCACTGTGACCCTGCTCCCCTTCCACACCAGGCTGCAAGGGTAGAAGAGAGTTTGAGCAGAAGGGGGTGAGCTGCCAGTTCTTCAGGGAGTTCTCCAACCAGAGACCAGAGTAGTGTTTACACAGACCTGTAAAGTACCCATTGGGTCTTCTCTCCTCCTCCCCCCAGGTCCTAAAACACCTTGAAGAACTTAGTACAGGTGGTAGGGAGCCACTGAAAGATTTAAGGGAGGGAGTAACTTGACCAGGTTTGTATTTTAGAAAGACAATGGTATGAGCAGTGTGGAAAACGGTAGGGCAGGGGTGGTCTGGATAAGGGGAAGCCAGTTAGGAGGCCAGTATGGATGAGGCACAGTGATAACTTGGGCAGAGGCCATAGCAATGGACTGAGAGGAGGAAGGGACCTGATGACAAATTGGTGGCATGGGCAGGAAAACAAGATGCATATCTGCAGGGGACACAGAGTCTTGCCAAGTCTAGCAGAGGCCATTTTAGAAGGGTATTTCTTCTAAGCAAGAAAGTGTCCAGGTTCAAGGAAGCCAAGAGACCTTGGCCAGGACAACTCCTGTGACCCCGCAGGAGGTAGGTCTCCCAGGGACTTTTGTCATAGCTAAATCCTGTTACTGCCACCTCTGCCGCATCTGGTTGGTAAAGGATGCAGCTAATACCGGTTCTGGCTTCTATAGGCACCTCGATACCGTCTGGCCTGTATCAGAGGCCAGATAGCTACAGCTATGCTGCTTCTAGCTCTCTAGAAAGCAGAGTTAAAACACGGTCATGAGTAATCTTTCAGAAAATTGTTCTCACCGGGGGACCATTTGGCAATATCTGTAGACATTTGGGTTGTTACAATCACAACTGGAGGGGGTGGCAAAGAGGGCTGCCACTGGCATCTAGAATGGAGACCAGGGATGCTCCTAATATCATACAATGCACAGGACAGCCACCAACAACAATGATATCTGGCCAAATATGTCAATGGTGTCCAGGCTGAGAACCCTTGACCCAGACATATGTCCTTCAATGTTAGGTTAGAAACCCTCCACACATAAGGAAGTCACTCAAAGCCCATACTTCCCATGGGACTAAATGAGAACCCCCACTGGCTGCTTCTGCTTACTTGGTCATGACCATGTAGGGGCCACTGCAGAAAGAGAAGGTGGGCTCATCATCAGCTTGAATCACTTCCTTTTCTCCAATTATTGGAAGAGATCCTAGATAGGCCACCCTCGTTCTCGCTGAAAGATAAAACTAAAAGCAAAGCACAGCTTCAAATTGTGAGGAGAAAAAAGAAAAAGTAAAATACCTTCAGAATCTTATCAGCCAGATAAAAATAATGATGGCTGCTATTTACCAACCTTCCAAACACCCCTGGGGACATTATTCTGTAGTTTCTACTATCTTTAATCTAAAACCTGCAAAGTTATAATACCCTTCCCTTTTTACTAATGCGGAAACTGAGGCTCATGGAAAGACGTCAGAAACCTGCCTAAGGCGTTGGGCAGGGGGCTTAGGTGCCTCTGGTAGTCCCCACAGAACCCAGGCCTCTGTGCAGCCAACATCCCTCCTCCCCCACCTCACCCCAGGCCACATTGGCACAACCAACAGACTCAGGGCTGGGGGCTGAGCTGTGAGCAAACATCACCCAGCCACCCAGCAACATTTTTCTACTGTCTCTTTCTTTGATGGGCAGAACCAAGAATCCAAAAGATACTCTTTTCCCTCAATTTAAAATTTCAGTTCCTTAAAGGTATTCCAACAATACTCATAAACCTTTGGGAGGGCAAGGTCAATCACAAATAAGATCCACGGGGTCAGCACAGCTCTCTGCCTCTCTACAGGAAGGTCATGTTTGGCGCCTTCACTGGGAAATTAAAGGATCATTTTCTAAACTCCGCAAATCTAGGCCAAGGTCATTCAAGGGATCCCTGCAGAGTTTCTACCTTTTTTTCAGTAAGGAGAGCAACAGTAAGAGGTACTTGTCCTGCAAAAGCGGTAAAGAAGGAAAAAAAACCCATCACTTTGGAGACAATAAGAAAGAGGAGCTGGACAAAGTTGAGGGACATGGGTCCAGAAGGAAGGCCAGGTGACTCTCCATTAGTCCTACAAACACTGGCTATCAGTGACAACCTCTTACCTTCCCAAAGCCAAAGCTGTGGATATTTTGGGCAGAAATTACTCCAGTTTTATGCAGTCGGTTAGAAGGGCCATTAGGGCTTCTAGAAATATTTAAAAAAGAAGAAAAATAAGGATTAACCACCCATGTCCAGAGGAACAATGATGAACCAAGTTTTTAGAATGTGTAGTGGGTTTTGTCTTTACTACTTGACTTGTTATCGTGGAACTACAGATGATACAATAGCCAGCGTCTCAGAGGGTACCTGTGATTCTTATCTGGAATTCATGACCTTGTGTGGCCCCTCACACAAGGTCAGATAAGGCTGACCTGTTAACCCAATAGGATATTGCAGAAATGAGAGTGGTGTGACTCCAAGGCTAAATCACCAGGGCTTCTGCCGTGATCTCTCTTAGGTCACTTGCTCTGGATAAGGTCAGCTGCCACGTTATGGGGACACTCCAGCAGCCCAATGGGGAAGGCCAAAGCCCAACCACATGAGTGCACCATCCTGAAACTGGATCCTGTAGCCCCAGTCAAGTCTTCAGGTGATTACAGCCCCAGCTGACATCTCTACTGCAACTTCATGAGAAACCCTGAGCTAGAACCACCCTGCTAAGCCATTCCCTGATTCCTGACCATCAGAAATTATGTGGGACACAAATGTCTACTGTTTGAAACTGCTAGGTTGGGGTGTGGGAGTGATTCATTATGCAGCAATAGATAATCAATACAGATGGTCAGAGTTGGAAAGAATCAAAGCTTATCTTGTCCACCTTTCTCATTTTACAAATGGGGAAAGTGGAGCCAGAAGGGGAAACCTGCTGACCTGGGTCACAGAACAGCAGCAGAGACTAGATCTGAGACCTAGTCAGTCTGCTAAGATCCAAACACTGGCTGGCCAGGAGGTGAGACAGGGTAGGAGGTGGACCAAGCAGAGAAACAGGCCAGATGAGGAATGTGGGAGTTTATCTTGATAGTCATGGGAAAGACCCTTTTTAGCAGAGAGTGGCACAACCCAATTTCCATGTTTAACAGGTCATTCTGGATTCTGGGTAAAGAACCAAGACCAGCAAGAGTAGCAGCAGGGGGAGCAGTTAGGTGTAACTGGTCCTCAAAGTCCTCTCTGACTCATCTTGCCTGAGACGCCAGCAGCATCCCAGCCATCGGAGGGAAACCAGAACTTCATGTACACGGAAGGACAGGATGGGGGAGCCCTCAAGAGTGACAAGTCTAGCCACCCTGATTACAGAGAGACACCATCAGAGAAAATCAAAATGAAAAGGATTCTCTGAATACAAACCCTAAGTCAACAAATCCAAAGAATTTAAAATAACTCTGAGCCTGGTCCCATCTCCTGCAGCTGCCTACCCAGCTAGCAGCAGGTCTCTCACAATAGCTTAAAATAGCCTGAGGAACTGTAAATTAAGCATCTGTAGTCTTTTGCAATCTTAGTAATAAAGAAACATGTTTTCCATAGTTCAAGATGTCAAAAAAAAAGCCATCTAGAGGCTCTGAGAAAGGGTTTTCTGCTAAGCTGCCCAGACCTAAAAAGTTCCTTCTCTGCTGAGCACAGGGTGGCTCCCACTGGAGCCCATAATTCATCTCCCCCAGACATTCCTGGAAGAGGGACATGGCCGAAGGTGCCCCTCTGGCCATCCTTTTCCAGTGGCCACATCTTTTGAGCTCATCCCTATGGGTAGGCCAAATGCTGGAAGGGACTTATGTGGCCCATGCTGCTCCAGGCAGCACTCACCCCTGCATGAGGCCGCCAAACCGGGGCAGGCTGCAGATGAGCCGCTGAGTGGAGTCGATCCTCTTCAGGAGGTCACAGGAGAAGTCCTGGACGATGGCCTGCATGTGCGAGGCACAGCGATGCATGAACTCCACCATCTGCAACACCACAGAGGTGCTCAGTGCCGGCACAGCGAGTGGCCACCCGCTCTTCAGTGAAATTGTGAAGTGGTCTGAAGTGAACAGCCTGAGTAGGCGGGAGCCCCCTCCCCACAGGAAAGGGAGGAGCCCAAGTGATTTTCTAAAGGCATGAGATGTTTTCAGGGAGATGTTGGCAATAATTTCCCCCAATCCCCTCCTCCTTCAACAGATGAAGAAACTGAGGCAGGAAGAGTGAATTTATTTTTCCAAGGTCCAACAGCTAAGGAGTAGGGGAACCAGAGGAAGGAAGTGAGGGGAGAAAACTCTGCCTACCTGCCCCCCTCCCTCCATGTGCCAATCGCTCTGCATGCCATTCATGCTTTACATTTATGTTACTTAGCTCTCCTTTCAACACTTCACACCTGCCAGTGTGTAGCTCAGGAAAGTTACTTCATGTCAATGGGCCTCAGTTTCCCCATTTGTAAAATGCAGTTAATAACAGTACCTCCCTGGGAGGGTTGTTGTGAAGATAAAATGAGTTAATATTTCACTAATTTAATTACAATGTCTGATGTGTGGTGCTAGTTAAAGATCAGACAAAATTACAACTGTTCACCCTCCCCACTTAATGAATGACCAGAACGGTTCACTGGAGTTGCCTGAGGTTCTACAGCTAATTAACTTGCTTCAGGCCAGGCCTATGTGTCCAGTGCCAATGGCAAGGCCACTGCAAGCCTTGTGCTGTCCCCAGGACCACCCTCAAGCCCCTGGGCTCCTGACTCCCAGTCCAGTGCTCTGCCTGGGACAGCACATGGAGCGTGTGGTACAGAGTGGGTTTACCCTTACCGTAGTGCTGGACTCTTTCCCTGCGGTAAGGGCCCAGGTTTGTGGGTTTTGACCCTTCTCATCATGGAGTCGAAGGTCACCGCCTGCATCCAACAGTTTGCTGAGGATCCACTGATTGCCTGAAAATGCTGCTGCATGGACAGGGGTACTCCCATCAAAGCAGCGGCTGGAGGGGATACAATGAGTGTCCATGGCTACACTCCTCCCTTCCGCAGAGTGGGGTGGGGAATTCAATGGGTGACACAGGGCTCCCTTTCTAGAGAGGCAGCCTTTGGAGATAAGGATTATAATCATACCATTTAGAAGCTCCCCCACCGTCTATGCCAACATGAGTTTTACACACATCCTCTCTTCATCGTTGCCTCTACCCTTCAAGGCACCATCATTTCCCAAGATACAGGTGGGGAAACATAAGGGCAAAGCTAAGGGACACACCCGGTGTGGGTGTGGTTCCAAATTGTTCTTTCCCCCTCTAACCCGACACTAGCTGCCCTGAAACAATTTCTTCATGAACGCTGAGGCACAGCCCAACCAGAGACCATCTCTCTCATCTGAGAATGTCTCTATCTCCCAGCTCCTCTGGCAGAGGCCCACAAACCGCAGCATGAGCAATCTAGTCAAGGTCCTACAACTCAGAAAATTTAACCAAAGCCAAGAAACTATCTCAGCCCTTATTGTGTCCAAGACACAGTAAGATGTGATCTGAAGCTGTGGTTTCCTAACCTGACTGCACATCAGAATCACCTGGACAGCTTTCTCTCTTTAATTGAAAACAAACACACACACATACACAAATGAGGAAGCAGAAGTTCTTCAAATAAATGAGGATGAGGATGAGAAGGAGGAAGAGGAGGAAGAGGAGGAAGAGGAGGAGGAGGAGGAAGGAGAGATAAGAAAAAAGTCTCTCAACTCCAGACCCCACAGATCTCTTGCCCAGAGACAACTACTATACAAGTTTTTGTATCCTTCCAGAAATTTCCTATGCATATACAAGTAGGAGTAAGAATGTGTTATATAAACTTTTCTGCACCCAAATTTTCCATTTAATAATATATCTTAAATTTTCCATTTGAGAACATACTGGGTGGGGCAAAAGTAGGCTCACAGTAGTTTGTATGGAAAATAAAATAATTAACAAATAATACAACAATAAACTTTCATGTACTCACAACTGTAAACCTACTTTTGCCCCACCCTGTACAAGCTACACAGTATTCTAATGTATGAATGTACCATAATTTAGTTATTGAGCCACTGAAATACTTGTCAAAAACATAGATTCTCTCCCTGGCAGATGTCGTTCAATTGGTTGAGCGTTGCCCCATGCACCAAGAAGTCGATTCCTGGTCAGGTGACATGCCCAGGTTTCGGGCTTGATCCCCAGTAGGGGGAGTGCAGGAGGCAACAGATTGATGTTTCTCTCTCATCTATGTTTCTCTCTCTTCTCCCACCCTCTCCCTTCCTCTCTCTGTAAAATCAATAAAAAAGTATTAAAAAATATATTTTTTCAGACTACACGCCAGACTAAATCAGAATCTGCAAGCTCAGGAATGTATTTTTTACAAATTCCCAGGTGATACAACATGGCTGGCCTGTCCCCGGTCATCTGGAAACCACTGGGATGGCTCACTGTGAGCCAGCTCCTCTTGCTGGGTTTGACAAGCAGTATAGCACACATAATAATACCCTCTTTGCTGTAAAAACACATCTGTATAATGTTTTACAGTCTTCTAATCATTCTTCCCATAAACAGTTAAGGAGGGTAGGTGGGAAGAGAGGGGTCAATATTATTCATTTCTCATGAATGCTAAGAAAGAATGTTTTTTATACCAAACTAAACCTTTCACTTAAAATTTCTGGGCATTGGCTCCCTAATCTGGAATGCTAAAGTTTTTCTTTTTTTTAAACTGATTTTGACAGAGAGAGAGAGAAAGGGACAGAGAGAGAGAGATCATGGATTTGTTGCTCAACTTATTTATAGAGGGTGTCCCAAAAAAAATGTATGCACACTTTAACAGCTGATAGCTCAATTTTGAAAATGAAATGTATTTTAATAAACACTGCCTTTTTAATTATTCAAAGTGTGTGTATACATTTTTGAGGGGACACCCTATATATTCATTGGTTGTTTCTTATATGTGCCCTGACGGGGATCAAACCTGCAACCCTGGCACATCGGTATGTTGCTCCAACCAAGCGAGCCACCCAGCCAGGGCTGGAAACCTAGAGTTGAATAATTTAAACTTTAAAGAACCCAGCATTGCCCTGGCTGGATAAAGCGTCATCCTGATATATCAGGGTTGCAGGTTCAATCCCTGGGTCAGGGTGCAACAACAAATCGATGTTTCTCTCTCTCTCTAAAATCAATTATAAACAAAACACATAGCACTAAGCCTCTATGAAATAGAAGTAAATGCCAAATGACTGGAAAATGTTGCATTTTTGCTGAGGAACTGCAGGAGGTCCCAAATGGCCTCCCTACAAAGCTGTTTTCTGCAAATATCAGGTGAGCGAGCCCTTTATTTCTGACCTTTGAAATTAAACAATACTGTAAAGACAGTAGAGTGTGTGTTAGTCTAGAGAAATTCTGGATGGAAACACAGCAAAATTTTCTTTGTGTTATCTCTGGGTTACGGATTTCTCATACTGATTTTTCTTTTCTTTTTACTTTTCCAAACTTCCAAGTTTTCTCCCACTAAATAAGGAGACTTTTTTTTTTTTTTTTAATATCTTTATTGATTTTAGAGAGAGGAAGGGAGAGGGAGAGAGAGAGCGAAACATCAATGATGAGAGAGTTGTCACTGATCGGCTGCCTCCTGCAGGCCTCCGACTGGGGATGGAGCCCGCAACCCAGGCATGTACCCTGACCGGGAATTGAACAGCAATCTCCTGGATCCTAGGTTGATGTTCAACTGCTCAGCCACACCCAGCCGGGCAGTAAGCAGTTTTATAATGGGGGTGGAAGGGGGCACACAACATACGACACAGGAAAGTAAAACTTTCCGACATCAATATGGTTTGTTTTTAAGTACATTAAACAGGACCTCCTTATGTAATATGGGAAAGCTACTATATGAGACTTTTATGATTGGTTCACATTTTGGCATTACCATGAAAATCAGGTGGAATCATATTAAGTACTCAAAACGCATTTCTGGTTATGTCCAATGTGAACTGTAAAAATACATGCTTGTCTCGGCCCTGTCCAGGAGGCGGTTGTAAAGATCTAGAGAGCTGTGTCTGGGAAGAACCTGGGAAAATCAAAAGTGTTACACAAAGAAAAGGGATGTTCACTGGTAAAGTGGATTCATTACATTGTGCTGCTGTTACATACTAAAATTTGGGCCAACTATTAATCAGAGGTTCTTTAAACCACAACTACAAAAGCCAGGCAAAAATCACTGTGATAAAGTGATACCAAGTATGTTAATTGGTAAAAACTTGATTGTTGGGTATATTAAGCTGCTTAAATGAATCATACAAATTATAACCTGGGGTGGAAATATACAAACCTTGCTGTTAATGACGAATGAATGAATGAATGAATGAATGAATGAATGATAAGTTTCACTTTTTTTTTTTTTAAGATTTAACTTTTTAATTTATTTTATTGTTGAGAATATTACAGGTGTCCCCATTTACCTCCTTTGCCCCCATCCACCATTTCATAGGGCATAGTAAAACTGCTTTTATTAGCAGTTGAAGGTATGTTTCAACATAGTAGAAGTGTATTTCATTGATAAAAGTTAAAATTATCTTAACATCTTGTCAAATTAGATTCCAAATGCCCCCACTCATCTTAACAGCATATACTACTACTTATTTTCTAAATAGCGATGTTATTGTACTTACTGATTTGGATCTGATCCATAATCCACCAGAATATCAACTAATTTTGTAAGGCCTAATAATGATGCAAGGAAAAGCGCAGTCTGGCCCAAGGAGTTAACTGCATCAACATAAATTCCTGCAAAGCAAATACCAAGATCAATGTACACAAAAGGCCACAGATGAACTTAGAAGACCGTGAAAACACACCTATCTCAGCTCTGCCTTCACGTAAAAGTTATTGACTTAGGTCAGAACACTGCACTGGAGCATTCTAACGCTTCCTTTAGAGTAATAAGGGAGGGGGTGGGGATAACGATAACTTGTATCGCAAAAGAAACAGCAACAAAACATTTATTTGGAACAATAAGCTCCACATCTTTACGCCAGCTAAAATGTGAACACCAGCTTGGAAAAATAAACAAAACACTCTAATCCTGCTAAAAAAAACACAACTGAAATGTAAATGCACACTCCTGTAACATGGAGCAAAAACTAAAAAAGTGAATCTTATAAATAAAAACCCTCATAAAGCTAAAAATACCACCGAAACGAGTTTCCCCACTGGAAAAAAAAAAAAACTTGGGGAGACATTCTAAACCGAAACCACTCAGACTGCGTTCTCTCCCTCTCACCCTCCCGAAGGAGAGAAGAACGATCATCAATGGCTAACGGCAGTTGCAGAAGCAACACCGAGAACCGGCTTCACGCTCAGGAGAGAACACTGCACCTCCTCCTCGTGGTTTCGGGTGCTCTACACGTTCAGAGAAACTTCTCTAGTCACAAACTATAGAAATGATCCCTGAAAGTATAGTCTTAAGTGTGAAGGTGCAGCTTTTCCCAAGTGAACGAAACCCACACATATTACACTGATGGTGAATTTTTCTACCGGTTACCATTTTACCCAACCATATCCTGGCATGTATTTTCTCAAAAACTTTTCACTCGCAAAGCTAGACAAAGCGTTTTAAATACTCCTGCATTTCCGAACAGTTCAAGCTGTCACTTTAATTAACATACGATTCTGAACAGCCAATCACACATCACCTATTTCCAACTCCACCCCACTTCTCCTCGCAGTTCCGCAGCCTCTGGATGACCTAAACGCTGACGCCTACAAAGGGCGCCCCCGCGTCAGCACAAGCCTCAATTTAAACCCATGCGTACAAGCGGGAGATCTTCCACAAAAAACGCAGAAGAGGAAGAAGAAAGCGACGACCCAAAGCAGATCTCTGACATTTGCAAAGCACGCCCTATTTTTAAATTTTGTCCTGTGATCAAAGTACCAGACATATGTGGAGGAAAAGGGGCCACATGCTAACCCCACTAACTCAGGGACCTAAAGTAACCAACAATGAATGGTCTGAAATTAAAACTTTTTAACTAAAAAGCAGTTTACGGTGGGTAATAATGTCCTAGGCTGATATCTTCCCTGACAAAGGCCAATCTTTACCTTAACTGAGCCTGTTGTCTTTTTTGCATCTATGATAACGTATCTTTGGAATGTCAAAGTAATTTTCCTTTTTCTGGACGCCTCAAAGCTCAGGTACTGCTCTGCGGAGACCACAAATCCCCTCATTGTTATTAATTGTTGACTTAACTATCCTGCACCCACCTAAGTAAAAGAAGTATGTCTATCATTTTACTTTTTACCCAATCCCAGAGGTTTCTGGGATTTGCTTTCTCCTGCCTCCTTTATCTACCACCAAAGGATTTCATGTAACCCACTTACATCTCCTCTTTTGATTGTAATTATAAAACAAGATGCAAAACTGCCATTCTCCAAAGTATTATCTGAATCCATTGAGATTCTGCTTCCTGGCACGCATCAACAGTTTGGCTCAAATAAACTCAAAAATTCTTCGCAGGTTTGAATGTTTCTTACTTTAACACATATAAATGTTCTTTTGAGTTTTTCCCCAAATCAAGGGATTTTCAGGCACATAAAAATCGTGAATTGTGTTTAAACAATCAGGACAATACATCTGTGAAGGAAAAAAACCCCATAGGTCCTGGGCTAAAAATGGTATCACCTGGGCTATAAGCCCATGATGCCAAACCCAGATTTAAATACCTAACTGCAGTTTTAACTCCTTCCAGAAACATAATTTTAACTAGCAGTCTGGAATTTTCTGGTCAAGCACCAGTAGGTAATCTACAGGATTTTAAAAAACCCTTCCCTTCTCTTTCCCCCAAGAAAACACATCCCAACCCAAAAATTATCATTTCTTTCACTAATAACTCCCTTGCTCTACCCTACTTCATATAAAAACCTATTTTGTACCCCTCAGAGATGGGCTGGTGCCCAATAGGTGAATTGCTTAATAAAGCAAATTATATCTTCAGATATACTTGAGTTTTGTTTCTTAACAAATCATTCCCATGTTTAAAGCTTCCTAGCTTCCCAGCTCTTTGGCTAAAAATAAAACCTATTTAAGTAGCTTATAAGGCCCTGCACCTTTGTCTCCCCTACCAGGCTGTCTCCCTAACCTATAGGGTAGGAACTCCCTAATTTGCAGGAAGCAATCCACCGACATTTCTCTGTCTCCCTTCAATAAAAACATACCCTCTGGTGAGGATTAAAAAAACAAAACAAAAAGAAACCAAACCAAAATTCCAGATGCAGAAAACCAACAAAGGCTGGAGGGTGGGGGGGTGCGGTGGGAGGGGGAAGCTTCCTGCCAAAAAAAGACACAGAGATTAAACTACAATAGTTGAAAGAAATAAAAAATAAAATAATAAAATAAAAACATGATAGAAACAAGGTTAAGAACTACACTTCCCCCTGGCCGGTGTGGCTCAGTTGGTTGAAGTGTAATCCCATGCATCAGAAAGGTTAGATTCCTGGTCAGGGTATACAACTAAATTGAGGGTTCAATCCCGTCAGGGTGCAGGGCACAGGGCGCAGGGTGGGAGGCAACCAATGGAGGTATCTCTCTCACATCTGTTTCTTTCTCTTCTCCTCTCTCCCTTCCTCCCTCTGTGGAATCAATAAAATTAAATTTTAAAAAAATTTCAAGAACTACACACTCATTTTGTTTTGTTTTTGTGATTTTTTTTTTTTTAAAGAGAGAGAGAAACAACTAACCCATGCAGTCACTGGTTGATTCCTGCACGGACCTGACTGAGGATGCAACCAGCAACCAGCAACCATGGTAACCATGGACAAAGCTCCATATATTGAATCTGGCCAGGGCCTATGATTTAAAAAAAACAAAAAACTACACAATCCTAACTGGTTAGAACATTGTCCCCACGTTTCTCTTTCCTTTAATTCTTTTTTTAAAAATTAGTAAATCAAAAGTTACTTTAAAGAAAAAATGAAGCAAGACACTCAAAAACAAAAAAATAACACCAATGTCATTCATGTTTAAACTAAAAATCACACGAAAACCATTCAGACTGTGTCCTCTACCTGTTACTCTCCCAAAAGAAGAGAATGATAATCGATGGCTAATAGCTTCATCCCACATCACTCTCTCTTATCCCTTCCTTTCTCCTCCAACTCAAGTCATCCTCTCCATCCTCAGGGTCTTTGCATCCCTTTAATCCTCCCACACCTCTGACTTTTACCTTTTACCTCCAATTTTCACCCCAGCTCCTTTTCTTTCCTCACATCCTGGCCTAAATATCACTCCCTCTAAGTTTCCCTGATTACCCCCCAAACAAGGAGGCTGAGATGTACCAGCCGTACTCGCCCTCCTGCGCTTCTCAGTACATCAATTACTAACTCACGTCGGTTTCTTCTGTTGTATTACACTTCTAGAAGGCAGGGCCATACATCTCTTCTTGGCTGTTCTAACCCCAAGGTTTGGTTAACATACATGTGTAATTAAAAAATTAAATGTGTGGGTTAAGGTTCTAAAACTCATCTTTTGGGTTTTAGAACTCATAATCTGTAGTAACTGATCTTCTGGATGGGCTGAACTGAGGATAGAATCAGGAAACAATGATTACCCGTCTACTACCCTCAAGTGTACTCTGTCAGTTGGCTCTCCCTCCCCCTCTCCTGAGAGACATCTCAGGCATATTCCATAGTCTTTCAGTCACTTTGAAACATTCAAGCACAGTCTCATTTCAGGTAATAAACTGTCCAGTATGCTCTTACTCGGCACCACCTACAGAGGTGGCAGTTATCTCCTACTCAGCACCATGGCTACCCTCAGGCCCCTCAAGAAATTCAAGATTGTCAAAAAGAGGACCAAGAAGTTCATCTGGCACCTGTCAGACTGATATGTCATAAAACACACTTAAAAAAAACCAAACAAACCCCAGCAGACTGCGTACATTTGTGCTAATAAAACCATAAAATTAAAAAAAAAAATAGTTTGATCTTGTTGAAATCAAAACTGCTTCCTTGCTCTTCTACTCCTCTGATCTCAAGGCTGTTTCTGGCCTCTTCAGAGCTGAAAGTAAGAGAACCAATGAGATGACAAGGGGCAAAGGACTTTGTACACAGCTGATGTTCTTTGTAGCTTTTGGCTTCATCCTAATGCCTCTTCTTTTATGGGAGAGTTTAGTGGGCCCTTCCGGTACCTCCACTCCACTGCACAGCACCCTAATGTAGGTCAGTGCCCTCTCCTGCTGACTTCTTGCTACACCTCCAGCCTCTCTGTTGGGATTCTTCCTTCCTTCATAGGTGAGATCCCTTTAAAAGGCTTAGCTACCTTCTGGAGAGTCTACTTACCCCACAACTGGTAGAAGTGTGTGACTAGTACAACTGCTAGTCTCCCATATTCAACCAACCATCAAGGATTGCTTCAAGTAGGAGGCAGATGGCAGTCTCCCTGACTCCTAAATTCCAGGTAACATGCCAGGTTCTGTTCATGCCACCTAAGTGGCAGGCAGCTAGAGTGGGCTGACACATTACTGTTCAGCAGGCTGGGACACAGGCTCCCATTTCGTCCTGCTGCAAGTACCTCCCCATGAGGTTCACCTGAAGGGTCTCTTAGTTGGCTTGAGGCTGGGAAGAACAGGAAAAGCCACAGCATTCTATTCTTGTGTATACATACATTTTAAAGAATCTCTTCCACTGACACTCCACCACTTCTCTTAGATAAGCCTGAGGTGGGTGATGGAGTTGAAGGTCCAAGGACCATTTTGGCCATCTTCTAAGAAGCTCTGCTTATTTATTTCATTTATTTTTTAAATATGTTTTTATTGATTTCAGAGAGAGGAAGGGAGAGGGAGAGAAACATCAATGATGTTTGATAGGTTGCTTCCTCCTAACCCCATGCTAGGGATCAATCCCGCAACCCAGGCATCTGCCCTGACCAGGAATTGGACCCTGACCTCCTGGATCATAGGTCGATGCTCAACCTCTGAGCCACACCGGTCAGGCAAGAAACTCTGCTTTAGACTGTGGGGAAACATATCACCCATTGATCCCGACTCTGAGGCTTTAGAGGAAATTCCCAGACACAGATGAAGTCCCGCTTCGTATCTAGTTACACCCGTCAACCCCCTCCCCTGCTCTAGCTTAATGCCAAGAACTTGAAGATGCAGAATGTTCATGTTCAGAAATGGCTAGGGGTTGGACACTAATAAATGTCCTAAAACTCTGCTTCTCACACTAGGGGGTATGGGTAGGCAGACACTGAAAGCAATATGCCTATCTTGAACATCAAATTTTATGTTGAAACACACACACACAGTGGAACAACACTCAGCCATAACAATGAAATCTTGCCATTGTGACATGGATGGACCCTGAGGAGGATAACATGCTCAGTGAAGTCAGTCAGAAAGAGAAAGACAAATACTGTATGATTTCACTCATATGTGACACCTCAAACAAACAAAACAAAACAAACTCATAGATACAAAGAACAGATTGCTGGTTACCAGAGGGAAAGAGGGCAGGGGGGGGGCAAAAAGGTAAAGGGGGTTCAACTGTGATGGACGGTAATGACGATGGATAGTAACTATTCACTGAGGGGTGACCACTTTGTAGTGTCCACAGATGTCGAATTATAATGTTGTAATGGACACACACAAACACACACGGACATGTTATCGGGTAAAATGCAAAATTCTGAGGGGGCAAAGGAAACCTTTAAAATAAATTATTGAGCTCACTGTCAGCCACTTCATTTACAGACTCTAGGGGTGATATATGAAAAAGTTCAAGAACTTTTTGAGGAAATTATTTTATGCGAGATAGTTGGATCCTACAAAAATTGGGGAACCCTTCTGGAAGTCCTCAGGAATGCTACTGAGGAAAATGGAGAAACACTATAGAGAAATTAGGTCACCATGACTGTTCCACAAACAATCTGAAAGAAGCTTCATAAGCCTCTCCCCTTCAGTACTAAGAGCAGAGAGGGGGAATCCAGCAGGACTGGTTACTCTGAGAAAAGCAGGGCTGGATCTCCAGACAGGAGGCCAAATACCAGAGAGGTTTTGTTCAACTGTGGCTTTTTTGCGTTTGTTCTTTTGAAGATTACCTGAGCTATGTATGCTATTTCTGTCTGCCCTATAGGCTGAGTTGCCTGTAGCCTCCAGCAAAAAAACCCCACCTGGAAACAAAAGCACCAAGCACTTGGAAGGAGCAAGGATGAGGAGAGCTGTGAAAGGTGGCCTCCGAAGACTCAGTGGATAAAGTAGATTTGAAGGAGAAAAGGGAATCAGGCAGAATCAAAGGTGGGAATCCAGGGCCTGAGGAGAAACCTTAGGAAACTAACAAAAGGAAGACTGTATGGTTCCCCAGCACAAAACAAAACAGCCTCCAAGCGGTGATTTAAAACCTCTAGTGAACAATGACTGCACTGGCAGAGAACATCTCGTCTCATTAATTTAACTTCTGATTTCCCCAAGAACTCATCGTTTTAGGATATGCCTCTTTTTCTTTCCAACACTATGCAGAAATGTGTACCAAGTGGCATCTGCCATTTCAACACCATGCCTACCTTTCTTAAGAATCTTCTTCACTTTTACATAGCTTCCTTCTTTGACATACTCATGAAGCTGAGCTTCCAAGGAGTCATCTTTTAAGGAACCAAGCTGAACAGGACAGGGGATTGGAAGGTGAACAGCCCGAGACATCCTGTTTCAAAAGAAAGCAACATGCTTATTCTAACTGAATCAGAAATGCAAGCAAGCAACTTAGATTCTTTCACATTTCTTTCACTTTTATTTTCATTTATAATGAACAGGATTAGGGAAACAATTACTGAAATTCTACAAGATTAAAGTATATTCTCAACGTTACTGTTGAAATTGAAGCACTGAATATGTTTATTACTAATTCCCATGACTAAAATAGAATTACTACTAGGAAGTAAAATTAGAAATAAACATGTTTGTTGTATCATTGAGATAACTAGGAGAGTATTAACTCTGTAAGGTTAGTACACAAATGCAGTCATTATGTAAGAATGTACACAGTATAATGTAGTGGGTTGAGTACACAGTTCAGACTCTGAAGCTCTGTCGCTCCCTAACTATGTGACCTTGGAAAAATTATTTAATCTTGATAGACCTCAATTTCTTCCTCTGTAAATGGGGACAATAATAATCAGAAGTTTGCTGAAAGGTTTAAATGAGCTAATATGTATAAAGAGCTTAGAGCTGTGCCTGGCACCAAGTGAACTCTCTGTGTTTTTAGCTGTGACTATACACAGTACGAACTATGCTGAGAAATTTTAACTTTCTACATGTGGCATCCACACCTGACCATAATACAATCACGTGTTTGTGCCACACCTACTGTGCATCTCAAATGTGACAGGTGCTGTGTAAGCCACCTCAAAGTGGATCACTGCCATCACAATGCTCATTTTAGCAGGGCAGACAAGTGGTACCATGTTGGTGCTCCATAGAGAGTGGATATGAAAAAAGAATTACACCCACATGAATCAACAAGCATGCACATCAAGGGCGTAACTAAGTGCTACATGAGAGACACAGAGGGTGTGATATGAGGTGAAGTAAAAGGAAAAGCCATGAAGGCTGACACATTTGGTAGGTGTTCACTAGCCAGGAGGCATTAGGTTACTGAGAAGTAACACATTCTTAATTTATCCACTGACAGAATGTGGAAAATGCTTAAGTTGAATATTTTAACTTTATTTCCTTTGGTATTTGTTAATATCCACATCAGTGACTAAAAGCAGTATCCTGGTAATTCAATAATATCACAACATTCTTAATCAAACAATAGTAACTAAGAAAATACTCTTTAGTTTAAATATGACCTGAAGCTTTTTATTAAAAAAATATCTTTATGGATTTCAGAGAGAGGAAGGGCGAGGGGAAGAAAGAAACATCAATGATGAGACAGTCATTGATCAGCTGCCTCCTGCACGCCCCCTACCGGGGATCAAAGACCGCAACCCGGCATGTGCCCTTACCAGGAATAGAACCCCGATCTCCTAGGTCGATGCTCAACTGCTGAACCACGCCAGCGTAGCCATGTTTAATATTTTTGAGGAACTGCCATACTATTTTCTATAGTGGTTGCACCAGCTTTGTATTCCCACCAGCAGTGCACAGAAATTCCAGTTTTTCCAGATCTTCACCAACACCTGGCAGTTCTCACTGGGAGTTTCAGCTACAAGCACATATTACTATTACTACTTCAGACTCAATGGTTTCCTCCTCTCTATGTAACAACCATTATTCCACACCTAGAGTAAAAATTAACCGAGGGTTTTGGCAAAATAGCTGAATTGGTTGCAGGGTCCCCGGAACACACATAAGAGTCGACCAACTGGGTTAACATTTTTATCTCCATTCAGCAAACAATAACTTATACTGCAACAAAGTGTCTACAGGACGAGAATACCAACAAAAAAAACCTACAGTAAACATACTGAGCAAATAGAATTCAAAACACATTCAAAAAGTTCAGTTCTTTCTTTTCAATACCAGCTTATCAGGGGAGAGCGCGAACGCAGTCCCCCACTACCACAAATTATGCAGTCGAGTTTCCCACATTTGGGGAAATCGCAGGGGTCAGCACATCCGGAGTGCAATGGATAAGCCTCGCCCTGGGAAAACCACCTTCGTGATCATGGTATCTCCCCTGCCAGGTAAGTATGAGTTGCCGCGCACGCCTCCACCCCGGCCCTCGCGCTCGCCTCGCTCTTCACACANGTTCAATTTGCCTAGCACGTCACCATGGTCCTCAACACACTTTTAAGTCATGGTTAATTATATTGCGAGTTCTTTAGCCCTTCAGTTCTAAACTGCAGTGTTATTTACTTGACAGAGACTACGGTACATTCTTTTGGATACCCAGAGGAAATTCTGCTCCGTTAATACCATCAAACCAGCAGTCACCGCGCTGCTCATCTACATATCCCCGCCTCTTGTCACTTACGTCACTCTGATACTTAAGGCTGATAAATTGGCTGTAGTTAGGTCTGGTGACCACCCAGAAGCCAATCGGTCACAGGCGTGGCTGGGGATAATTTTCAATTCCTCGCCTTTCTGGGTGCAGATTCTGGCGTGGATCTGTTATGATGAGTCTGCGTTCTGCGCTGCAAGGCAGGGCCAGTTTGGGTGGCAGAGGTCTGCAGCCCACAGAGGGGAAGATAGTATAATGGTTATGCCGGGGCTGGGTCGCGGCTCCACTCTGGGCCTAGGTCATACCCTCAAGTTTCTGTAAGTCTCCATCTCCCCAGGTTGTAAAGTGGGAGTAACATGCCGGTCTACCTAACAAGGTTTCTGTGAGAACTAAGAAAATGCATGTGTAACAGGCAGCCTCAAGCCCCTCCACACCCACCCGGGCCATTCCACTTCTGGATAGGTGCCCTGTGTAGATGGGGGTCCCAAAGTCGGCTTCACTGTGACTAGTCTGCAGTACTTGGCATAAAGGAAATCAGCATTCGGCCTGGATGTGGTAAAAAACCGAGTGCTCCTCCCCCCTTTTTAGACAACGAAAATAGATGACACCTATTGTCTTTCCTAACCTTTTGGGTAGGCCCTCTGGGCACAACCTCTGCCTTTAGGGTCTCTGGCTGGGCCTAAGAATAAACTTGGCAGATACAGTTTAACACAACAAAAGCATTCACATTTATTTAATGTAAGTTTACCTGACACAGGCGCCCTCATAAGAAAAGAAGACCCAAATAAGTGGCAACACCTGAATGCTTTCATATTCGGTTCAACAAAGTGAGGAGACTGAAAAAGTAACTAACATATATGGGGCGGCTAAAGGTAAATAGGAGTTGTTTTTTAATACACATATATCTTTATTGATGTCAGAGAGAGGAAGGGAGAGGGAGAGAGAGAGAAACATCAATGATGAGATAGTCATTGATCGGCTGCCTCCACCCCGGACTGGGGATGGAGTCCGCAACCAGGCATGTGCCCTGACTGGGAATCTAAGGGCGATCTCCTGGACCCTAGGCCCACGCTCAACTGATGCTCAACTGCTGAGCCACGCCCCACAGGGCTGAAAGGTATTTTTAATTAATAGTGATAAATTTCCCATGCAGATGATTAGGAAAAGACAAAAAGTGTTTATTTAAATTAAAATAAATTACAATCCCACTAAAAAATTACCACTGTTAATACTTTGATATCATATGTGATAATTTCAATTCTTTATACATATATATTTTAATAGGGTTACACTTCATACCTGTTTTATAACTTTTTTCATTCATTTTACTATATACTGTCATAATTTTTATGATCACTATTCTGCTGCTTTCAGTTTACTGCCATCATATCTATCTCTACATCTATCTATCAATGTATCTATCTATCTCTGTAATGAACAGACTTGCAGATATATCTTTGTGAATAATTAATAACGGCCCTGGCCGGGTAGCTCCATTGGTTGGAGCATTGTCCAATGTGCCAGGGTTGCAGGTTCAATCCCTGGTTGAGGTGCATACAGGAAGCACCCAATGAGTGCATGAATAGATGGAGCAGCAAGTCAATGTTTCTCTCTCAAATCAATAAGTAAAAAATTTAAAAATAACAAATAATTATTTCTTAAGAGTAATTTCTAGTTGTTTTCCCTGTTATTTTAATGTTTTAGGCATCTTAAGAAATGCCTTAAATTATTTGGAGTAGAGGTGACATATAAATATTCTTAAATTCTTTACCAACTACTTTTCCCTGATTCCTTTAATCTTTCAAAGTGGAGATCTCTTTTTAATTTCATGATTCATAGTTAATTATAAAAAGAACTTCAAGTTAAGAATGAGAGGGAAGACTAAATTATATAATGTTACATGCAACAAAGAGCAGCATATGAAATTGAATACTATGATTAAAACTATTTCTAAAAAGGCAAAGTTTAAGAAACTTAAAGGAAATATACCAGAATGCAAACTAACATAATTATGTTAGTGTCAATACAGAACTATGGACTAATGTTCCCCCCCAAATATTCTGTAACATGATTATATTACGTATAGTAAAATAAAAGTTTTAACCCTAATTATATACATCTACTGCCAAAAAAAGTTCATACTTTTTGACCCAGAAATTTCTTTTACTTGACCTAAAGGTAGTAATTCTACAGAAAGACAATGTCCTATGCACAAGGGTATCCATCAAAGGTTTACTTACAAATGCAAAAAAACAAAATCACCCTCAAACCCTAGATATCAAAGTAATAGAGAAGTGGAGCATTTAGCCAATATAATAGTAATATAACAGTTAACAACATGAAAAAAAAATTGTTATCTAAGGTTAACAGGAAAAAAGGGATATGAAATAGTATGCATACCATGACTGCAATTTTGTAAAAATATGTATCCTTAAGGAGAATTACTAGAAGAAAATGCATTAAAATTATGTTACTGATTTTGAGACACAGGTTATATACTTTCAATACTAGACACTATTTTTCTTCATAATGACGGGACCAAATTCTAGTTGAACATCCACCATAGGGGTATTTTGCATAGTATTTAAAGAGTTTGAAAGCAGGGTTTAGCATCAGATAGACATAGCTTCAAACTGTGATTTTATCATATTTTAGTTGTCATCGCTTGAATTTACCCTCCAGGAATGAAAATATTATCAGTGATTGTATCCCAGAATAAAACAATTACAGTGACCAACGAAGTCAAAGATCCCAAATAAGGCAATATAGAGGAAAACAGCCCCACACCCAGTACAATAACTATTTGTAGAGTTCCTGAATACCTAAGGAAGTGCAGCACTAAACGCACCTACCAATCCGTCTTTTATCATAGATACCCTGCCAATACTCCATGTCCCAACAGACTATGTGTTCTAACTTATACCTACACCAGATTGTTAATAAGTGTTTAGTTTTTCCTCTCTACAAATAAGTTATAATCCAAAAAAGCACTCAACGTAAAGAAAAAGTCTACCACAGCCCCACCAGCCTAAAATAACCGCTATTTTAAGGAAAAAAGCCAATAAATATCTATTTTTCACACAAGAGACCAGGGGGAGAGCGCGAATGCAATTCCCCACTACCACAAATTATGCAGTTGAGTTTCCCACATTTGGAGAAATCACAGAGGTCAGCACACCCAGTGTGCAATGGGCAAGCCTCACCCTGGGAAAACCACCTTCATGATCATGGTATCTCCTCTGCCAGGTAAGTATGAGTTAAGTTTGACCCGGGCACTACCCGCTGCTGGACACACCACTGTAAGATTCGGGTCACTCCTGAACCGACTCTAAGTGGCCTTTATCTACATAATAGCGAACAAAAACTCAGATTTTCGTACTATATCTCAGTATTGGTACCAGCGGAATACAATGCATATTTTCCCAGGGAACGCGGTTCCAAACGGCCCTACATGTGTCATCTACATACTCCACCTCCCGGCGTTACGTCACTGCGTTACCTCACGCGCACCCCGTGGGTCGCAGCCAGCAGCAGGGCACCCTCGAGAGGCCTGGGAAGGTCGGTTCCTACCCCGAGTCGGGGCGACGTAAGTGACGTCTACCAGGCTAGTTTCCTGACCGAAATCCCCCCATCTCCCAAATTTGTGTAGCTGAAGGTCTTCTGGCCTCCCCGTGTGGAGTCCCCTTGAGCAAACCGACACCTAGCCGGTTAACCACTAGCCGGCCTCAGGCGGTCCCTGGACACAAACAGCCCGCGCGAGCACGGGCGCCATTTCCTCCTAAGAGGGGAGGGGCAGGGTGTCCGAGCGAGAATGCTGACGCTACGTGCTAGCGGGGTGTATTGCGAAGAGTGAGGGTTTTGGCATCCAAGATCTGGACTGCAATTCAGTGTTCACATTGCTCGACAAGACTCTGGCCTCTGGATGTGTTCTAGCAGTGAGTACGTAATGGGGATGAACTGTCCAGTCAGACCTCCCACCCGGCTCAGGCTTTGTCTCCTGCTAAAACTTAGTCCCCAAGCTTCTGCGATGGACAGATGTCCTCCAAGGAATCCACATGAATTTTTTTTTCTTCTGATCTTAGTTTCTTTTCTTTTTTAAAGGTCTCACTTATTACTGAACTAACCTACTAGTGCAGAAAGATATTAACAAAGAGAAAAATCATTCTTCCAATAATTTCCCAATAAAACACACCCAACTGTCAAGATAGTGGTGATCTTTTCAGTGATTATGGTGAGATGCAGGCAACCCAGATACAACTATCAAAAATAAAGCAACTAACTTTCCCACCTTTAGAGAAATCACAGGGGTCAACACATCCATAGAGAGTTAAGCCTCAACTAGGAAAAACCACCTGCATCATCATGGTACTCCTCCTCCCAGACAAGTATGAGCTCCTATGCTGGTAAGCCTCCAGACTCCTCCCTGCACAAGACTGTTTATACAGGGTTACTACAAAAGCCAGTATCCACAGACCTAACTCAGTATCATTAGATATTTCAAGAAACAGGAGCATCAATATTGCTTCTAATTTTTTTCTGACATCTTCAGAATACTGGCATCCCTGAAGATCTGAGCATGCACTGTGTTTATTTGCATATCCACACCCTTTGCCCTGTGATGTCACTCCCTTTGCCTTTTTTTCTCCTATGTCTAGTTTATTTAGAAGTCAACTATAAAACACAGAAGAAGACACATACATAAGTCTTCATAACTTTAGTTCAGGAAATAGTTTCTTATATATGACATCAAAAGCAAAAGTGGCAAAGGAAAACCTAGATAAATTTGACCTCATCAAAATTAAAAACCTTTGTTCTTCAAAGGGTTCTGTCTACAAAGTGACAACCCAGAATGGGAGAAAATATTTGTAAATCAAATCATATATCTAATAAGGAATTTGTACCTAGAATATAAAGAATGATTACAACTCAATAAAAAAGACAGCCCAATTTGATATTTAAAAATGGGCAAAAGATCTAGGTAGATTTTTCTTCAAAGAAGATAGGCAAATAGCCAATGAGCACAAAAAAAGATGCTTAACACCATTGGTCATTAGGGAAATGCAAATCAAAACCACCATGAGATACTACTTCACACCCAGTGGGATGGCTAGAATTAAAATGACAGATAATACAAACGGTGAGGATGTGAAAAAACTGAAACCCTCATACACTACTGGTGGAAATGTTAAATGATGCAACCACTTGGAAAAGTCAGGCAGTTTCTCAAAAAGTTAAACATAGAACTACTGTATGATGCAGCAATTCCACTCCTAAGTATATACGCAAAAAAATATGAAAATATGTATGTCCACACAAAAACCTGTACATGAGCCATGGCTGGATAGTTTATTTGGTCAGAGCAGAGTCCCTATACACCAAGATTGTGGGTTCAATACCCAGTCAGGGCACTTACAAGAATCAACCAATGAATGCATTAATGATGTTTCTCTCTCTCCCTTCCTTCCTCCCTTTTTCTTTCAAAAAATCAATAAATAAAAATTTTTAAAAGATGCAGAGAACTTAGAGAGGTGGGAAGTCAGCCCTCTACTGGTGAACAGAACAATTACACCCTACTCTGATAGGCAATTCGGTATAGGTGAATCAACATGCATATAGTAACCCTTGCCCACACCAAAATACATTACTGTTGAACATAAAATAAAACAGAGGAAAGCGGAAATGCAGGTGCCCACCGCCACAAATTATGTAGTTGAGTTCCCCACATTTGGAGAAATCACAGGGGCCAGCACACCAAGAGTACAATGGGTGAGCTTCACACTGGGAAAACCACCTTCATGACCATGGTCTCTCCTCTGCCAGGTAAGTATGTGTTGCTGGTGTTGCCTGACACCTCACTCTCAGATTCTAAACACTAAACATATACAGTCACTCTCTTCATGCAAGTTCTAGACCACCACTTACAAAATAAGGACTTCTCCAAATCTTAGTAAAAGCCAGACAATAACATATTGGATACTGTAATATTTGCAAAGATCAGAAATGTATGTATAATGTGAACAAGACACTGCACTCATTTACATACTCCAAGCACCTTTTAGTGACATCATTCTATAGCGCCTGACAAATCTATCATGGGGTTTTGTTGATAGGGCAGGCTGAGTAATAGCCCACCAAAAATAACCAAGTCCTAATCACTGGAACCTGTGACTATTATTACCTTACTCTGTGGGAAAAGAGATCTTGCAAATGTGATTAAGGATCTGAGATGGGAAGATTGCCCTGAATTATCCAGGTGAGCCTAATGTAACCTTTCAGGGTCCTGATACAATGGAAGAAGGAAGCACTGGCAGGCCTAACAGATGTAAGGACAGGACAGAAGAGAGAACAGCCTAGAGAAGATGCTAAATTGCTGTCTGTGAAGTGGAGAAAGGGAGAACAAAGAATATATAGATGTAGCCTCTTTTTAAAAATCTCATTTATTGATTTGCAAGAAACATAGCTGTGCTGTTCCAGTTATGTGTTCATTTTGTTGACTCCTATATGTGTCCTGACCAAAGAACCTCTCTACATATAACCTCTTGAGACAAAATAAAGGTAAAAGAACTTTTTTGCAAAAGTGACAAATCTTGCAATTAAAACTTCTGCTCTCCAGAATTACTCACAAAACTTCTAACAAGGACTGACTGAGGTCTACATGTGAAAGACAGTAAGTAATACCCTAAGGCAAGAACATAAACAGAAAAAAAAAACACCCTTCACAAGTCTTTTTTTAAACACTTTAAAACAGGGGAGAGCGCGAACGCAGTCCCCCACTACCACAAATTATGCAGTCGAGTTTCCCACATTTGGGGAAATCGCAGGGGTCAGCACACCCGGAGTGCAATGGGTGAGCCTCACCCTGGGAAAACCACCTTCTTGATCATGGTATCTCCCCTGCCAGGTAAGTATGAGTTAGGGAAGTTGCCTGGCACTTAACCCTCTGAGTCAAATCACTCTAACAATAGGATCATTTTTATCACTCATTCCATCGACCCTCTTACTTCTGGAATAGAGTCTCCAAACTACAATTACCGTGAAGCAATAATTTCTATATCTAGATATTGCCAAAATCTTAGGAAATATACGTCTAGTATAAGCATGACCAGCAGTCACTGCGCTTATCTACATATTCCACACCCCTTTTGATGATCTCAGCAAGTCCATTTCCTAGTCGTTAGTGCTGCTGTTCAAATAAAATAAAGGTAAAGACACTCCACAGATTTAAAGATAAACAATAAAAATTTCTTCTTTCCTTCAAGGGCTTGGAGCTAATGATATCACTGTGATGTCTGGCACAGGTCATCAAGGCACTATCTACATAACTGAAAAAGCAAGTCTGAAAAGATGAAATTTGGCAAAATCACATTTAAAAGTCCAGTCCACATGTTGCTAAAAAGTAGGTTATCAGTTCAAAGTTTCAGGGACATGTACAAAACATGCTCTTTCAAATACGTGGCAAATGATCACCCTTACTTGAAAGATGAGTTGCACAAACACTAATTCTAATTTTGAACTGAGAAAACTAGGGAAAAGTTCGCATAGCCTGTGACCCCTCACTTTTGAAGAAGTCAAAGAGCTCTGCACAGCGGGAATGTGATGACAGCCCTCAGGATTAGAAACCCACCTTCATGATGAGTGTCTCTTCTCCCAAGAATATGTTCTGACATATTCTTAAACCTTCCATGCTCAACACTACACAGGTCATCCTTTCGGCTTTTCACAGGTGCCTATGAAATCTAGAGCAAAACTATCAGAGAATCCATCCTACAAGAAACTCCTGAGCCCTCCTAGAACCATAATACACTCTTCAAAAAGAGTATATCCTGTCTTCGGCAATGGTTAATACACACACACACACACACACACACACACACACACACACACACACAATCAGTCTTCTCAATCCTCCTTCATTGTAAATTGGAATTGGAGTTTCCAAGTTTTAACTGTTTTGTCTCATCAAGATTCACACTAGAACCACCCTATTTTCCAAACTTCCTACTTTATATGACTCTTCTGGTATTCTCTCTTCTGCCAAAATAAAATAGCCACAGTTTTACATCTCTAAAACACGAAAAAATGCCCTGGCTGGTGTGACTCAGTTGACTGGAGCTTCATCCCGTGCACCAAAAGGTTGCGGGTTCTGTCTCTTGTTGGGGCGCAGATGAGAGGCAACCAATAGATATTTTTTCTCTCACATCTCTCTCTCCCCCACACCCCCCCCTCTCCCCACCCCTCCTCTCTCTGGAATCAGTAAACATATCCTCGGGTGAGGATTAAAAAAAACCAAAAAACCCAGAACAGTAAGAAATAATGCTGTTTTTAAAAATCTTATTAAAGATTAACACACAATAACTGAGAATACAGAGGTGTCTGAGATTGAGGGAGAAAAAAGTATAGGGTTGGAGAGGGGACTATATGATATGAACTGCATCTACTAAGATTTATTATATACCTTTTCTGTGCCAAATACTTCATATTTGTTAATTCAATCTTTCCAACAAGTAGAAATATTTCTTCTACTTGCAGGTGAGAAAACTGAGTAAACTTGCTGAAAGTCTCACAGTTGGTAATTTCTAGAGATGTGATAAAAACCAAATTTGTATGACTCCAAAGCTTATATCCATCACAGTGCCTCTCAAACTTTTTCAACAAGGAACCCCGATTACAAATGAAAATAAAAACATATACGTAGGAGGCTTTGGGAGACTACTGAAGTGTCCAGTTTAAACAGACTCTTCCTTCAAAGTCTTATGTTTATCTTATAATGTATTTTTATGTTTTCAGTTCACTCTACAATATATTAATACTTATTCAATAGAAAACATTTTAAGTGGCTTACCAATTAAATAATTCAACCCTTCTCTCTCTAAAAAAATACCTATTTGAGAAAACCTAACACTATAGGAAGGAAGATGCACCTTCCATATAAATCCTATAACTTTATTAGTTCCTGGTGCCTGGCCTCATAAACCTGGATCTCAGTTTGAAAGCCTCATTAATACAGGCTTTTTAAAAAATCTTAAGGCCTGGCTGGGCGTGGCTCAGCGGTTGAGCATCCACCTAAGATCCAGGCGATCAGGGTTCAATTCCTGGTCAGGGCACATGCCCGGGTTGTGTGCTGCAGCTAATCAATGACTCTCATCATTGATGTTTCTGTCTCTCTCTCTCTCCATCTCCTTTCCTCTCTCTGAAATCAATAAAGATATGTTAAAAAATTATAAAAAAATAAATAAATAAAATAAAAAATAAAAAAATCTTAAGAATGATGATGTTTATAGGCAACTCAAGGGTCGCAATAAGATATAAATAACACATAATTGTATAGCTACAGATAGCTTTAGTTTAACTCTCCAATGCCAATGAAACAAAATTCTAAACACTGCCGATCCCACTGAATTTGACCAAACTAACTGAAGAGCTTTCCTTGAATATGTTAACACCATCCCTTCTCCCCCAAGACTCCGGCTGCTTTACAAGTACAAGCATGAATCCTCCCTGTGGACAACATTTATGAAATGCCCACTGTGTGCCCAGATGTGGATCCTACTAGAGGTTAAGCAACGTATTGACTGGCAAAAACACATACATTTTTATCAGTCCTACCAGACTTTCTTTGCCCTACCAAATAGGGGACAAACACTTCTCGAATTCTACCCTCACCCCAGCAAGGGCTCACAGTTTCGAAGTAGCTCGTGGTAGACAGAAGGGCACTAGGCTTTAATTTTGGCTTCAAGAAAACGGTGCTGTCAGCTCCTGTGTCCTTTTTTGCCTCGTGGACCGGTGGCGAGCATTTGAAACATATACGATTTGCTAAAGTGTCCAACATATGTTGGCCCGAAAGAAACCATAACTCACCTAGGCAAGGGCAGACTTAGTAAACCTCTCAAGTCCCTCCAAGTCCCGTTTTAGAAGCAGTCTCTTCCCAACTCTACCAGAACGGGAGTTCTTGCGTAGCCCCACTACTCCATCTCCGAACCGGGAGCCCATGCCCAGCCCACTATGGGGATAATACTTGCTTACTTTTCCGGGTACTTCTTAAGCTAGGCAGGACGTTAAGGACTAACGGTCTCAGAATTCAGCTTGCTCCAAACTGATCTCGCAGAAAGGCGTTGGTGGGTGGGTGCGGAGATTGGACGCGGAGCGATCTCCAGAGGTGGTGCGCTAGCCCACAATCCCTCGCGATGGCGAGGGCGGGAAAGACAGGTGGCGGGCTAGCCCACAATCCCTCGCGATGGAGAGCGGGAAAGGCAGGTGGCGGGCTAGCCCACAATCCCTTGCGATGGCGAGGGTGGGAAAGGCAAGGGGGGCAAGAAGGGGTATAGCAGGCGAGAAGGCCCAAGACACTGGAACCCTATAATGGGGACCCAGATTAAAACTTATATGGCTGTTCTGTATCCCAAACGGGTAACTGGCCAGTACGTGTGCGTGTTACTCCCACTGGGGTGAACATTCCAATTAACAACCCTTAAGTTTCATCCAACCGGCCAGGGCAGAGGTGAGGAAATATGGTGTGTAGGGCCCAGTGGGCCTGGCTCTCCATCCTGCGGTCTCCATCTGTATTTTTAGTGGCAGGATGTACTTTTAATGGGGAAACCGTAATGGGCTTTGTAAGATACACAGCAGAAAGGCGCGCAAGTGTGGAAATCCAGTATGTCTCCGCAGAGCAACAGACCCCAAGGCCGCGTGCAGCCAGGCCGCAGACTCCGCCCCTTCCGCTTTACGTCTGACGTCACGCGGCGCGGCCGGGCGCTGGCGTGCGGAATTCGGAAGCCTAGCGTTTAGCACCTCTGCGCAACTGTGCGCGTAGGGGATCGGATTTGAAATGCAGCGGGATTTAGTGAGTTTTCCACTGTCCCCAGCGGTGCGGGTTAAGATGGTGTCTGCAGGTTTCCAAACTGCTGAGGAACTCCTAGAGGTGAAACCCTCCGAGCTCAGCAAAGGTAACGACTCCCGACGTTAAGCCCGTGGTAACTGGCTGCGGTCTGTGCCGCCTCCATCTCTGATCTCCCGCCATCACAGCCCAGTCTCCGCAGATTCTGCTGCTGTCCACGGCTGCGTTTACAACGTGAAAAGGCGGCTTGACTACACTTAAACATGGTTTGGATGGTTAGAACTGTGGTCTTGGAAACATTTACTGATTGCTTTCTCTGCCAGCGCATGCAGAATGCTCTGAGGATTACATCATTTATACTTAAAAAAACCCTCCTTACGTGGACCGTGCCCAATATACAGATAAAGGAACAGATGCTTGGGGAGGTTAAGTAACTTTTCATGATGACTGGGCTAGGAAGTTGTGCAGCCAGGATAGGCTATATAATTTTCGTTGTTCCAAAATCCAAGGAACAGGGATTAAATTTGAGAAGTCAAGGATTCGTGATAGGACTAGAGACACTATGAGTGAGAAAAGGGGTGGAATCCCCAGAATCTGGTGAAAGCAGTAGAAAGAAGACATTGCTGCTTTTATGTAACTCACTGAGAAAACCCTAAACCTCGCATTCCAGAGCACTGTAGGTAATACGTTGGTGAGAACCACTGCTTCCTGAGGCACACAAAAATAAAGCTGTCTGCAGTCAGTCTCACTGTGCACACTACACTATGGTATGCCTAGAATTATGCCATCAAGATAGAACCAAATTTTAAGTCATTGTCTTTAATATAAAGTAAGGAAGTTTCAATTAGTCACTCAAAAATAAATGTAGCCCTAGCAGGTTTGGCTCAGCGGTTACAGCGACAGCCCCTGCACTGAAGGGTCTCAGGTTGGATTCCGGTCAAGGGCACGTACCTCCTTTCTGGGCGGAGCCAGGTTGTGTGCGAGAGGCAACCAACACATTGATGTTTCTATCTCCCTTCCACATTCTCTCTGAAAAAGCTAATAGAAAAAATATACTTAGGCGAGGATTTAAAAAAAGCTAAGGAAATTTCTTAAAAAAAAAAAGTGTAGACCCAATGTAAACTATTTGTTTTAAATCTTACACTGCACATTGTGTCCCCCAAAGTTTGATGGGCTCTTTTTCTTTCAGTAAGTTGGTTTCACAAAAAAGGAAGTAGAGAATCTGAATGATGAAAAGCTAACCATTGAGGATTTTGGATGTCCTGGTATTCTACAAGCTTTTTACATGTATTGTCTCATTCCCATTTTATAGAAGAAAAAATCTGAGGTGCCAAAAAGTAACTTGCCCAAACTTGGTGACTGTATAGTCAGTGGTGCAGTCAGGCTTTACAGACCCAAGTAATCTGACTGCAGAGTTCAGGCTCTTAAATTGGATTGGATTTTCATTGTTTTACTGTCTTTTGGTAGCACCAAATTTATGGTTTATATCCTTGCCAAATCAAGCATTGATATATCAAACTTATAAGTGATATTCGCACCATTATTTCTCTCATTAGCAGCTTGTTTTTTGTTTGTTTTATAAATATGTTTTTATTGATTTCAGAGAGGGGAGAGAGAGAGAGAGAGAATCGATAAGAGAGAAACATCAATTTGCTGCCTCCTGCACACCCCCTACCGGGGATTGAGCCTGCAACTTGGGCATGTGTCCCAACTGGGAATCTAACCAGCAACCTTTCTGTGCAGGGAATGATGCCCGGCCCACTGAGCCACACCAGCTTGTTTTGTAATTACCATTTTATCTTCTCAGGCCATATTGTCAGATAAGAATGAAATTGTATAGTTGAGGGAAGCATAAGAGTATTGTTTAAAATATTTATGCATCAAATAATTGTTCTCATTACATAGTTTAGAGTGATACATGAATTTTTCATGCCAGTGTTTCCATGAAAAGTTTTTATTATGAATAATACATGCACATGCACTTTTTTTTTTTAGAGCAAAACTTTTTTTAATTGATTTTAGAGAGGAAGGGAGAGAAATGTTGGTGTAAGAGAAACATCAACCATTTACCTCTCATAAGTGCCCTGTCCAGGGGTTGAACCTGCTACCTTTCAGTGTACAGTAGGACAGTCCAACCAACTGAGGGCCACACCGGCCAGGACCACACGCACTTCTTAAAGTTGATTCTTGTTTCAGGCAATTAAAGAGGCCATTTTCATTCTCTTCTGAAAAACAATTTGTATTCCTCATGAAAGCAAGATAAGAATAGCTTCTTAAGACCAAAAGAGATAGTAAAAGGATTGACTGCTAGTACATTTTATTTCTACATCCTGAGATACTTTTGTAGGTACTTAGAAATGCTTTAGAGGTTTAGGTTTTTCAGAGGTAATAAATTTGTTAAATATGTGAGGACTAAGAAAACATAAATTCCTTTATTAACTTGAAAGGTTAAATAGTTAATGAAATTTTACATTTTTATGTTTCTCTACTCTTGGCATCACTCTTGTTATCTAAAAATTAAAATTAATGAAGAAAAGAAAATAGTATGTTATCCTGTTTTAAAGTCAGATGTGTTTTTTTTCTTACTCTACTTTCAGAAGTTGGAATATCTAAAGAGGAAGCCTTAGAAGCTCTGCAAATTATAAGAAGAGAATGTCTCACAGATAAACCAAGACATGCTGGTACAGCTGAGCCAAGCAAGAAATGTACAGCACTGGATCTTCTTGAGCAGGAGCATACCCAGAACTTCATAATTACCTTCTGTTCAGCACTAGATAATATTCTTGGTGGCGGAGTACCCTTAACCAAAACAACAGAAATTTGTGGTGCACCAGGTGTTGGAAAAACACAATTATGGTAAACTAAAATGTTCCCTTCTTAAGGGTGGGCTTAATAACATTTTATGTAAGTAATAGAGTATTGTGCTGTGGATCTGTAGTCAGACCAAAAACGACATGTATGTATTCACAAATTTTTGTGTTTGTGGACACACATCAAACAAAAACCAACTTAACATTTGTGTTACTTTAGCACCCCATCTTGATATATTGATACAATTATTTTGATATAAAAAAATTTTTTTAAAACATTGTAATGTAGTCACTAGGCTAAATAAACAGTCTTCTACTTTATTAGATAATTAATTCCTGAGAATATATTTGAAAGTCAAATGTTTGAAATTAGATTTACATATAATAAGGGTTTCATTCCCAGAGGCCTAAAAACACACTAAAATTCCTTAATTGTGATTTTATAGGCACACTCTTTTCCTAATCCAAGCATCAATTGATTCACATATACAGGGTGGGCAAAAGTAGGTATATAGCACTTTGTATGGTAAATAATACAATAATTAATAACTGATAATAATACAAGAATAAACTGTTTTGAGTACTTATAACTGTAACCCTACTTTTGCCCGACTCTGTATTTGGAGCCAGGGAAAATCAGCCATCTCTGTTGTCTGGGAGAGTATATTTGCATTTATAAAACATTTAGTGGTACCTAATGGGTGGTGATCTGGAGTTTGGAAAACACTACTTTAGAAGATCATGATAATGATTTGTTTATTGGACTTCTTTCTCTTGATAGTATGCAGTTGGCAGTAGATGTGCAGATACCAGAATGTTTTGGAGGAGTAGAAGGAGAAGCAGTTTTTATTGATACAGAGGGAAGTTTTATGGTTGATAGAGTGGTAGACCTTGCTACTGCCTGCATTGAGCACCTTCAGCTTATAGCAGGAACACGTATGGGAGAGGGTAAGTTAGCAAGTGATTCTCTTTTTCTCTGTATAAGAAAAGAAATTTGTGTTTGTACTCATCTCAAGCCTTAGTGAGAGACCATTTTGGAAAGTGAAGCTTAATGACTTGACAGTGTACTGGTGTTAAATTCTCATATCCCTCTTACAAATTAGAAATGCTACAACCTGAATTGGGTTTTCCTTCCCCTTTTATGGCCCTTACTTACTGCAGGAGCTCTAGGGCAAAATTTGTGTATGTATTTCAGTGTATGACTTCAAATCATACTTTGACTTGCCAGGTGTAAACTAATTTTGTTGGAACTTTAATATAAGTGTTGTCTTAATGAATTCACTGTACTCAGTGCATTCAGTGTATGGACTTTCATAATGTTTTTTTCAAAAACCAAAGGTAGTTTAGAAAAACCATGTCTGGAAATATTTGAAACGTTAAGCTGATTGACCTATGGGGCTCGGAGTAGTATATAATTGACTTCATGACTATGTTAATTGTATTGCTAAAGTGTTTGGAAGTTTTTTTATTTATTGTGTGGAAATAAAGTATTTGATTTAAAAGAAATCTTAAAGGTAGTTTATATTCAAGTTCTTGTCCTTTCATTTACTTATAAAATTAAATGGTTTCTGGTTTGACTGTGTGGTTTTTTATTTGTTGTTTTTTTTTAATCTTGGATGTACAGTCTTTATTCTTTTCTCTAGAAGTTTCAAAAAACAATGCTTTTTATATATGTTTGTATTTCCTTTAAATGCTTGTAATCAGCTGCATATTTTTATTTTTGTGGGAGTGCTTGGTGTCCTTTTTTAACTAATGACCAGTATATCTGCTGAAAGTCCTTAAAGCTACCCATGTCACAATGTATATTTGTGAGATCAGACAAAATTGGGTGTATTTAGGGTGGCATGGCTGTAGACACAATGTATATTTGTAATAGTATTTTTTTAATTCTCACCTGAGGATATGTTTTTTATTGATTTTAGAGAGAGAAAGAGAAACATTGATTAGCTAGCTGCCTCCCATACACACCCCAACTGGGGATTGAACCCAAAACCTAGGTACCTGCCCTGACCAGGAATCGAACCACAGCCTTTTGGTATAGGGGATGATGCTCAGCCAACCGAGCCACCCCGCCAGGGCTGTAATAGTGTCTTAAAATCTTAATGTAAATATTATAGGTATAACAGTGGGATATAAAGTTTTTAGTGACTTGTGTGACTAAGTTGTCATTTGTTTTTGGTTAAAAATTAACTTTTAAAATGTACATTTGGCCCTGGCTGTTGCAGCTCATTTGATTGAACGTCATTCTGTGCACTCAAGGGTTGCCAGTTCAATTCCAGTCAGGGCACATGCCCAGGTTGCAGGCTCGATCCCCAGTGGGGGCGTGCAGGAGGCAGCCAGTCAGTGTCTCTCTCCCCCTCTTCCTCTCTTTCTAAAAATCAATAATAATAATAATAATAAAGTATATTTTCAACAGGCAGTGTTTTCTGAAATTTAATTTCTTGGGTGTTTTTTCCCAGTGTTAAAACTTAAGGACATTTTAAAATGAAACAATTTTTAAGTGGTTTCTCTGAAATATGTAGAAATCCAAACTGCTTATTTTTTAAATCCAATCTAAGTAGGAAATTTCATTTTATATTATTGTTTCTACTTAAATTATCAAGTTACACTATAGCATCTAAGGGGAAGAATGTTGCTTCTGAACATTTTTTCTTTTAACTGTTAGTTTGTAGTTCTCTGACAAAAAAAACAAGAAAGAGAAAGTTCATTATGTTACTTCTATTCAGTGGAAGCCAATAACTAGAAATATGAAAAGGCAGACATTAAAAACTAGCTGTGCCCGGCCAGTGTGGCTCAGTGGTTGAGCGTAGACCCAGGAACCAATAAGTCACTGATTTGATTCCCAGTCAGGGCACATGCCAGGGTTTCGGGCTTGATCCCCCGTAGGGGGCATGTAGGAGGCAGCCAGTTGATGATGTTTCTCATTGATATTTCTCTCTATTCCTCTCTCTCTAAAAGTCAATAAAAACATATTTTTAAAAAACTAATTGTATATGTGTATAAACAATTTCTAGATAGCCTAGTATGTAAGGAAACAGTGGAAAGGGTGAAAATAAGACAACAGGAACTATGAAATGATAGTTTATAGTAATTTTGCTAAAATTTTACCTTTCAATTAAAGTCAAGAGTTTTGTTGTTCACAGTGAAGCATTTTATTATTCAAAGGTATTGTTTTTCTATAGTCACCAGTATATCAAAACAGATAACACTAATTATTTTAAGATTGTTTTTTTGTTTATTTCAGTGCACCCAAAGGCTTTGGAGAATTTCACTCTTGAAAATATTCTTTCCCATATTTATTATTTTCGTTGCCGTGACTACACAGAGCTACTGGCACAAGTTTATCTACTTTCAGACTTCCTTTCAGAACACTCAAAGGTACGGCTCAAGCTACTGAAATATAACCAAGTATCTTAGGAGGTGTTTTGGTTAAGCCAATTCAGGAAATCTCTTTATTCCTTGTCCTACAGTTTACTTATGTTTACATTTATTTAGCATGTATATATTAATATTATGCCCAAAGTAAGAGATTGAAATAATATAAAAAGAGGTTCCACCTCCAGTAATGGTGGAATTAGCTCCTATCAAACAAACTGTATAGAGAGGTATAAAATGAAAAATAACACTTCCCTTCTGCTGCTGCTTCCTAGTACCTCTCCCCAAAGTTGACCACTATTAATAGTTTCTTGTGTGTCTTATCAGAAAAATTTTATACATAATATCTAGCTCCCCATTTTTAACATTGTTGATGGGGTTATACTGTAATATTGTTCTGCACCTTCCATTCTGGCTTACTGTTTTACATATCTTTCTGTACGATTATGTAAGGATAGGTGTTATTCTTTTTTCAGCTGCATATTTCATTTTAAGAAGGTACTTTTCGCTGTTGGTGGGAATGTAGAATGGTGTAGTTGCTGTAGAACACAGTATTTCAGTTCCTCAAAAAATTGAAAATTAGAACTATCATATGATTCAGCAATTCCACTTCTGGGTATATAACCAAAAGAACTGAAAGCAGGGTCTTGAGATATTCGTACATTTATGTTCACAGCAGCATTATTTACAGTAGCTAAAACATGGAAGCAACACAAGTGTCCATTGATGGATGACTAGATCAGCAAAATGTACATACATACAATGGAATAATATTCAGCCTTAAAAAGGTAAGAAAATCTGACATGCTACGACATGGATGAATCTTGCGGATTACATGCTAAGTGAAATAAACTAGTTATACTTTTATAAGGTATCAAGAGTAGTCGAACTCATAGAAACAGAAAGTAACATGGTGGTTGCCAGAGCCTGGGGAGAAGAGAATGGGAGCTGTTGTTTAATGGGTATAGAGTTTTAGTTTTAAAAGATGCAAAGTGTTCTAGAGATGGTAGCACAATGTTATAAATGTATTTAACACCACTAAACTACACATAAAATTATTAAGATGGTAAATTTTCTATTATGTGTATTTTATCACAATAAAAATGGTTGGGGGGAGTAGGTATCTTAATTTATTTAACCAGTCCTTTATTGGTGGACTTCTAGTGTGATTATTATTATTTTTTAATCCTCACCCAAGGGTATTTTTTCCATTGCTTTTCAGAGAGAGTGGAAAGGAGAGAGAGAGAGAAACATCAATGTGAGAGAGACACATTGATTGGTTGCCTCCCACTCTCCCCTCTGGCTGGGGCAGAGCTTGCAACTGAGGTACGTGCCCTTGGCCAGAACTGAACCAGGGACCCTTCAGTCCTCGGGCTGACGCTCTAACCACTGACCGGCTAGGGCCTGAATTACTTTTTTTTTTTTTTAAATATGTCTTAATTGATTTCAAGGAGAGGGGGAGAGAGAGAGAAACATCAATGATGAGAGAGTCATTGACTGGCTGCAGCCCGCAACCCGGGCATGTGCCCTGACCAGGAATTGAACCCCGATCTCCTGGATCCTAGGTCGATGCTCAACCGCTGAGCCACTCCCAGCCGGGCTGAATTACTTTTTAAAGTCGATAAATTATCAAACCAGAGTACATTTTATCTTTTGGTGACTAGTACAAAAGCATTGGATGAATCACCCTGGCCAGGTGGCTCAGTTAGTTGGAGCAGCATCCTGTATACAAAAAGGTTTTGGGTTCAATTCCCAGTCAGGGCATGTATCTAGGTTTCAGGTTTGATCCCCTATCTGAACGCAAATGGAGGTAACCAGTTGATGTTTCTCTCCCTCCTTCCTCTTTTTCTCTCTCCCCACTTCTCTCTAAAATCAATAAACATTCTTGGGTGAGGATTTTTTTTTAAAAAAGCATTGGATGAATCGATATATAATTATCTAAAATAAAGCCGTTGAGTTGGAAATAGAACACAGAATTTTAAGGTTTTTCATGCAATGGGCTGTGCTTTTTTGATAATTTTATTTTTAATACCAAACTTAATATCATTATCTATTCTGTATTTAGGTTCGATTAGTGATAGTGGATGGCATTGCTTTTCCTTTTCGTCATGACTTTGATGATTTATCCCTTCGAACTCGATTACTAAATGGCCTAGCCCAGCAAATGATCAGCCTTGCAAATAATCACAGATTAGCTGTAAGTATAATTAGTCAAGAGAATTTTATAATAGTTAATAAGATTGTATCAAATATTAATGTCTAGAAATAGCAGAATAAAATTTATCTGACTAAAAGCAAATAATGTAGACACAATTTTAAATGTAGTTTTGTTTTGTTTTGGTTATTATAAAAAATTCTGGTTGTAAGTGTTGTGTATCACTTTTCCTGGAAAATAATAAGCATAATCAAGATGCCATATTTTAAAAATGGACTTTGATGAAGAAATGCCACCTTTGGTAATTGCAGTGTTTTCTTTATCTAAATATACTTCATATGTTTTAGGTAAGCTCTTCCAACATTCCCATTTTTCTTTTAATTTGAGTCTTTGATTATTACTTAGTGTATAATCACAGACTCAGATGGATAGGAAAATTATATAGTGTAAAGAGCCAAGATGTTTGGAGGTGGAATTAACTCTTCCAGGTTTGAAATATGAGGAGCGAGGTAAAGGTAAGTTTAAAAGTGAAGGGATAAAAAGGAGTAAGGTAAAAACTTTTTTTTAATTGCCTGTTTGCCAGCACTTTCCACTCTGCAACCCTATCCCACCACTGATACAAATATACACGCTTGTATGTGAAGGAGATGGGAAATCATACTGCTTGACTTTCTTTACCCTGTGTCCTTAGCACATGCCTGTAATACATCGTAAGTAAATAAAGAATTCTTCGATAAAATAATTTCAGAACATATATCTTTTCTTTTGAGCTATTAGATTTTTTTTGCCATGTACTGAAAAACATAGTGTCTTGTCTTTGAATTATTTCCATTAATTTGTAATTTTATGCATTCTGTTAATATCAATGAAGAGTCCCCAGTAGGGGGCACTCAATACTAATGGGTTGCATAGTTCCTCAGGTTTCTGTTTGTTTTTAATAGAAATAGCCTTATCTTTTCTAATTAAAAAAAAGTAATGCAGCCCTGGCCGGTGTGGCTCAGTGGTCCTATACACCGAGAGGCCTCCACCGGTTTGATTCCTTGTCAGGGCACATGCCTGGGTTGCAGGCTTGATTGTGCAGGAGGCAACCAAAGTGACCCTCTCATGTCAATGTTTCTTTCTCTCCCTCTTCCTTCCTCTCTCTCTTTCTCTCTCAAGTCAATAAAACAGAACATATTTTAAAAATTATTTAAAATATTTTTCAAAAAGGTAATACAAATAACACGGAATACTATGCAGTGTTTAAGGAGAATAATGTAAATAATATACATACTAACATAGAACAAGATATATCCAGATATATGATTAAGTGAAAAAATTCAAGTTTTGTAACAATATATTTAGTGAATCCCACTTTTGAGAAAAATAAGAATTATATATGAGTATTTATATTTATATCTATGAAGAAAATTGTTGAAAGGACCAAAACATTAACAGTGGTTACTTCTAGAGATAGGATTTTGTGGGGTTGAGAGCATACTTTCCTCTTTTACTTTATAAATTCTTTTTTGCTTGGTTTTTAATTTCCTGGTTAGCAGATATAGAAGCATGTTAGACCTTTGATAATAAATACATTTTACAATTTTAAGTTATGTGCTTGCTGTAAAAAAAATTCTAAATCATCAAAATGTAGACAGTAAGCAATTATGTTATCTATTACTCAGAGATGATTATTATTGAGTTTGGTGTACATATTTTTCCAAAGTTATTCTACACATACATAAACATGTTTTTAAAGTAAGATCACATCATGCATGCTATTATGCAAAGCAATGTTTTGTTGACTTAATATATTGTGAACATCTTTCCATATACACTACTATATAAGTTTACCTTACCTTAGCTACATAATATTTTGTTGTACAGTTGTAGAAATTTTTTTAACCATTCTCTATTGTCTTTAAAGTTGACTCCAGGTTTTTATCACTTAAAATACTGCAATCAACAACTTTATATATACTTTTTTGTCATTCATCCAGTTATTTCTGAAAGTATTAAGCCAAAGGGATATCTCTATTTTAAATATTTTGTTATATATTATCAAATTACCCTCAGAAAGCCAGTTCCAAAGTATGTCGTCTACAGCAATGAATGAGAATTCTTGTTTTTCCACATCTTTACCAACTTTGAGTCTTTTAAATCTTTGCCATGCTGATGTGGAGAGAGTCCTTTTAGAGATGCGTTTATTTGATTATTAGTAGAAATGCTTATTTGACTGTTTTATAAAGATATAATTAACATACCATAAAATTCATCCTTTTAAAGTGTACAATTCAATGGCTCTAGTATATTCAGAGTTGTGCAGGCATCACTACTATCTGATTTTGCAACATCATGCACATCAGCCCCAAAAGAACTCCCTCACCCGTTAGCTGTCACTCCCCATGCACCCTCCCTTTTAGCCCCTAATAACCACTGCTTTGTACTGCTTTTTATCTCTATGTATTTGTCTTTTCTGGATATTTTCTATAAGTAGAATCATGCTGTATGTGGTCTTTTATGTCTGGCTTCTTTCATTTAGCATAATTTTTTAAGATTCATCCATGTTGTAGCATGTATCAGTATCCTTTTTATGACTGAATATTTTTGTATTTTCTCATTATACCATATTTTGTTTATCTGTTCATCAATTGAAGGACATTTGGGTAGCAGAAGTATTTTTAAAGCAATGAAGTTAACTTCAAAGTGATTGTTATTTCACTATTTTGAAGACTCATTCTTTAGGAGCTTGGAGTAATTAACCAATAATTTTCATTTGGATCCTGGTAAACCCAACATTTTTTGCAGAAGTAGTGTAATTACTTTATAAATATTTGCTAACAGTGCAAATTCTAATTTTGGGATGTTGAACAGCTGATGTTGCTGCTGTTGGACTGGTTGTTCCTAATGGCTTATATACAACTTAAATTTACAGCTTGGATTTTCCGGCTTTCCCCAGTTAAGAAGTTTTTGTCCATGGTCTCTTTAGGCCTTTTTGTATTATCTGTTATATTTTTATTCTTCCATTTTCACAATAAGAACTTCTCTGTTTTTGGTTGTTAAAAAAAAAAAAAGCTTTCTGTTCAGTAGACTCATGTTTTCAGATAACTACTCATTTTTATGGGTAGGTACCAGAAAAGTTTTCATTACCTAAATATGTCTTTCTTTAAATTAGATTATATTCAGAATACTAAAATCATGGGACTATTTACTTGATAAGTTTTCAGGGAGACTCACCTAATTTTCTCACATTTTGTTTTTGTAGGTAATTTTAACCAATCAGATGACAACAAAGATTGATAGAAATCAGGCCTTGCTGATACCAGCATTGGGTGGGTAATAAATAAGATAAACATTTTCAGTTAAACACTTTTTCCCTACTTCTTTCATTTGATGCTTATTGAGTACTGTAAACTCCACAAAAGCAAAGACTGTATCTGTCTTATTCACTGAAAAATCTTAGCACAGAACACTGTGTCCTTATATACTGACTCATCCTTTCAGTTAATAATCTACTATATAGAAACTGTTGTGTCAGGTACTGAGCATATAATATTCATATGATGATTCTTGCCTTCAGAAAGCTCACAGTTTTAGACAGGAGGAAGGGTGAATCCATTCAAATACTAATTACAGTGAACAGACTTATGATTTTGTTCCTAACCTCAGTCATGGTTTTGCTGGAATACTGTGCTTCAAGATTTGTTTCTACCAAAATCTTTAAGAATAGTCTGTCAGAGTTTTTGCTTTTTTTCTGGTGGTTAGAAATATGTTAGTCCTGACATATGGAAGATTGATAAATATGTTAACTCAAACTATTAAGTTTTCTAAAAGCAAATAGAAGATATTGATCTGCAGTATTTCCTTAGATATGTAAAAATCCATTAATCTCAGGATATTATCTACGTACCAGGTTTTTTGAAACCAAGTATACTCTCATGTTAAATTAAGCAAAGTAAAACTGTATTTGATCAGAGGCATTCTGAGAGACTTATAACCTTAGTAGGGCAATATACAATTACTATGTTCTTTTTCCCTCAGGGGAAAGTTGGGGACATGCTGCTACAATACGGCTGATCTTTCATTGGGATCAAAAGCAAAGGTCAGTATAGAAACAAATGAATAATTCTGAATATTGGGTTAATTATACTGAACACTTACCCATTTCTTAGAGCCAATCCAGTGGATGAAATCTACAGTGCCCCATGAACTAAAGCTTTTGTTTCCTTGTCCTTAATCACCTAGAGCAAACAGAAACATGTTTTTATCTGCACATTTAGCTACATAGAAAATGCTTTGGAATATTTAAATGATGGGCTGCACCTGAAATGAGTAAGTGGGCCAAAGAATGCTACCTTCTAAAGCTCTTAGAAATCAAGGGCCATTTATTAGCCACGCAGAAGGAGGTGGGTACTCTGTGTTCCTGGAAGGGACTGAAAGAATAAAATTTGGACGAAAGGTTAGCTTTAGGATTACTTTTTGTGGAAAATAGGATGGTTTTTCCTAGTTGCTTAATATATTTCTTATATGAAATTGTGTCTGCTTTTGTTTTCTTTTGTATTTTCCTATCTCGCTTTTGTTATCCAGTTGCTTACCTGGGTTTCACTGGTATTGTTCTTTAAAATAAAACTATGACAGCATGAAACCCTTGTATTTGTTTTTAGAGCTGCTGAGCAAGTGAACAAACCAGCTTTTATTTTCTTTAAAATAGGCAATTGAAAGCTGCAGAATCTTTTATTCTACACTTCTAGAAATGTCAGATTTATGTCAGCCTCTCTGCTTTGAGATTAATTGGTATAAGCTAGAGAACTTGGTTTTGAAATGCTCTAATGAAAGGGGGAAATTGAGACAGCATGTGGGCAAGGATGGTAAAAGGGATTACTTAAATACATTTTGGTTCTGGTCAGTGATATTTTCTATTTCTTTATCTGCATGTCTTTTTTAAAAATATATGTTTTTGTTGATTTCAGAGAGGAGAGAGAGAGAGATCAACGTGAGAGAGGAACATCTATCCGTTGCCTCCCCTATCCACCCCAACCAGTGCACAGGATGGTGCTCCAACCAACTGAGCCACACTGGCTAGGACAGTTATGCTTGATTTTTAAGAGTTAACCATTTTATGACTTCAGCTTCTTATTAATCCTTTCCAAGAAATTAGAGAATTAGTGTAGAGCACTGACATTGAATAGATAGATTTAGGGGAGATCTACTGTTCTATAAAAATTTTCCTATATCCCATACTATCATTTTAGTGAGTACTTGCTTGTGCTAGGTATTTAACTGGGCACTTTATGTACAACATTTTATATAATCCCTTTAGTAACTCTTTGAAGAATCTATATCTATTACTAACTGTGAGAAGACCAAGGTCCAGAAGATTAACTGACTAGTAAATAATAGCTACTATTCATTGAATATTTATTAACTCTCCTTTATTATGCTAAGCACCATGTCTGTATAAAACTTAATTTTATTTTCCAAATAATTCTGTGAAATAGATAGTAGTATCTACATTTTATAGCTGACTATAATAGAGTCCATTCTTTTTCTCCTATAATTGCTGTTTCTAGAATGTAATTCTAGTATTGTGTTGATTGCCAGCAAATCTGAAGGTACAGCTCTTACCCACCTTTTTAGGTAAAATCCTTTTTCACCAAACTATTTTTTCCCCAGGCTGTGGATATATGATAAGTAATGTTCATACTTTATGATTTTTAACCTTGGACTGATTACAGGATAACATTCTAACAGAAATACTAAAACGTTTTGCCCTAGCCTGTTTGGCTTAGTGGTTAGAGCATCGGCCCACAGACTGAAGGGCCCTGGGTTCGATTCCGGCCAAGGGCACATACCTAGGTTGCAGGCTCAATCCCTGGCCCCAGTTGGATCATGTGCAGGAGGCAACCAACTGATGTGTCTTTCTCACATCGATGTTTCTTTCTCTCTCCCTTTCTCCCTCTCTCTGCAAAGCAATGGAAAAAATGTCTTCAGGTAAGTATTTAAAAACAAACAAAACCAAAACCTAAAACATTCTAATAACGGAATAACATTCTAAAAGAATTAGTTTGGTCTCTCTCCTGTATATTGTGCATGTTTTCCTTCAATTTGCATATTCATGATAATATGAGACTGAGATTGTTCAAAATTATACCACTCTTTGCCAAGAAGATCTGGTTGTAGAGTGGAGTAATATAGCAACACCCCCACATAACGTTTCATATGTGTGCTCAGCTTTAGAGCACAAATTGTGCTTCTGTCTTGTTTCTTCCTGACCCAAACTATGTAGTTCAGCCGTATGTTAAGCTTTATCTCAGCTGGGGCCATGAGCCAAGTGATTCTTTGGTTTATTTTGTTGTTTAAAAAGATCTGTTGAGATATAGACATGAAATTTGAGGAAGATTTTCAACCTGAATACTTAATGCCCATTTGCCTTTAGGATTCTTAATAAACATGTAAATACTTCTTAAAGCTTATTTACTTTTTAAAAAATATATATATCTTTATTGATTTCAGAGAGGAAGGGAGAGGGGTAGAGAGAGAGAGAGAAACATCAATGATGAGAGAGTCATTGATTGGCTGCCTCCTGCACCCCCCCCCCACTGGGGATCGAATCCCACAACCCAGTCACGTGCCCTGACTAGTAATCGAACCACAATCTTCTGGATCCTAGGTCGATGCTCAACCGCTGAGCCATGCCAGCTGGGCAAAGCTTATTTACTTTTTAATAATTTTCTCAAAAAAGTCAGATGAACCGGGTACCTTTTGGACATGGTATGAGATACTAATTTTTCAGAAGGTTAGCTATTTTTTGTTATATTGAGTCAAAAAGAGATTTTTTAAATAAGGTGTCTTAAAATACACCATGCTTCTATTTTTCTGTTGTATTTTGCATTAAAGATGGAATTCAACTTTAAAAGCATTGTAAAAAATTATAATCTCACTCCCTATCACAACTATTCTTATATTACATATGAGCAGTTATTTTATTTATGCATATAGTTCAATTATAGAGTAAATGACATTTTGGATTCTTCTGTTTTCATCCTGAAAGTACAAACCTAAAACATTAAGCTAATGGACCATGGTTTCTGATTGCTTCTCTTTTGAATTGTGCCTGAGTAGAGGGGCAATTTCAAAATTAAGAGAGTAACAGATCATAAACCAAGATGTCTTTTCTTTGAAAACAAATCAACATTATATTATATGTAAATAAATGACCCTTTTAACTCTGAGAGTCTATGATTTTTCTCTAAGTTAGTGCAGCTATATCAGTTTTTTTTTTAATTGTGGTAAAGTATACATAACATGAAACTCAACATCTTAACCATTTAAGTGCACGGTTCAGTGGCATGAAGTACATTCACATTATTGTATAATCATCATTACCATCCATCTCCAGAACTTTTTCATCTTCCTATACTGAAACTTTGTACCCATTAAACACTAATTCTCCATTTCCCCCTCCCACCAGCCTCTGGCAACCACCATTCTACTTTTGTCTCAATAAATTTGACTACTCCAGGCATATCAAAATAAGTGGAATCATACAAAATTTGTCCTATTGTGACTGGCTTTATTTCACTTAGTACAATATCTCAGTTTTAAAGTAATTTTAAAAGTTTTTGCTTATATTTGTTGCTGTTATAATATTTGAACATAGTTAATAAGAACTTAGAATTTTATTTTTCAACTACTTTCAGCTTTCAGCTTTCAGCTCTACTTTGTAGAGTACATAATAAAAGTCTACCTAAACAGATCTTGTTCTGTCATGACTGGTTTTTCTGGACATAATCATTTTGAAAGAATGTGTCTTCCTAGCTTATTTTATTAGTATAGTATGAGTGTATGTTTCTTATGTATATCCCAAGAAATTGTCATAATACTTCTAATATAACACCCCCAAAAAACAAAAGTTTGAAAAATATAGATAAACCAAAAAAAATCTTTACCTAGTAATAACTTTTAATTGTAGCCTTCTAGTAATTTTTTTATATATGTGTGTATACATACTCATAAATCTGGGATCATATAGCATAACTTTTACTTAATATAATATTAATATTTGCTTATCTCATTAAGTATTCCACTATGTTTTCTTAAGCATAAATAGTATCTTATGTATAAAATAGTTTCTTTCAGCGATTTCCAACCTTTTTCAGCTCATGGCATACATAAACTAAGTACTAAAATTCTGCAGCACACCAAAAAATATATTTTTTGCTGATTTGACAAAAAAATAAGTGTAATTTTGACTCATTCACACCAGATGTTATTGTTGTGTTAGCTGTTGTTGTTTTTTTATTTGACAACCTGAGAGAAGAGGTCAGCGCAACAAGACTAGTTGGGTACTGGGTGTCTTAAAAATTCTTGCAGCACACCAGTCGAAAATCGCTGTTTTATGGGTTTTTAAAAATTTTTATTTATTGACTTTTTTTTTTCCCCTCAGAGAGAGAGGAAGGGGGAGAAAGAGAGAGGAAAACATTGATTTGTTGTTCCACTTACTTAGGCATTCTTTGGTTGCTTTTTGTACGTGCCCTGACCGGGGATCAAACCCACAACCTTGGTGTATTGGGACGATGCTCTAACCAATTGAGTTATCCTGCCAGGGCGAAAGTTGTTGGTTTATTTGAATCAGTCATTGGACTTTTAGGTTGCTTTAAAATTTCACTTATATAAACAACTCTATTGTTAATATAAGTAATAATTATTACATGCATATATACAGTTATTGTTTGAAGGGAGTACTTCTGATATTTCTTTCCTTTCTGTGTCCTTGGAGAACAAAATAATAGAATTATATTAAAAAATTATAAATGTAAATGAACAAATCAGTCATCTGAACTAATTAATTAAGATTATGTCTGTGTATATTTTTTTTCTCTAAGCAGGTTGGCAACATTGTACAAATCACCAAGCCAGAAGGAATCTACAGTACTGTTTCAAATCACAGTCAGTATTATTTGATTAGAGTGCAATTTTGGTGTTGGTGGGCAATAATTATCTAAAGAGAGTATTTACAAATTGCTTCTGTTAATGTCTGTAGGCAGCAAGCCATTCTGAGGACAGCTTTTGATACTTAGAATTATCCCCAAAATATCAATATATATTATATACAATATACTAGTCACAACTAGACTGAAATTTATTTTCAAGAACTGAGGAAATAGTTATTTGTAGGGTAGTATGTTCCATGCCATGTATAATGTCAGGATATTAAATATTTTTAAAGTGAAAGTTGTTAAAAATTTTCATAAAAGAAAAAATACCAGCCTTACTCATTTTGGTCTGTAGATATTATAGATCTGTCATAGCCACCAAATATGTCTTACTTTAAAATGTTAATTTTCCTGTAATTGTACATCATAGAACATAAATTTTTTACTGAAATATGCATATTTACCAATAATTTTGAGCCAAATATATTGTTGGCCTTTCATATTTTAAGGATAAAAACAGAAATAGAGATTCTGAACCTGAGTTATCCATTTAGTTTTTGCACTACCTAGGTATATTTAAAAAACTTTATTTTAGAGTATTTAATTGTGAAAATAAGTTTGTAAAACACTTAAAGAATTATTACATTTTGTTTTTCTTTCACTTCTTTCAATCATGTCACCACGAAGATTTTTAGGGTTGTCTTTTAGAGAACATTTTTATAATACAATGTTATTTCTGTGTGTATGTGTATGTATAAATAAATATATATAAAATACTCTAGATATAAAATACTCTAGTAGAGCCCTGGCTTGGACTTCTGTCCATGAGTTTTATCTTCTTCATTCACAGTGGTTGATAACTTCTATCCCAAGAATAAAGTAGCTTTCTTATCAATTACTTAAAATATTTGGAAGACCAATCATTATTTTAGATGTTCTTAAAGCATACTTGTGTTTTTTTCATCTTGCAGCCTCAGGGATTTAGAGATGCTGTTGTTGCTACTGGATGCTCATTGCAAACAGAAGGTTCATTAAATTCCCGGAAACGGTCACGAGAATCAGAGGAAGAACAGGAATCCAGAGACTAGTATCAAAGTGTGTGTACGTGTGTGTGTGTGTGTGCGTATATATATGTACATATATATATTGATTCTTTGAAATGCAATGTATACAAGTAGTAGACTCATTTCTTTAAAAAATACACACACAGTATGAATCAGGAATGTATCAGCTAAAATATACATATACTTAAATTAATATGATTCTGTGAGTTTTTCTGAAGCAGTGTTCTACAGTTATATTGTTCCCTGTTTTCATTTTTAGTAACATTCAGTAGGGATGTTATAGGTGTTGTATTTTGCAAATGTGGAAAGCTGATCTCATGTGGCTAGTTAGGCTGTTTTTTCTTTTCTTTGCTAATTGCCTAGAAAATCCTAGGAAGAAAAGATTTTTTAACATTCCTTTTGTGTTCTCCTCCTTAAGCGTAGCTTTGATAATTCTTAAAATGACCCATTTTATTATTATAAAGGAAGCCCAGCACTCTGAGTCAGCATATCATTATATTCAGTTTTATGGGTAGGATACACATTTTTAGATGACCAATCTGGTTTAAGTTACCTCAATCCTAAAATCTAATCCATTTGTTTATTTTTATTTTGTAATGTTAAAGGAAGGATGTTGGAACTGTTAATTCCGTTTAGAAATTTTATGGAACATACATCTTACAGAACAGTCAAGTCAATAAGCTCACAGTTAATTATTTCTACATTCTAGAATTCTAGGTGTATTGACATTTTCCTTTGAATCTTATACTGCTTAAATAAGTTAAAAATTTAGATTTGGGTTTAAAAATCATTAAAAATGTTTTAGCATCTGGTTCTTTTTATTACTTTTTCAATTCATTCGCAAAATTTACTTTGGTTCCCAGTGGAAAAAATTTATTTAAATAATTATTATATACTGTGACAACTATATTTTCCCAGATTTTAGTGACAGTTGGTATTTCCTGTCCCAGACTGAACACTAAATTTATAAAATTTAAAATATATGATTACTGTTTAATTGACTGTATACATAGAATAACCATAGTTTGCCAGGACTTTTTGAGAGTGAAAGTGGGTACTGCTGACAATTATACCAGGGCATTGTACATAAACCAGGATTATCCCCAGCAAATCAGGCATATGGCTATTCTAATTATATAACACTAATTTTAAATGATTAATGTAGGACAACTGATTGTAAATACCTTATTTATTACAATTAGTGCAGTCATTATAAAAAATCACCCATCGTGCCTGTCTGGCATGGCTCAGTGTTTGAGCATTGACCTATGATCTAGAAGATTGAGGTTCTATTCCCGGTCAGTACACATGCCCAGGTTACGAGCTCGATCCCTAGTAGGGGACATGCAGGAGGCAGCTGATCAATGACTCTCTTATCATTGATGTTTCTATCTCTCCCTTCCTCTCTCTGAAATCAATAAAGACATATTTTTAAAAAAATTACCTACTGTTTTATACTCAACTTGCTCTAATTATCAAGTCTAGGGGCAGGGGGTTTGTAAGTGATGAATATCAGTGTTACCAGGCATGTACAGTAGGATTTCATTTTATAAAGCATTATAAAGAACTTTAAAGAGCCCGGCCGGGTGTGGCTCAGCAGATAAGTGTCGACCTAGGATCCAGGTGATCAGGGTTCGATTCCCGGTCAGGGCACATACCCGGGTTGTGGGCTGCAGCCGATCAATGACTCTCTCATCATTGATGTTTCTATCTCTCTCTCTCCCTCTCCTTTCCTCTCTCTGAAATCAATGAAAATATATTTAAAAATAAATAAGTAAAAATTAAAAAAATTAAAAAATCCTCACCCAAGGACATGCTCATTGATTTTTAGAAAGAGGAGAAGGTGGGGAGAGAAAGAAACATCAATCGGTTTCCTCCTGCACACACCTCGATTGGGCCCCGGATCAAACCTGCAACCTAGGTATGTGCCCTTGGAAGGGGATCAAACCAGAAACACTTTGGTGCAAGGCTGACGTTCTAACCACTGAACCACACCGGCCAGGGCACATTTTTTAAAAACTGATTTTTAGAGAGGAAGTGAGAGGGAGAGAGAGAGAGAGAAACACTTATAGGCTGCATCCTCCATGCCCTCCACTGGGGATTGAGCCTGCAATCTGGGCATGTGCCCTGAGCAGGAATTGAACTGGCAGTCTTTTGGTGCAGGGGATGATGCTCAACCCACTGAGACACACCGGCCAGCGCTTATGTGACAATTTTAAAAGATATTTGAAAAATAACTTTATATGTGAAGGACCCAAGCTTACGTTGCATAGACATTTTGCTTTGCTGCCTTTGTGCAAATAACTGCAATTTATTGTACTGATATTTAGGAATATAGAGGTTCATAAAATCTTAATAGTCCTCAACTTGCAGAATTACTGGAAAACACATGGCTATATTGGTGCCAGATATGTCATTTATAGATCACTCTTTCATAAGGCAGCAAACCACTTCATATGCCCAAATCATTTCCTTTCTGGAGAAGATATAGTATTGTGTCAGCATGCTTACCATGTGTGGTAATTGATAATGTCTGTGCCACATGGCTTACTTCTAACCTTGTCCAACACAGCTATTCTACCACCTATGATTACCATATGTTACAGCACTCTAGGTTAATGGAATCATTTCCATCTTCCCTTCTAGTCACAAATGTCATTGTGGCTCAGTTCCATCAGCGCTACACTCAATGAAGAATAAAGTGTTCAGTCCTATCTGAGCACAGAGGACACATTTGTGAGGAATTTTCATATTTAGTTGCTTAATTTTCATTTAAAAAATTAGCTGGGTTTTTTTGATGCTCCAGAGTGAGGAATGGGTATCTGCTAACTAAAATAGAACATAATCAATATCACTCTCAATTCTTGCATGTATTTACTGTAAGTAAATATATAAAGGCAATTAAAAATTAGGTGATAATAATAAAGATAATTTGTTTTACTACCATAGAGCACTTTTTGATTTTTTAAAGTGAAAACTAGGAGCAAAAGACTGAAGTGGATTTTAAAAAACAGAGTCTATTTATTTTAGAAGAACATTTTGTTATAGAAGGAATACACATGAGCCGTTTATAAAGTACCTCCATCAGAAATTACCATCAACCCCTGCCCTCTTCCTCAGAAACGTGTCTCCTCCATGCCCTTTTCTTCACAAGCATGTCTCAATAAGTTCAAAAATAATTTGGATTCCTCTAAGAACTATGCTAGCTGAAAACAAAAGATTATTACCAGTAATGGTTAAAGCATTTTTAATAAGTTAGAACCTGTTTGGGGGACTTTTCTGCTGATGAAAATAGTGCATGTGGACCTATTATTTGATGTGAATTTTAATTTTGACAGTTTTGGACTGTTGCAATATAACTATGTTAGCTAACAATACAGAAGGAAAAGGAAAATTAATACAGCAATAATATATTTGGCAATAAATGGAGATGATTTTAAAGTTATATTATTGACTTAGGCTGTAGAAGATGTAACTAAAGTATATTAAAGAGAAAGGAGGAAGAAGTTCTTATTTAAAAAGAGTTCTATGTTCTCAATTTTTTCAGTTGTCAGGTATTCTGTTGCTCCTTACTAGTAAGTTTGACAACACTATGGAATTAATATCTTTTAAGAAGTATTTACATATTAATTCATTTTCTTTCCATGTAATTTTAAAAATATGAGTAAAAAATTACACATTTTTATATTTGCAACAACATTCATCATTAGGCCTAGCCTTAAGCATTTGCATAGGCACTAAGATCTGATATATATACATACTTTATTGTTATTACACTTACTCAAAAATATAAAATGCTGCCAGTCGGAATGGCTTAATGGTTGAGAATCAACCCATGAACTTGTAGGTCCTGGTTGGATTCCTGGTGGGGGCACATGCCTGGATTTTGGGCTCCACCCCCAGTAGGGGGCATGCAAGAGGCGGCGGATCAATGATTCTCTGTCATCATTGATGTTTCTCTCTCTCTCCCTCTCCCTTCTTCTCTCTGAAATCAATAAAAACATTTTAAAATATATATATAAAATGCCAATTAAAAATATATATGGTTTTTATTGATTTTAGAGAGAGAGAAGGGAGAGGAAGAGAGAAACATTGATAAGAAACTGCCAATATTTTATGTAAATACAATGTTTTATCATTTGAGATACAATATCAGCTTCAAATCAATTTTTTTACAATCAGCAAAATTGAGGCTTTTTTGGGGGAAATGGTTTTCTATTTTTTGCCTATAAAGAGATAAAACAGGTATACTTTAGAATAGACAGAATATTTTAGACTTGCATAACCAAGAAAATATTAACGAGATAAACTGAGAAGTTAATTCATTTTTCTAAGTTATAAGCACATTTACCATATATCGAATATTTTATTAAGTTAAAAAAACTTAAACTATTTTTTTAAAATATGTTTTTATTTATTTTAGAGAGAGGAAGGGAAAGGGATAGAGAGAGAAACAACAATCGGGTGCCTCCTGCACACCCGGTACTGGGGCTGGATCCTGCAGCCCGGGCATGTGCCCTGACTGGGAATCAAACTTGATCTCCTAGATTGCAGGTTGATGCTCAGTGGCTGAGCCATGCTGGCCGGGCCACTATGATAATTTTTGACAAATGAATATACCTATATAACCACCTAGTCAAAATATAAAATATAATCATCCCACAAAGTTCCCTCTTACTTTTTTGCCATGAATCCTCTACCCTAGCTCATTCCCAGGTAACCGCTAATCTGCTTTGTTTCACTATAGTTTTTGCTGTACTAGAATTTCATATAAGAGGAATCATAGAGTATGATTCCACTCTTTTGTGCCTGTATTAAAAAAAATTTTTTTTTACTCAGCATGTTTTTGAGATTCATCTATGTTGTTGTGTTTATCTGTAGTTCATCTTTTATTTTTATTTTTTGTTAATCCTCACTCAAGGATATTTTTCCATTGATATTTAGAGAGAGTAGAAGGGAGGGAGCGAGGGAGGGGGAAAGAGAAACATGGATGTGAGAGACACATCAATTGGTTGCCTCCCCCACGCATCCTGACTGGGGCCGGGAATCAATCCTGCAACTCAGGTAAGTGTCCTTGACTGGGAATTGAACCCGTGATCCTTTGGTGCACAGGCTGATGCTCTATCCACTGAGCCACATCGGCCAGGGCAGTAGTTCATTTTTTTATTGCTAGGTAGTATTCCATTGTATGAATACACCACAATCAGTTTATCCATTAACCTATTGATGGACATCTTTTTTTTTTTTTTTTAATACATCTTTATTGATTTCAGCGAGAGGAAAGGAGATGGAGAGAGAGATATAGAAACATCAATGATGAGAGTCATTGATTGGCTGCAGCCCGCAACCCGGGCATGTGCCCTGACCGGGAATCGAACCCCGATCGCCTAGATCCTAGGTCGATGCTCAACCACTGAGCCACGCCCGGCCGGGCGGACATCTTGATTATTTTCAAGTTTGAGCTATTATGAACAAAACTATCGTGAACATTACAAACAAGTGTTTTTGTGGTGTGTATGTTTGGTGGACATGTTTTCACTCCTTGTGGGTAAATATCTGGGAGAGGAATTGCTGGGTCATATGATAAGAAACTGTCAAACACAATTCTTTTTAAACTTATAAATGTCATCATTACCATAAACATCCATGAAACATTTTCTCCAAAGAGCTAAGGGTTAAAGAGGCAACAATTCTTATGAGAAAAAAAAATCTCAAAAAATTTAAATACCTTTGATAACATGCTTTTCATAGCTCAATATGTTTTCATAGATAGTAAGAAAGGGGATGAGGGAAGTGTAAGAGGTGAGGAACT